TCTTAAAAGTGTGGAAAATCCGAATAGTACAAAGTAGGCTGCATTTGTTGTGTGCCTGAAGAATGTCAACAAAAAATTAAAAGCAAATTAAATGAATAGAACAAGAGACAAAGAGGTGCAATGATGTTCATCCACCCATTTACCCTGCAGTCAACCCAGACAGCTTTTATTCCTTCTCCTACCTGGTGATGTCCAGCCACTATGCCTAACAAGAACTCTTAAGCCTTCACCAACACATACTACAGCTTTTCTTGTCCTGAGATAATAGTGAAAATGATGTTACCCATATAGATGAATATTATCAGCTGTGTAAAATAATTCCAAAATTTTCTAGCTATCATGAAACATACACGGTAGCCAACAAACTTTGTGGGAGAGACAAAATACAAAAGTGGGATTTCAATAGCATATTTTAGAAGAAAGCAGAACTGGTTACTACCAGAGGTAGGTTTCAGCAGGTTCTGACCAGTTCTGGAGAACCGGTAGCAGAAATTCTAAGTAGTTCGGAGAACCGGTGTGTAAAAATTCTGACTGGCCCCGCCCTCATCTATTCTCTGCCTCCCAAGTCTCAGCTGATCAGGAGGAAATTGGGATTTTGCAGTAACCTTCCCCTGGATTGGGGAGGAAATGGAGATTTTACAGTATCCTTCCCCTGCCACGCCCACCAAGCCATACCACGCCCACCAAGCCACACCCACAGAACCGGTAGTAAAAAAATTTGAAACCCACCATCGGTTACTATCCTCAAAAGGTAATAACTCCATATTGCAATGCTTTGCTGCAGGTTCCACTAAGAAAGTCTGATCTAGTATTGCTGTCTTTCCCATACATATAATCCAAATAGACAATTATGGCAAATTATAAGATACTGTAATTACTCTTCCTCCCAAATCTTTTAATACAAGAAATTTCCCTCTCTCAAACAGCCTTGTGCCTTTCCAATGTGTTAAAAGTCTGTGGAGATTCTCAGTCATCCAGATCATGGTTGTCCCAAAGGTGCTTTTTCAGGAGGCAACTGAACTTTTTTTTTTCTTTGAAGATGTTTTGCTGCACATCCAAGAAGCTTTTTCCTCTCTGACCAGATGGTGGGGAAATGGAAGGATTTATATCAGGGGTGAAATGCTCCCTGTTTGGACCGGATCGCCTGATCCGGTAGCGATGGCAGCGGGTGGTTCGGAGAACCAGTAGCAAAAATCCCTGCACACACACCCCCCCCATGGCCCAGCTGAGCCGCGAGATCATCAGAGGCTGGTTTTTTTACTTTTAAAAGCATTTTTTCTACAATCTCTTCGGCCAAAAAAATGCTTTTAAAAGTTAAAAAAAAAGCCTCTGATGATTGCTTGGCTCAGCTGGGATCGTCAGAGGCTTCTAAAAGCATTTTTCTCTGCAACCTCTTCGCCTGAAGAGGTTGTAGAAAAAAATACTTTTAAAAGTAAAAAAAAAAAAAGTTGGCCACCCAGTCACATTACCACTCCCCACCAAGCCACGCCCACAGAACTGGTAGTAACATATTTTAGATTTCACCCGATTTATATTCCTTGCACAGAGCTGCTAATTTGCACCCTTTTAGAGAGTTGTTGAAGTACTTGGAGGTTTATATTTCCTCAGGGTCACCTGAGTAGTGTAAATGGGTGTGGAGCCTTCTTGACTGCAGGATATTTTCTGCCCTGTGTCCCTTCACTGTTGAAGACAGGCACAGTTGTTGGGGATGAGTCCGTGTTGTTTGCATGTCAAACTGAAGCGCAAATGGTTCCTGTAGTCTGCAACTTTTCTGGAAATCCATTCATACTCCCATACCATTCGAAGGATGTTCATCCCAAAGTGCATAGCTAAAAGTCTATAGAGATTTCTAATGTGTTGGCATTACAATTTCTAGTAAACTTATTTTGGAATATTTCTTTCCAATTCAGCCATATGCAGATGATGATGCCTATCACGTGTGAAAATGGGCCACCATTCAGTTAAGTGTTTATGTAAATTTCTTGTATGAACATTCTCCCCAAATTTAGCGTACCTTTTATCTCATGTTTAGTTCGGTATCGTTTTAATATATTTTAACAATGTTTCTTTAAGTAAAACATTTTATGATATTGTTAACATCAGAATGTGTCATTAATGTATATTATTAATGCATTCAGTTCTAATACTGGTATTCAGCATGATGGGGCAAATACCACCACCTTCATCTACATTTGAAGAGTTCATTGATTTTGAAGCTGCAAGTAGAATGTACTATGGAGATGTTAAATGATTCAAAATTAGGCAAGGAGTGTATTACTTTTATATACCATCAACTTCGTAAATTATATGCAGAATATTTCGTAAGATGTTATGGACTAAAAGAAACAGAAATTGGAATTAAACTGCTGAAATAAATCTCATCAATCTCTGAATGGCGAAGATAATATTTTGGAGAATTGGAACAAGAAAGACTTAAGGAGTATCTTGAAAGATTACAAAGGCCAGTCTGTCTCGGTATTTTTTTTTTTTAAGTTTAAAATATGTCAACAGGCAATACCAATCTAGAGAAGAAATTAACTTAGTAACAGACTTTGTCTATCAAACTCAAAAATTCACAGGAATAGTGAACATACCTATGATGTGAAAATATGTCCAATTTGGGGAATTGGACATATGCCAATTTATTTATTTATTGAATTTATATCGCCGCCTATTCGCACATGGTGACTCAAGGCAGTTTACAGAATATAAAACCTCATTTAAAACAATAAAACTAATAAAAAAGAATCAAATAAATTAATATATAATAAAATCACACACACACCCGCCCCAGCAGTGCCCTCTTATCTCAATTGAACAATTTCTCCAGTTATTATTTATTTATTTATTGAATTTCTATACCGCCCTTCTCCCTGAGGACTCAGGGCGGTGTACAGCCAGAATTAAAAAACATGCAGTACAAATATTAAAAAACACTTAAAAGTTATATAAATTTGGCCCAATTAAAACTCATTAAAATGACAGTGAAACATCATAAAAAATATAGTAAGCCTAGCTTTGTAAAAGGCAGTAGCTAGTAAACAGGAGATTGTAATGATTTATGTAAATGTCGAAATGGATCTTTTAACCTAAAGAGTGCTGACATTTGACAAAATTGCATTTTAATATTCATGACCATTTACTCCTAATTTTCTTCTAAATATTTACAATTATAAACACGTAAGTATACATTAATTTTTATAATATAAATTTTTCCGCATTAATGAAATAACCAGAATATAAATTTAAAATCAAGCCCATGCTTTAAACAACTAATAATGCAATCCTAAACATTTTCAATAAAAAGCTGGGTGCAATCAATATCTATTATTGATTGGGTTATCTATATCCTATATGTTTAGACCTTGAGCCAGCAATATTAATAGCACACTAAGCAAGCATTTTTAATCTTTTTTGGGGGAATGCTTGCTTATTTCTTTGAGATTTATGCAGATATTACTGTCCATGCCTAATAGGTACAGTTATATAAATTCTACCCAACCAGAAGCTTTTAAGTGCATAGGCTGGTCTTTTGCTGTTAAGCAAAAGATGGCATTCTTTTTCTTATCCTGCTAAGAACTGCAAGACTACAAGGCATTAATTAGTATTAATTCTGTTACGTAATCTGCTTTTTACTCAGGGCAGAAATGACACTATACTTATTTCTGAAATCTTGTCATACACTGTTGAAAAGGACAACTTCTGGGATTATGCAATAACTTGTAAAAAATATCAGTAAGGATTATATCTCACACAGGAAAAAGAAACTGATTGATAGAGATTATATAACCTCACTAATTACCATGTCAACCAAATCAGATTTTCCCACTTCTTCCAAGTGATACTGGTATTAGTTATCTCAAATGCAAATGAAATTAAGATATTTCAGATAATCAGCCTGAATAGAATTTGGTTTGCAACTCAGTGGAAAACAAATCATCCTGATTAATAAGAGTTGCCTTCTTGGTCAATTATTCCTGGTTTTGAGCACAGTACAAGAAATATAGCAGATATATTTTTTTAAAAAACCAAGAAAAGGAAATAAGACATGAATTGTACTATCTATCCAATCCAAATTTGCTGCATGAAAAAACAATATTTTTTATATTAGCACAATCAGTTTTTTAAATATTCATGTTTCATCATAACCTCATTTATGGCATGCTGGAATATACTGTTGACATGGATATCATCCATGAACACACTGTTTCCTTAGTGCTGTTGGATCATGATCTGTTTGGACATACCCATTACCACTGTATGTAGGAATCAGAAAGAGTGCATCTCCTTTTTAAAAGATTTTGGAAAATTATTTGGAATTTCAAAAACAGCAAAAGGACATACTGCTTTTCATAGTCATTTACTTCTAACTTGTATTTCTAGGCCAAATTATAATGCCAGTTTAGATTTTAAAAGCCTGAATGGTTTTGTATCTTCCCAGAAATGTAGATCATATTGGAAAATTTTTTAAACATTTTCTTGCTCTTACATGAAAATCGAGTGGACTGTTTTTTTAGACGCATTATGCAACTTTGAAATGTCCTTAGAAAGACCCACCTAATTTTGTCACTAACCTTACACTGACTAGGGAGGCCTATTGAAAGGTAATTATATTCTCATTTTGAATTCTCCTGGCCTTAGCAATCATCTTCCACTTCCACTGATTATTGTGTTTATAGTGATGAACATCCTGAGTTTAATTTGATAATTGATTTTTTTAAATTGTCTATTGGTTTCCCTGGAGGTCTTTCCAAATCAGAATTTAAGATTACAAGTATAGAACATGACCTTTAATCAGCACATGTTGACTTTAGCTAACTTTCTTGTAGCTTCTGCTCTGCATGTAAGTGCCTTATGGGTGCAGGTGCCATTGGATTCAGCATACTGTAGTGGTCAGAGTTACTTTGGTGACCAAGACCTGATCTCTGCCACTTTCTACTGCATTTGGCTGCACTTATATCCAATGGATATTTCATTGGGTTAAATCAAGCGATGTATAATGTGAAATAATTCAGCTTTATTGAAAAACATATATTGATTCATGCATATAGTATAAGCATGTATTACAACTTACAAATTCATAGGTATAAACTCACCATTTCAATTTCCATTAAAATCTAGAATGCAGTTAACAGACTTTCTGATGCCACTGATTTCCATATAGTATCATTCCATACAGTTATCAGCGCTCCACGCTACCATTTTTGTACTACTTTCATACACAGATAACTTGGATACAAGCTTTTAAACAAGGCTAAGAGCCAAAACAGTATGAAAAATAGAAATGCATTTTAGTTTCATGTTCACAGATACTAATTGTGCATGAAATGTATGTTACAGTCTGTAAATGTGTTAATTGGAACTAATTATATACTTATTAATGTGTGTTGACATCTGATTTTCTCTATGGTTTCAGCCTCTAGAGAGTTTTAAAATGTAAGGCTGTCTAGTCACCTTAATATAAATAAAATAGCACAGCAATGTAACAACCAGTTAGAAATAGTAGAATGGAATATTCCTCTGGATAAAAGCCAGGTGTTATCATTTGATTTCTCTTCTGCTCTGAGATATTCGGGATCTACAGTATCTGATTTGGGAAAGTGGGAGATCCTCCAAAAGAACAATGGGAGTGAGTTTGTGGGTTGCAGGAGAGAAATTTGAGTTAAAATTGTTCACTGACCCCCATGTTCTTGTGGTGAGGAACATTTTAAAATGTCCAGCACAGTACAAGAGAGCAAAGTAATGAACAGAGAAGCCTTTAATGGGAGGAAATGTATGACAAGTTAACTGCACATAAAAATATGCTGTGATAACTTGGCAGATAGAAATTGCTAAGTAGAATGTCAGTAGTCTTCAAATAATTGCACTACTACCATACTACATAACATTTAAACATTTCAAAACCACCTCATTTTAAATCACCATCCCCTGTTGACACTTTTATTATATATAAATCATAGCAGTATAGATTTGCTAGTTATTAAGGGAAAAGACAAACACTGATGGAGAATAGTGGGGTCTGAACTAAATAGCAATGGACAAAGTTTGATTAGTCTAGTGGAGAAACAGCTAGGGAAAATAGTCTGCAAAGCTGAGTGGCTTTTTCAAGGCAAAGGGGAACATAAGATACAAGTTAGCCTGGAGCTAGAATGTTAATGTTCTGACTTCACAGACAAAAACAGCATGTTGAAATACTTGTGTGTGTTTCAGAATTAGTGAGACAAGGTACATTTTTAAAATTACATTTTCTAAAACTCATTCCAGGTGTTAATAGAGAATTATGTTGTAGAATAAATCTACCATATGGATAATTAATGACATTTATATGTAAAAGAAACTTAAATAATAGCATCCCCTGTATTCGCTTTCTAAATCTGTGGTTAGAAGCATGTTGAAACTACAACTCCCATCACCCAACTAGACTTGCTAAGTATAGTTTCCAGGAGTTGTACACACAATACACTTAAACTACAAGAGATTATGGAATACTGGTCTTTGAACACAGGTCTATTTATTAATTTGAAAGAAAACATTTGAATACAACACAACATTCCCTTCTACAAAGTAGAACACTTCTTCCTGTTATTAGAAACGAAATACAAGTTAACATTATTATCACTGCCTTTCCCTCACTCTTAACTTCGATTTCAGGGAAGGAGGTGGAAAAAAATTCACATCCATTCAGCCATATTTTTTTCTAGAACCCACTTGGTTCCAGCAACATTTTATAAAGAAGAAATACAACTATGGACTTGTTCATGTAATACATAACTCTAGCAAAATAAAAAGGTCATTTCAGATTACTAATGGGTGCAATAATGCATAGTTTAGTAGTCCCTAGTGAATGATTTTCCCTAGTGAATGATACATGTATTAACGAAGTATGCAAAAAATGCAAAGCAGAAATTGGAAAATTCTAATTGCTGGTTGGTTTTCCTTAGAATTCACTCAATTTCTATTGAGAGAAAGTAGTTAAAGTGCTGCTGTTCCAACGGTGTTCCAAAAACCCAACTCCATATATATTTAATACTTGTCATGAGCAGAGTCTGAGACTCACGTACTTTCATCCATCAGGCTACAAGGCAGATCAATAACAGTGCTAAGGTTTAGCAATATTATTTGTTCTTAATCTTTCTTTCAAAGACTTGAGAAGGATATACTAACTAAGCCATTAACAGAAAAATAACACCAGGTGCCATTTTATGCTACATAGTAATTTTAAAATATACATTTATACACACTTAAGTCTTACACAATTAAACCACAAAAATGTTAAAGTATTGTTAGAAGAAAACTAGATGATACTTTTTATTATTTTATTTTTAGAAATGAATACATCCGTATTTGATTAAGTGCGGCTGGCATTTGTGGGTGCTATTGCTAGTTGTTTGACTGAATAGACTCTGAATTAAGGTTTCCATAAGTCTCCCCATTATCCTCCCAGCTCCAATTTTCTTATGCTCCAAACTGCCCAGGATTGTTTCACTGGAATTCTGCAACAAATTGCTAACTTTCAATGGTGTTTGAAGCCAATAATATTTTTTCCCCTTTCTTCCCTTCTCCACACAACAGCATTTAGAGATTTTAAAAGACCAGTTGTGTTACGTTTCATGCTTCACTGATAACCAGGAACAGTTTCCACCATGTCAACTCCCTGGGAATTTATTCCTTCTAGTTTTATTAAACCTTCTGAATGCTCTACAATTATGAAAATCTTTCTTGCCAGAGGGAAATTCATCAAATCAAGCTAACTTCAATTTGGGTTAAAAGAACCAATTACTGTAAAGTAGCATTGGTAAGGGTAGCATATTTTTAATCCTGATTTTGGTTGTGCTGAAACGTAATTTTATCCCATGCATTTCACTCTTTTTCATGAATAATGTACATGGATTAGTCTCTCAGCTAGGTTAGGCTGAGAGACAGCAATTCTTTTTATGATATTCAGTGAGTTTCATGACACAGAAAGGATTTAAATTGAGTTTTTAGTCATTTAAAAATATACCACTCTTATCTACAGCTTTTCAAATTGCATTAGTGTGTGTGTGTATTTGTATATTTCTAATGAAGCTCACATGGAATTCTCATTTCGTTTTTTCTTGATAGGCCATCAGAGATTTGAACAAGTCACCCGTAAATCCAATTTAATGGCATAATGTATTCAGAAATGTACTGTTAATATGTGAAAATGGGGGATCATGAAAGTCCTCAAGAGTAGAGCCCTGCAATAGTAGCCAAATAATAGGATAATCAGGAATACTAAGGAAGATAGTTGGAGAATCTAATTTGAACTGTTGGATAAGAGTCAGGTACATAAACTTTGCAGTATCTCACAAAAGCACTACTTAAGGAAAGAGGTCCATCACAACCAGAAAGAAAAAACTAGTGATTAAGAACAGCTAAGGATAAAGCTCTGCAATTACACAAACAAAGGGTTTTTAAAAAACGAGAGGCAACAAGGATAGCAAAGAAAACCCAGCATCTTGGTACCTTGACAGTTAGATTGCTAGAAAGAAAGCCTCAGACATCTTATTTACAACAATGCTTCCCTGTACTTCTAAGGTAAAGAGAGATCCTATTTCCTTTTTTAAAAATGCACTTTATTTAATGGAATGGGGTTTGCTATAAAGAAAAATGCAAGGCCCCAAGCATTCAATTTATTTTTCTCTGCCCCCTCCAAAGAAAATTTAGAAAGTAGGTGGCAAAGAGACTGATTACCTTTTTTTTTGCACTTGAGGGTTAAAAATAGATGTATTAAGTGTCTGCAAGTTTTAGCACATCTATTTTTAACTACTGAGCCAATCTTCCCTTTAAAAATTGAAAAGAAAAAAGTTTTAAAAAATGTTTGGTTTTCCTCGCTCTGTGACAGTCTCGTGCCACAAATCACAAGTTTTCTGCAATCCTTGAAAAACTAGGAAAAAAAGTGGTGGAAAAATGTGCCAGCCTTCCTGCAAAAAATCTGCCCTCTTTACTCTACCCCAGATAGAGATAAGGAGGGAAGTTTAGGAATTTGATTTTAACATCTAGCAGAGAGCTTGTTTGCTGAGGCACTTACCCCATCTGTTTGTTTTTTGCAGAAACAAAACAAACAGCAAAATAATAAAGTCATTCATGCAACTGCCAGAGTTCAAAATAACTTATGCATCTACTATACAGTGAACACTTGCTGATATTAATAATGTATACAGGATGCCAGAGAAGTTAACAAAACAATCCCAAAGAACCATACTTTAGTAAGAGGTTTTATTTGAAATTTGATGCTGATAAATCCTCCATAAGCCCAGTGGTTGGAGCATAAAGAATACCATGTTTAGCTGAAAATAAAACCCTTATATTTTTTTGAACCCCAAAATAAGTGCTTGGCCTTATTTTCAGGGATGTCTTATTACTTTGGGGCGCATGGACCAAGATGGGGTTCCTCTTGCCGTCTTGATTTCCAGGTCTGTCTCCCTAACCCTAACCAGAGGAAATGGTGGGGACCGGCATACGTTTAAATAATTTCAGGGAGGGGTTATTTTTTGGGGGGGTTATTTTAGCGCATGTGCTCAAAAGCCTGATTGGGCTTATTATCAGGGGATGTCTTATTTTAGAGGAAACAGGGCATTAGAATTATTAAATCTGGTGAGAGGTCTGTTGGGCTAATCATAATTTGACATAAGAGATATCAAAACATGTAATATAAAATCTGTATGAATAATAGTCTTTCAATGATAAACAGTGGCTAAGATCTCTAGGTACTGCCTTGCAAACCAAGAAACTCTTGCCTGTGTAACACCAATCAGGATTCACATGACACACTTGGGAATGGAGCATTAGGAATAAATATTAATAATGGTAAATGGGTTGGAGAAGAAGGAAAAATATGATAGGAAGTTGTGACCTGGCTGTCACAGAGAAGGGATGCAGGCTGCTAGTTGACTTCCATTCCTTTCAGATGGTAATCTAAAGAAGAAAATTAACAGTATACATGGCTTCCAGATGGTTCATTTACTCAAAATTTGGGGCATGTGTCTACGTAAGATGAAAGTGTTACAGGAACTATTAGTGATATTTCAGCAGGCGTTTTTCTTGAGGGGGACTTGACTTTTCAAAACTTCCCAGTTTACATCTATTCATAAACCTCATTGTTTGAGATCTACAGAATGTGAGACTTTTCTCTTGTCTAAATGAATACTTCTGTTTCATTAAGACTGAAATCTAATTTGGTTTTATCAAGGCCCTAGAGAGTGTCTATCAAAGTCTACAAATGAATTGCAGTCTATCATTAATAAACATTTTCCTCAAATTAAAATGGGAAAATAAAATATATGAAAACCTATTGTGAAATTATTAGCAGTACTAATTTAAGTCCTCTATCGATACCAGAATACACGTAGTACTAATGAAGAATCCACATATCACAGAGGCCTGCAAAAAGACAATTTGATGGCAAAAGAAAATAGAGAGTTCAAGAAACTGACCTCCTTATGGCAGTGGCATAAGGTACTGTTCATGTAAAAATCTAAAGATCTGCAATCTAATGTTTTGGCAGCTCTTGGTATGTAACACAACACAGAAATAACAGAGCACATTTCTGTAGTAACAGAACAGAAGGCTTAGCCACCTGTGAGTATAATTACAAACAGATATTATAAAACTTCCAAAAAGAACATGATTTTTCCAGTGCTTACAAGAGTAAATAATGAGCTATTATGAACAATTGATTATAATAATCGATAAGCAATCAGTCATTTAGAAAAAAGACGTGAACACAGGAATGACAAGAGGGCATCCTGTAAACTCCAATCACCATAACTTAAGTGGAGAAACCTGAAGAATATTCTTAGGCTTATATGCAAATATGAACTCAGTAACATTTAGAACAGTTTATGTGAATGTATGCCATATTCTCCTGAAGCTAGGAGGTAACACTATCGTGGGCCCTTTTCCCATATTCCTTTACTATTCAGACATATATCCCAGTATATTAAGAAGGAATTAAGAATCAAGGCACTTACTAATCTCTCACATTCCTTTTAATTTCTGAACCAATTTGCTATTAAATATTAAAGCTATGCAATGCTTGAGGGATTCAATTGGGAAAAAGTATTTCAGAAAACATGGGCACCACAAAGGCAACTGATATACATCTCATTAAAGCAAGGTCTTTTTTCTCTGATCATATTTCTGAAAAGAGGTGACTGCCATGAATTGCAGAAAAGTGTTGCATTCATAGCCCAAGTCATTCTGAAGCATCTCTTCCAAATGAAAGAAGAGGCACCACCTATTAAATAGACATACAATTATATTAAATATCAATAAGACTCCCAAATAGAGGGACATATCAGTGCAAATAGTTGCTGAGCTTTTTCTTATGGCTATAAAACAATGCCCAATGGCTATATTCTCCGAAGACAAAATTACAGATTATAGTATCAGTAGTGAATTACAGATTAAGTATAATATTTGCATTAGTTTTCATGAAATATTCATGTATTTGATTTTTTTATCTTGCCTTTTATTTCTTTGTGAAACCATTCCATTAAAAAAGATGAACTTTAGACACCCAGGCAAAGGATATTTCATATACACACATCAAACCCCCAAATACAATTAGAATGATCTTTAATTTAGAAAAAAAATATATATATTTATTTTAAATAGCTTACGGTAACGTGCATGTAAATGGACAACATTTCTAGAGTAGCCAAAAGTATAGAGTATTTTACAATTAGATATTATTTTTTTTCCCCATGGCAGATAGCTACACTGAATAATCATTTGAAGAGTTATCCACAGAACAGCTGTTTCTTGTTTGTTTAAAATTAATCAGAAAATGAGGAAGAGCAGTTTTCTCCCACATTTGTTTGGTGGACTCTGCTAGACAGTATGAGATGGAGAAGCAATACTGCCTCCCAACACAGAAAACAAATCCCCTCCCTATTCTGCTTATGAATGTTTTCTGTTATGGATATAAGCTGATTACCAACCAATCAATCAATCCCCTTTTTGTTACTCTGAATCATATCCAAGAATAGGTGCAAGCCATTTTTCAACTTCTGCCACAGGCATATTTTTTCTTAAGGCATAGTCTTCAACCTATAGAACAAACAAGAGGATGACTAATTAGCATTTTAACTTTAAGATCTTACAGTAATAAAAATACCTGGAAAACTAGATTTCATATTTTTTTTCTGAATAGAAAATATTTTGCTACAATTCTATGAAAAAGCACCCCCTCAGACTTTTCAGTTATCTTTGGCATTTAATGTTATAACAGTTTCTTGGAGGTTCCATGATATATAAGCAGAATCTAAGTGAACAATTTATGCTTTTATTTATTTCATGAATATAGACATTCAATGTGCACTGAGTCAGTGTGAAAAACTAATCCCCCCTTAAACAACTTACTGTACCACCTTTAGCGTCCGTCTGTGTCTGTCTGTCTCTTGGTGTTGTCTGAGCTTGCTTCTCTTGCAGACATGTCATTACCAAATTAAGCAACATCATGATTGCATGAGGGACTGCACTTTGCTAGCTGTTTATATGCAGTAACTTGTTCTATCATTGGGCTATTATTTCTCCCTTGATTACTTTTTGAGTGACATATTGAGCCAAGTTGGCGCAGTGGTTAGAGTGCAGTACTGCAGGCTCCTTCAGCTGACTGCTAGCTGTAGTTCGGCAGTTCAAATCTCACCAGCTCAAGGTTGATTCTGCCTTCCATCCTTCCGAGGTGGGTAAAATGAGGACCCAGATTGTTGGGGGGGCAATATGCTGACTCTGTAAACCCCTTAGAGAGGTCTGTAAAAGCACTATGAAGAGGTATATAAATCTACATGCTATTGCTATATTGCTTGATTGCAATATGTGATGCAGAAGGGTGCGTTCAGGACTGTTTGCCTCTTTCCATGATCTTTGCTTCCTTCCTTTCTTGAATGGTTTGTAGACGGAGCTTCTTCCAACATGCCTGCCAGACCATCAGACTGACCTGCCTGTAGGAATTCTCTAGCACTTTTGGTCTACGATCTCTACAGTTTCCCAAATGACATTGTTGAATTTGTTAGCTTATTGTGAAATTAAAGAATTTTCATTGTGTCTTCTGACTGAGAGATTTTACATAGCTTATTTTCTGTGCTATTGGATTGTTATATTCTGTTGTGTAATAGTTGTGTACTTGATCAGTGTAGAAGTTTTTGTGATACATTTGGAAGGGTAGTTTATTGTTCTCTTCTCTTTTGAATCTTATTCTTTCAAAATGAATTGAATTGAATACTTTATTTGGTTAAGTGTGATTAGACACACAAGGAGTTTGTCTCCAGTGCAGAAGTTCTCAGTGAACATTCAAAGCAACAGAATAATCATCATCATCATCATCATCCCAATAAGAGGGCACAGTAAAGAAGATAATAAGAATAAATAATAATACTGCAGCCATACTATATGGATAAATATACATAGAAACTAGACAGCATTGTGAGGATTAGGTGTTCAGCCGCGTGATGGCACAAGGGAAAAAAACTGTCCCTATGTCTAGTTGTTTTGGCATGCAATGCCCTATAGCAGTGTCCTGAGGGGAGGAATTTAAACAGTTTATGTCCAGGATGTGAGGGGTCTGTAGATATCTTCTCAGCCCTCCTTCTTAGCCACACAACATACAGGTCTTCAATGGAAGGGAAACTGGATGCAGTTGTTCTTTCTGCAGTTTTAACTAACCATTCAAGTCTGTAACTGTCCTGTTTGGTTGCTTTACCAAACAAGTCATAGAAGTTCAAATGACAGACTCAATAATTCCTTTTTAAAGCTGTATTAACAGCTTCTGGGGCAGTCTATACTTTCTGAATTGACACAGAAAAAACATTATTTGTTGTGTCTTTTTAATGGCGGTTCTAACATTAAGTGTCCATTTCAAGTCCTGGGAGATTACAGAACCCAAAAACTTGAAGAACTCTACTGCTGATACTGTGCTGTCAAATATAGTAAGAGGTGGTACAATTGAAGGTGGCATTCATTCATAGTCACAAAGCTATGTTTAAATCCTCAGATTAAAAAATATATAAACTTCCAAAACTTTTAATTATGTTTGGTATGACAATACTAACCCTTGTTAATGAGCAATACTAACACTTACTGCATCTAAAATAACTTAATCAAGATTAAGATTTCAAAAATTCTAAATCCAAATAACACATTAGTAATTTTCTGCTAATATCATCAATAATCAACTTCCATGTTTGCAATATAACATGGTATTTAACTACAGGTTTCTAAACCATGTCCGCCATTTGTTCGGTTTATAATATTTAACAGGAATTATTGGTACTCAAAATAAATTATTTAGAGCTCAAATACCATATTGAATAATCTAAAGCAGTGGTCCCCAACCTTTCTGGCTCTGGAGACTGCCAGTGGCAGCAGCAGTGGTGTTGGAAAAAAGATGGCTTCGTGTGCACACTGCTTGTGCAAATGCAGTTTTGTGTGCTTGCATTCGGCCACGGACTGGGGTTGGGGATACTTGGTCTAAAGCAGGGGTCTCCAACCTTGGCAACTTTAAGCCTGAAGGACTTCAACTCCCAGAATTTCCCAGGCAGCTTTCTCTCACTCCCTCTCTTTATCTTCCTCTCACTTTCTTTCCCTCCCTCCCTCTCTCATTCTCTGTCCCTTTCTTTCCTTCCCTCCCTCCCCCTTCTCTCCCCCTCTCTCTTTCTTTCTCTCTCTCCCTCCCTCCTTCTCTCTCTCTCACTCTCACTCTCTGTCCCTTTATCTCCCTCCCCAGCTTTGCTGGCTGGGGAATTCTGGGAGTTGAAGTCCTCCAGGCTTAAAGTTGCCAAGGTTGGAGACACCTGGTCTAAAGGATATGTTATCAAAACTAGCGTGTTTCTGTATATGATTCCCATTTCCAGCTCTCTCCTTTTAATGCAATTTCTGTAACAGCAAGAAGGCCTTACCTGATCTTTCAATATTTTCCCAACAGCAAAATACCTAGAAGCCGGATTGGAAAAGTAGAGACCAGATACTGCTGAGGCAGGGAACATTGCTAGGGATTCGGTTAACTGAATACCTGTAAGAATCAAAGGAAAGGAATTGTGTTGGCTCTTTTGGAAGATAGGTTCTATTTTGATTTTAAAAATTGCCAAATTGCAGAATCTCTGACTCATATTGGAGAAAAACTCTTTGGGAGCTCAATTTCCTGCCAAATCCAGTCCAAATCACCCATTATAATTTTATAGCTGGGCAATCAGTTAGCAAATTATCTATACACTGAATGTGATTTTGTGAAAAAGAAGGAGCCTTCTTCAAGTATACACTAAAAACAGATGATTATTTAATAGTCAACAGAGGGTGGGACATGCATGCAATCCTGGCCATATTCTCTCCCACCTGCACAATTTATTCAGGAAATCTGAAGAGGAGGTGAACATAATGGGGATCCTCTCATCATTATAAACATCTCAGTCATAAAAGGAAGACAATAAAAATGAAAAAGAGCATTTATAATATCTCCCCTCACCAATTTCAAAATGCAGAACAGGTATGAAAAAACAAAAAAAAATATTTTAAAACAGAACTTCCTAACCAAACTTTGAAAGATACCTGTAGCTTCCTCAATATTCGCAAGTCTCCACATAGTGATTTTTTCTGTGTGGTCAGGTTGACATGGGTAACCAGGTGCTGGGCGAATGCCATCATATCTTATCTTACGCAAATCTGAAAATTCCAACTGTTCATTTTTACAATAAGCCCAGAATTCTTTCCGAACTCGTTCATGAAGTTCTTCTGCAAATGCCTTAAAAATAAACAAAACAAGTCTAACTTTAATGATGCTTTGTCCAAGTACCTAATTTATTACTGTGTGATGCTTTCAACTCAGTCCTCCTGGTGACTACACAGACTCTTGGTGATTACTCAGAGAAATCTAAGCAGTTTTCTTGGTATTTTTGGTAAAAATTGTTTGTCATTGCCTGTTTGTCATTGCCAAATATCTCTGCATTTACTCTAGGTTCATTGCTGTGCTAGAAGGACATTTTAATTGATCCATTGATTTCCCACACTTGGACCCATAAAAGCAAAATATTTATTTCAGATTCCCATGCCTCCTGCTTATGATCTACAGGATTCCCTTCCCCTCTGAAGCAGATTTGGTGAATACAGGAAAAAATAAACAATAAAAATTGATTCATTCTTTCATTTGCTGATGGAGGTTTTCAAAGAATCAATAAGACTCTATCGTAAATGACATCATTGGATAAAACATGTAAGTTATCACAATACATTTGCTATACAGATAATAGTCTTCTACTTCCAAAAAAAGCAGCTTGGTCCTTCCTTCCCTGCCCTTCCCCCCTCCCTTCCAATACATGAATTAAAATAAGTAGAATCATGTAAAAAACAAAACTACAATATATTACCTCTGCTAACCGATCTGCTAGTGCTTTCACCATTATAATACTATAGTCATCTGACTGTTTTTCATATTCTTTACATAGCTCATCTACTCCAAAGCATGCCACGGCAAAGAACCCCAAATAGTCAGAAACACCAGAGTCCAGGGGGGATATAAAATCAGACAGGCAATAATAGGGATCTGTGGAACCAGAGTCTTTTTCAACCTACAATGATAAATTGGACAAAATGTTAAATATAAAAGACCTAACTATAATACAGGACAGCAAGATACACAGTGATTCTCCCAATCTATAGTAATAGGTAGACATTTGTGGGAGAGGGAAGACACTAATAATCACAATGTTTTCCTTTCATGCTATTCATATTAATTCCAAACTAAGTCAGTGACATATCTGCATGGCAAATGTAATTTCAAGTACAGAAAGTTCAATTTCATATTGGTTAGATCCCACCTTGATTACAGTATCTGATTCAGGAAGGCACAATTTTAAGGAGGATTCAGACTACAGAACAAGGATGGTCATGGACTAGAAAATAACTCCAGTGAAGAGATTTTGCAGAGATTGGAAATATACTAAGAGCATAACAATCTTCAAATTCCTGAATGTCACAGGAATAGTGAAGACATGTTTCTTATTGTACAAGACATAAAATAATGGGCTTGTATTACAGCAAGGCAGATTCTGTCAGAACATTAAAAAAATATCCTTGCAATAAGAATAATTCTACATAAGAACCAATTGCTCAGAAAATGAGGTGAGGTCACCTCATTGGATGTGTTGGAGATTATCTTTCAAAAATGTAAATATATTTAGAATCTTCAGAGATTCATTTTCCAAGTTTTTTGTGCAGCATTTCCAATAAGGATCCAAAATCCAAGTACTACAGTTCCCTTCTTTGTGAAATGTCATTGTTTTAATCTACTGTTATACTTTTTCATAAGCTTACAGCATACATCATTATGATTTTGCTAACTTTTAAAGACAATTATCTCCACATTACACACACATACACACATACTGTGAAGGTTTATTACATAAATGCAATCATCTTTTCTTTAGCTTCTTATATAACTCTTACATTTTTAACTGATTTTAAAGACAAGGTAGGAGGTTCCATTATATCTCAAACAAGCAGGTTTAATATAGTGGCAAAGACTTTTATGGAGATATAGAGGAAAAGACAGATCATTTGACTTAAGATACAGTGGCTGCATAATAGGTTATATTTGCAAGTTCTTTAGCTGCAAAGCTGTATGTGTTTTTCAGATTAAAAACAATGCTTTAAAGTTGGTAAAATACATTAAAAGTGAGGTTTTCACATCTCAAAAATGCAAGGAAACAGGCAGGCAGGCATGCTTTAAATAAAACAATAAAAAATGAGTGTGTAGTTTGTGACTCTCAGAGGCAACCAATCTTATCTGCTCCAAATATTTCTATTTTATACTTCTTGACAAGAGGCTGGGATTTAGGAATTTTCTACAAAACATCTGAGGATCCCAACTTGCTTTCTCTTGTCTACATAATCACAAATCATCATTAGGAAATGCGTAAAAGATTAGTTCAAGCTCACAATCTGAAAAAAAGTAACATTTCATTTGAATAGAATATCATCAAGCCACACCTGTTGTCGTAAGCCACAGAATTTAGCTATTGGTTCCACATTTTGTAGCTCCTCTTCTGTATCATATAAGTAAATGTCATCTTTAATGCTTCGAGCTGGCCAAAACCCAATCAGACCTTTGGCTTTAAGCTTATTTTCTGTAATCAAACTTTTCAGCAGGTTTTGAGCTTCATTGTAAACTTTTTTTGCCTCTTCTCCTAAAAAAGGAGAAAAAATGGTAAGAATGGCTGGATAAATCATTTTGAATAAACTACAATGGTTGGGTTCACACATAATACAAACTAAACCTAAACAAATCATATTATGGTTTACCATGATGTGTCAGCCCAGTCATCAAAACTTAAAATAAACTCATAGAATTTTTTTTTAAAAGTAATCAAAGTTTGGATTTTTTTTTTACCTGCAACCTTAAAATTACTGACTTTGCTTTCCTTATCACATCTGTTCAATGGCTCAATTGCTATCAACAGTTTTACTGTGAGATTTACTGCAGGCATTTAGATGAAAATAAGTATTTCATAAAAAGTATATGAATGTTTGCACATTTCCTAGTGATAGTATCTAAACATACAATTTTCTCTTATTAAATTAGGAAAATATAAACAATCTTGTAAATCTTCTCTATCCACACACTGATCACAGGTGGCCCAAAATAATATCTTGCCATGGCAGAAGAAAATGATTTAATGAATGGCTAATCAAAAGCCTTTCAAAACGAAAGTTGGATTAATGGAATTAGTTGTGTTCACTGTATGCCAAGATAAAGACATCATGAATTTACCAGTTACATAATTGTTTTATGGATGATAAATCTATTTGCATCTCATCTGCATCATTAATTCCTTTGCATGTTTACACAACTACAAGCATTTTAAATAATAATTAACCTAGTTTTTACATCCTCCATTAGAGAAAATGCTATTGTGCTTACTCACCCACTACTTTATCATTGAAGATTTTAGGGAATCCCCGGTTGGGATATCTGCCTCTAAGCTGCCAGACATCAAAAAATGGTTTCCAGTCAATATAATCCACCAGCTTCTGTAAGTCATAATCTTCAAAGACTCTAGTGCTAAGGAACTGTGGTTTAACTATGAAAATTCAACACAGAAATTTTGTACTTCAACATATGTTTTTTACAACAGGCTCTATTTTAATATGCTTTTAGTACAAACACTTAATGCTGAAGGATTATCATATGCTTAACTTCAGTTAGCCAAGGCTGTGTCTTTGGACCCTACTGAATGCAGGAAACATCAATGAATCCAACAAACAGGACTGCTATTGATTATACATTTATTTCCCATGAACTAACCAGCTGGAAAATAATAAGAATATATGTATGGTTTTTCCGCAGCATGAGATGGCAAAAAAGAAATAACAGAAATAGTAAGCTGTTGTATATGGGAAATCATGAATTTACAAATCCCTTGGTTACTAAAGCTGTGGTGCCTTTCATCTGTGAGGGATGATTTAATCTGGATTCCTCGTGTCAACTTTGCAATTAACTGTTCAGAGAATATAGAGCTGATTCATGGGAGGTGTTTATAATTCTCCACAAAAATCCCATATAGCAGTTTTAACCTATTTGCTTCTTACTTCAGATAAGGCAAGCAGATCAAGAATTCTTTTCATATGACCTTTTCTTGATGTTTTTCTATATACTCCTTTAATAAAAGCACTAGCAATAAGCATAGCAAATTGGTTGATTGATTAACTAAGTAATTAAGCCCACCCTCTGGAACAACCTTCCCCCAGAGTTACGTACAATAACAGACCTCCGGATTTTTCGTTGGGCCCTGAAAACCTATTTATTTCAACTAGCTGGGCTGGCTTGAGTTTAATTTTAAATTGATTTTAAATTGGGTTGTTTTAATTTACGGCCAAAATATTTAATTATTTTAATACTGTTTTTAAATTTTTTATGCTCTGTTTTTACTTTGGCTGTGCACCGCCCTGAGTCCTTTTTGGAGAAGGGCGGTATAGAAATTTAATTAATAATAATAATTAATTAATTAATAAGTATTTTTTATCAGTAAGTAAGTAAATAAGGATCAAGTAAGAATCACATTTTTATCCTGCAATCAAATGACTCTTACAGAGAATGTAAAACCAATAAAATATTCACTGTAAAAATTCCATAAAAACAGTATAAACACCCACACCTAAAAATACAAATAATAAAAACAGATGTTAAAGATGATGTGGTAACATCAGGGAAAGGCTTCTCAAAACAACTCCATCTTTAAAAGTTTTGGGGGCTAGCCTGATCTCAACTTGGGAGCTATTGTGGGAGGCTATTCCACAAGGCCAGCACTATCACTGAGAGCAGCACCTTCTGGGCTCAGCAATCCGAACTCTCATCAGATATGTTAGGAATAACGTTTTCTCTCTGTTGGCACTGATTGGTTGGGCCAATTCTTGCTGAAATCCTACAGAAATCCATAAGACAAACTATATTTCTTTAAAAAAGCAACCGGCCAATCTTTATTTAAACAGCCCTATTAATTCTTATATATTTTAAAAGTAGTTTAAATTTAATATATTAATTTTAAATTAAAATAAAATTAATTAACTAGAGAGGCAAGAGAGCAATTTATAACAGTTCTCCAAGTAATTCTTTAAAAAAGTAGAGACTCTTAAAAATAAAGAGAATGATATGGTAACCAATTGAATTTCTGGGAGAAAAATTATTTACAAATTAATTTTCATTAAGTTATAAATACTGAAATCCAATTTCAATTCACTATGGAGTTTTTTTCCAAAAATGTCTGTGTTCCTGTAGCTCAGTACCTTCTAGCACTGAAGAAAACAACCAAGCTCAGAGTGGCAGTTAAGAAGCAAAAAATAAAATTTGTCTTCCAAAACTGGGGAAGACTATTTTCCCTGGTGTTCCTTGGAACCCTGACACAGAGAGCACTAAGGATTCTACATATCTTTATTTTGGCAAAGCAGAAAAGAGTTTTAAAACTTAACCTGGTTTAGTCTCAGTTTTCCAGTCATAATAGAAGCGTTTATTTCTTGCTTGCTCTAAAGACAAGTATTTTCTTTCCTATATATAGGGGGAAAAAATCTAGAGATTAGTACTGTGTGGTTTAAATCTAGCAGTTAATTTATTTAGATAAAAGAAAGCAAATGGAGCTAGCAATAATTAATACAAGCCTGGAAGGCACCCTTGTCAGCAGGAAGAAAACTTTTTCCTAGAGTCACATAAAAGTGAATCAATAGCTATATAAATCAAATAAATTAATTATAAATCAATTTTTAAGAAACTCAGAGATTCCCAATAAATATATCCAGGTGTAGACTGTAGATTAAGAATCTCCATCTTCACTAGGAAGAGATACTCCCTTTTATACAGATTCAAACCCATCAGTCCCACCATCTGGTAGAGTTTTAAAAAAAGAAAAGAAATATGAGTCCTCTTAAAAGGCAAAATTCAAGAAGGAAACAGGAAGAAACGAAGAGAAGATTTGAAAAAACACTGGTCTAAGAGTTTTCTACAACTTCAGATTAAAATCTGAAATTTCAGGAAAAAAAGAATCTGGACAAACAAACAGAGGAAATAGTGTTACTGAAATTATTTTCATGTTTGCCATTTGACCTTTCAATCACCAGTAAGGTGATTGTGACCATATCCCTCAGTCACAAATTAGGGGTTTGAGGGAGGATATTAGATAAGATGTCCCCTGAAAGATAAATGATAGCATCTTGAACTAGCAAGTTACTAACACAAAGCAGGAGACAGGAGCAGAGGTAAAGATCTAATGGGCTTCTGGGAGACATTTGACCAGTGGTGAAATTCAATTTTTTTTACTACCGGTTCTGTGGGTGTGGTTTGGTGGGCGTGGTGTGGCTTGGTGGGGGTGGCAGGGGAAGGATACTGCAAAATCTCCATTCCCACCCCACTCCAGGAGAAGGATACTGCAAAATCCCCTTCCCCCCCCCCCACTCCAGGGGGAAGGATATTGCAAAATCTCCATTCCCACCCCACTCTGGGGCCAGCCAGAGGTGGTATTTGCCGGTTCTCCGAACTACTCAAAATTTCCGCTACCAGTTCTCCAGAACATGTCAGAACCTGCTAGATTTCACCCCTGCATGTAACTCTACACAATGCTCCTGTGATATTAAAAAGTAGTTTTACCATATTTACCTTAAGTGAGTCATAATGATCCTGCCGAATGTCTTCATACTCTTCTCGTATTTCTTCAAAAAAGTCATCTTTTAGACTTTCATCTAAAAGCTGAGAGCACTGTAACAAATACAACATGATGGTTAAATCTGTCATTGAGACATGCTATCCATTATTTTTCAAATTCTCTCTTTTGAGAACTTACATACCCTAATGAGGTGACACTCCAAAAGAACATATGTAGTAACTACCTTAACTTCTTTTGTAAAAATCACTGAATTCCTAATAGATACGTCATATTTTCATATGAGTACTATTTCCACCAAAAGGATGCCAAATGAATGTACTGAAGACCTTACCTGCAGACTTCAAATATGGGGAAAAAATGAATTAGTTAAGAAAGCAGGTCTGAAATGAGAAGATGATGAGGAAGATTTTCCCTTCATTCCTGGATGAAATGAAGGTTGACTATTTCCTTAAATGGATGAAATCCAGGTGTACCTGATGAGAGGCAGAGTTTTGCCCTGGAATTGATGGTTAAGGATTTCCTCCTATTCCCTCCCACTAGTTGCCCTGCGGCCTTAAGAAGATTCACATCTGACCACATATACTTCATACGCTTAGAGCTATGCAGTCCAAAGGGAAGGATTTGAATTAGAAAAAACATGATCCCACTGAAAAGTATTATTTTAATGTCAGACAGCAATGTGAAAATACCCATCTCTTAAACCAGTCCCTTCAACTATGCAAGAGACAGGCTAATATGGACTGAGACACTGCTTAAAGTCAATCGGTGCTGAAGAAGCAATACAAGAGTCTAATAAATTCTGTCCTTAACTTTCTTGAATGTTAAAAAAAATATCCGTTTTTTTTTTCCTGATTATATAACCAAGGAAGAGGGGTTTGTTTTTTTTTAAGGTCCAAAATGAAGAAAAAGGAATTCAACAAATCAAAGTTCATACTGCAAAGTTCAAAAGGAACTTCATGGACATTTACAAGGAGGTGGGTTTTCATCAAAAATCTTTTAGGATATTTGGAATAAGGTTTCTGTACGAATGAAAAACTCTTGAATGACCAAAATGAAAAGCAAGTTATCCAAATAAGCCATCTGAAGCAAATAAGAGTAAAATACTATAGAAATGGAAAGAAATTGAGATCACTCCTCACAAAATTTTCTATGCGTAAAGGTTGTTGCACAGTAATCAGAGTCTGTCAGGTTAAAATCCAACAATATTTTAGCAACCTATGTCTAGGAGAAAAAAGACAGAGATCTGAAACTAGGGTAGTTACTACGCATGTTCATTTGGACTATCGCTTCATGAGAGTATTTACTTATTACAGATTTAGGGAATTACAATTTTCAGAATTACCAATTAACATAGCCAAGACGGCTGACAGTTATAATCTTAATACTTCTGGGATGCACCAGATTAGAGCATCTGGTATAAATCTTCAGATAGAAATCTTATCACAACTTACAACCACCACACTTTTGGAGGCATCCAGGACATGAATGACAGGAGCACTATACCGTGGAGCAATTTTTACAGCTGTATGAGTTCTGAAATAACATAAAAGGAAACCTAAGAAAACAATAACTATATGAAGAAACAATAAAAAACATCTTAATGTACAAATATGATTATATTCTGATAGGAAATCTGTAACTCCTTGGCAAATTCAACTTCTCCTTTAAGGAAATGACAGCCAACTTGCACATCACAAAGAGTCAGAGAAATAAATCCATTATATATATATGACTGCAAAATCCTTTTATTTTCAACAAGTTCTAACATAATATGGAAAATTAATCAATATCTAAGCGGCTATATTTCTCAAATAAATACTGCCTGCCTGAGCACCATCTTAAGTGTCTTCCAATTTTACAATTCTCTGAATCTCCCAGATTCTCTTCTCAAACTCCCCAGAATGCCAGTTTTACATATTTTAAAAACTATGATTTCATTTTCAGTGTTGCAAAGGTAATTCTCACTACACAATCGTACAAATTTACATCACACATCTCATAACAAAATCAGGTACTTAATTATTGACTGCTGTTAAAACAGCCATCTATAACTAGAAGAAGTAGTTTGAAATAATTCTTATATTTTAGGTTTTCACATCCCATTACATTTTTTATCTTCAATCTATGACGTATTACAATTCTCCTGGGACCTTTGCATGAAAATTTCGTTAATGCAAACCACGTATGGCTTGATTCTCAATGTTGCAAAACTAAGTTCATTTTTGCTAAACCAAATGTGTACTTGTACAAAAAATAAATCAGTTTTATACATCTCTTTTTCAGTGAGGAAATCAATAACTTCTTTGAAACTTAAATTAGGATTCAGGCACTTGATTTGTAGATTTGGTACATTTAAAATGGTATAAAAATGGTATAAATAAACATATCTAATAAATATTGATTAAAATAATCTAAAAGGAATATAAAACAGTTAATTTTGGAAATCATTTTTTTTTTATATAAGCAATTCTATGTATTTAGGTCAACATCCTCTGCCCATAGCAAAAAAAACCTAACTTACTTTGAAGTAGTTGCTCCTCCAATCAGCAAAGGGATCCTTATTTCTAGTCTTTCCATTTCCTTGGCAACAAATATCATCTCATCCAAAGATGGAGTGATAAGACCAGACAAGCCAATTATATCTAATTTAAATATAAATAGTCAAATATTTCCAACATTTTCTCTATGATTTCAGAATTTATGTTAAACTTTGAGGTAAAATGCCATTCAGTTGTTAAAATGAAGCCATGGATCTGATTTAGAACTTTCTCCTAACTTTCTGCAACTAGAGATATCACCCTGGATATTCAACTTGTGTGAAATAGGTAGGATTAGAATTTCTAAATATCTCAAACATCTGTGGTGAATACAACACTGTCATCTTTTCAACACCGGATAATTATAATTTTATTCTTCCAGTCATTTTAAAAATGAAAAAATATTTGAATACTTTTGAATAACATAGAACCTATCCTTAAATAAATAAATCTGAATTCTATAAACTGGCTATATTTTTACATAGTAAAGTAAATCATTGCACTGAAGTTGAGCCAAAATAACCACAATCGCCAATGGACTACTTAATATCAAATCAAAATTTTATCCATTTTTCTGACAAATCCTAATGTATTTTAAGGATTCTGTTTTCAAGAAGAAAGATTGTACCAGTTATCATCTTAGTTTACTCTTAATGATTTTAGTGAGAACTAGCATTTGAAGATACACATTTTCACATGATGTAAATATATTCTTGAAACTCCACAAAACTGGACAAATACAAATCAAAGTTGTGAGTACCTGCTTTGTTTTCAAGAGCAGCTTTAAGTATCTTGTCACATGGCGTCATAACTCCCAAATCAATAACTCTGGGGAAGGAAATGGCAGTTTGTTAATCAATTTGTACATATGCTCAATTAATCCATGTCTGTTAATAGTCCACAAAAAAAATCAATCATCCTGTGAGGAAGCTCAAGAGAACAACATTTGGTTTATAATCTTCCCTTATACCTGAGCCTTCTTATACAATAACTGCCCCATTCTTAGTTATTACCGCACTTGCTTGAGTTACACTTTCTATCAAGTCCAGTGACTTCTTACTTACCAATAAAGGAAAATATTTGTAACTCAGGTTGAAATTTCTTATTTAAGAAGAACAGATAATTGAGAAATGAACTTCTTGGGCAGTATGCTACCAAGCATTTCAAGATAGCTTGCCATATTGCAAATCCTGAGGACTTTGACTTATGAATTGGCTACCCAATGTCCAAACAAAAATTCCCAGATTAAAAATCTATCTGAATATGCTCAGTTAGGCAGAAATTGAACAGTTTCAAGTTCAATCATGTATTTGATCAAGTTTCTGCAGAGCTTTTATGCTACCCTATACACTTTCATAATTTATCCCAAAGAGTTCTTGAGACTAAGTTTCAAATACTTGAGGCCAAAATCTTCTGCCTTTGTGGCAATGGAACAGTTAACTGGCCCATGTTTTTATTACAGTACACAGTATTTTGTAGAGATTCATGCAAGTTTAATATATTTACAAAGAAAAAAATATATGTCTGCCTAACTCACTCACAATGACTTGGGTTGGCTTACAGAAATAAAACCCAAAATACAAAACCCAACAAACCCTCACTGCCCCTCCTCCCCAATAGCAACAATCAGAACAAACCACTCCATATCACCCTGGGATACTCAGGTCTCCTGTATAGTATATCAGCCTTTACTAAATCTTTTCCTGTGTGAACAGATAAATTTTATATATACCACCTGGTTTTTAGACTTGGTACTTTTTAAATGATATAAATAAACATATATAATAAATATTGATTAGAACAATCTAAAGTACCCTCAGAAAGCTAGCACTTTAGCCAAATTATTAAATGTCCCACTTGCAGGAGATATTTCTAGCCTGCCAACTAATTACAGTACAGGGAAGTATGTGCAAGATCAAAAGGTCGAGTCTCATTACCTGAAATTATTGCAGCCCAGAACTACTCCTACAATGTTCTTGCCGATATCGTGGACATCACCTTTCACAGTAGCTAACACAATAGTGCCTTGATAAGGATCCTGCAAAAGTTACGCCATTTTCAGAATTTATGTAGATTTCATTTCTGAACAATTCCTATCATATGAATGATTGCCTTATTGCAACATCGGTATGATGTAATGGTTAAAAGGGAAAGCTTGGAGAACTAAGTGAACCTGGATATTTGAAAGAGCAGGTACTGACCCTTGCAGAAGCAGAAGAATTGCTTCTGAAATGAAAAGAGTACAATTGCGACGAAAAGGTGAGCACAGCAATTAGCCTAGGTAGAGAGGATTATAATCCCACCTCCTTTGACTATGACAGTAAGGAGGACTCTCCTCCTCCCAAATAGCAATCCTTTCTCTTCCTCTCCATTACCAAAAGCTAAGAAAGTGAGTCTTCCACCTCAAAGGCGGTGTTTTCTAATGATGTCCTTGGCCCTAGCTTGCAGGACTGGGCACCACAGAGCGTTTGGACAGGTTCTCTCCCTTGTCCACAGTGAATGAAGACCAAAAGTGAGAGGAGGAGTGTCTGTGAAACTGACTTGGAACAGAAGTAAAGAAAAGGAATAAGTGAATGATTGATTACAGACAACTGATTTCAAATTATCTGTACATGGCATGGTATTTATTTGAGCTGGGCTACGATGTTTGGGTGAGAAATAATCTTTCTTAGTGTGATTAAAAATAAAAATAGGAATATTTCTGCTATTTTAAGACCCTATCTTTTCTTTCAACTCTTTGATATAATGATTATCAATCTACATTTGGTTATGGCATCCATGTTCTTACTATCATGCTGCCACAACTATCATTTTGTAAATATATTGTCCATAGAAACAAAAAACGGGGGAATTCTTGGTTAGTAGTTAGAGAAGATGTAGACAAACTGTATGCCACTTAATTTGGTTTATGACTGTGACTCCCACCATTTCAATCACAATACATGATAAAGACTGTAAAATTATAATGCAAACCATCATAAGAATAGCAGATTGTCAACTCCAGGCTGATTAGACTTGAAAACTTTGGACTGAAATGCTCACCAACCATAATGTGTCATCTTAGGTTTGTCTTTATGCCTCAACCTAATTGTCCTTGATTAAGACTAGGGTGGATTTGATTTAAATCGAGTTGATTTAAATCACAATTTAAATCATGATTTAAATCACTAGTAAAAAGGCTTGATTTAAATCAACTCGATTTAAATCATAATTTTTAAAGAGCAACTGTCATCTCTGCTACTCCTTTGACCCACTGTTGACTCACCGATAGTCCCAGTGTTGCAGAATATACAGCCTCATGCTACATAACTAAGCTCCATTTCATGCTGAATAAACTAAATTATTTATGTATCTTAAATAGAAAACTATCTTACGATAGATTTTTACCCCAAAAGTTTTTTATTAAAATAAATTCGATAAAAATCAAAAAAATCCGATTTAAATCAAAAAAATCCGATTTAAATAAAAAAAAATCTGATTTTTTTGATTTTTTTAAAAAATCATTGATTTTTATCCACCCTGATTAAGACAGAAATGAGAACTAAGAGCATTATTTTTTTGTTGTTAGTTGCGAAGTCATGTCCGACCCATCGCGACCCCATAGACAACATTCCTCTAGGCTTTCCTGTCCTCTATCATCCTCTGGAATCCATTTAAATTCACGCCTACTGCTTCAGTGACTCCATCCAGTCACCTCATTCTCTGTCGTCCCCTTCTACTTTTGCCCTCAATCTTTCCCAACATTAGGCTCTTCTCCAGTGAGTCCTTCCTTCTCATTAGGTGGCCAAAGTATTTCAGTTTCATCTTCAGGATCTGGTCTTCTAAAGAGCAGTCAGGGTTGATCTCCTCTAGGACTGACTGGTTTGATCGCCTTGCAGTCCACAGGACTTGCAGGAGTTTTCTCCAGCACCGTAGTTCAGAGCATCATATATAAATACATTCCAAAATATCTTTCCCCTAAGATGCAAGGAATCACACTGCATCTTAGGCAGTTTGCTGCAACTCACAGACCACAAAATGAAAAATACGGTTGTTTCTTCAATCCATTAATTTGATCCTTATGAGAATAAAATTTAACAATATTATCGCTGTGGGAGTCAGCCTTTCTGAATACAAAACTCAGGGGTCTTTTAAAAAATTACTTTTGTCAAAATAACAGAACATTCCCCAAGGAACCATTTGTAAACAGGGATCTATGAGCAGCACAAATGACTGTTATTCAAAAAAAAGTAGATCAGAACATTGCAGCACAGTCTTCTCCAACCTGGTGCTTTCCAAATATTCTGGAACCGCAACTCCCTAAATTCTTAGCCATAATGGAAGCAAGCAGCCTTAACATTTTCTCTCCTGGAGTCCCTACTTCTAGGATCCTCTACTGATTTCTTCAGTGAATACTTTCATATCAATGATTACACATTATAGTTTACACATTACTATTAATCTTCTCATCGTTCCTATCACCCATCTCCTCCCACTTATGACTGTATGATTGTAACCTTGTTGCTGGTATCCTTAAGATTTATATTGACTGTTTCCCTATGACTATCATTAAGTGTTGTACCTTATGATTCTTGATGAACGTATCTTTTCTTTTATGTACACTGAGAGCATATGCACCAAGACAAATTCCTTGTGTGTCCAATCACACTTGGCCAATAAAGAATTCTATTCTATTCTATTCTATATTAATTTTTAAAACCAAAAGCATTTCATTTATCTATACACGATAGTGGCGTATCCATGGTTTTAAATTTGTTTCTTCTTATTCATGAAAAACAATAAGTGCTGGGCAGACAGTTTTAAAAAAGAAACAGAGGCACACATATAAATCTTTGCTTCTTTTAGCATACCATATTTGCTAATATTGGCATGTTTTTCTCAAATGGAGCCCTTGCGTTCAAACAGGTAGGAATTCGGGGGGGGGGGATTCATGAAAAAAGTCACCATGTCTGTATAACTATGGCTCTTTAAGGCTGTACCCTCCCCCCCCCATATTTATCTTGATTACAGCATAGCTCATTTTCCAAACAAACAGGTATGTAACCCAGAGGCATCCAGAGGGAGAAATCAAAAGCATACAGCAGGCATGCACAACCAGGCTCTCAAAGCTCTGCTCCTTTTAAATAGCTGTTGCATACATCACATAAATGTAAAAATATTAAGACTTCAGTCCTGGCTGCCATCTTGAAGCTGTTATCTTCCCTTACAGATACCTCTGCTGGCAACCTTAATACCCCTTGCTATTATTCATCATTAATGTAAACAAAAGCTTTGATGCCTGAGGGTTTCTGTGTTACTATAATGCTTAACTCTTTCTGTCTTCTTAAAATGTAACAGAATTTGGGGGAAATGAACATCCAGACTATGCCAAGGTTCAGCATAATTATGCATTACACTCATGAAAGCCTGCGTGACTGGAGCTGAAGGGCATGCTCATTTAATCAAGCCAGGAAAAAAACAGTCACAGTGGAATGGTCAAACAATAATCACAGGCCTAATTGCTAGGGGAATCCTAAAACTGATGGGAATGGGAAGAGGGAGGGAGGAATGGGCTAAGCTCAGACTAGGTTGCAATGTAGACCAGTGCATATATTTATTTTTAAGACATCTTCGGGATAAAAACAAGGTGATTTTTAACATTAAATGATTTGAAGCAGACTAATTGGGAACAGGACTAAATAGCCTTTCCTCTTCAGTCCTGGCACACAAGCCTACAGCAAAGCCATCCATTCTGAAAGATAATAACCAGTGCTCTATATTTGCTATTCTTCTGGCACTGCAGCAAGTATTCTGAGAGGTAACTGCACTCATGAGAGCTTCTAAGCCAGGAGATATGCACCTCATTTTGAGATAGGACAGCAGCAAACATTCCAATGATAAAATTCATATTCGGAGGCCAGCAGATTCCCACACACACTAGAATAGCAGCATTTAGCATTTCCAAAAGACTGTAGCATATACCAACTATTAGCGAGTAATAATACAGGACTGGCCTAATTCCATACTGATTCAGAACACACTTCCCAATTTTTAAATAAACATGTGGCTGCTAAATAAATACATCTTAAAGCGAGTAAGCTTCTTGATTGTTGTGTTTCTCGCTCAGCATTTTGCTTTACCTCATTTTACTCCCTTCCCAAATGCCAAAGACAGCATAAAATTCACAATTTGTTCTTAAATCAACTCAGCCTTCGCAACAATTTGAACTACAAGAACAACTGCTGTTATTTCATTTTTTTCAAGCCTGTTAGGAATGAAAGAAATCTGCTACAGCACAAAGCATCAGGTTTCTTCCAGCCTCACGACTGCTTCCAATGAGCAACTATACATTAGCTTGACAGATGCTTCCTAAAACAAGAGGCTGCAGAGCATGGAAAGCCAAGGATTTTGTTTGCTCTGCCTTTGGAAGTGAACCAATCTGATTCACACCTCCCAGACTAATTTGCATTTCTCCAGAATCCATTTTTCAACTTCAAAACTGTATTGTGTCATACATCAAACCACAAAATGCTTTTAAAACAAGAACAGTGCAGATATAAAAAAAAGAAAAATGCCAATAAAGACAATAATAGGATTGGCACGGACTTACTAATGCATTTAGTGACATCAATCCTAAAGGGTCTGATTAATCCCTGCTGGGACTCTCTAGTAACAACTAGCACCCCTTTGCTCCATAACTTTTTGCTCAAAAACAATATTTTGAAGTGTGGCTATATGAGATTGTAGGCAATCCCCAAAATTAGCTTGTAACGTGAAAAACACAGCTCAACAGAGAGAGGCAAAAACTGTTCTTGCTACTGTTAATTTTTTTTTTTTGTCTGTTGAACATTCATCCAATTAAGTACCAACTTTATGACTATGGATCCTTATGTAGAATACTACTGCTGTTTGTTTTATTGGCAACATATCAAATGGACAACTTTATGTTTTCCGATCAGCTGCCCATTTCTGTGACTGAGAGCTCATGTAAGAGGATCTATTTATTGCAGAAGTTGCTGCCATGACGTGCCATGAATTCCTGACCCACACAAAAATCTATAACACAACTGCAACGAAAATTAATTTAAGAGAATCAAGGATTGAAGCTGCAAACTCACATCTTCCTCCGTGCTACCAGACAACGCACGTAATTCTTCTCTTTCTTTCTCCATGAATGGGATAAGATGGCCCACCGCTTTCTTCATAACTCTAGCAGATTTAATCACCTGTATATTCAGATTCAGAAAAAGACCCATGAGTGTTCAAAAGTTTATTCAAGATTATAGCAACCAATGAATTAAACTGAAAGCAAATCATACCAGGCCCCCAAAACAGAAAATTACCAATAAATACCAACTAAGTAACCTAGTAACTTCTAAGCAACTCCTTTACCAGTTTCTCCATTTTCTGGCGTTTTAGAGAAATGCTTCCAATACATTACATTCATATAGAATAGAATACTTTATTTGGCCAAGTATGATTAGACACACAAAGAATTTGTCTCTGATACAGAAGCTCTCAGTATACATGCAAAACAACAAGGTAATAATAATCACAACAATGACACCAATAATGGGGTAGTAGAGAAGATGAGAAGGATAATAATACTATTATAGCCATACAACATGGATAAATATACTTAGATAAAAGACAGTACTGTAAGGATTAGGTGTTCAGCAGAGTGGTGGCACAAGGGAAAAAATCTCCCTATGTCTAGTTGTTTTGGCATGTAATGCCCTATAGCGGCATCCCGAAGGGAGGAGTTGAAACAAATTATGTCCAAGATGTGAAGGGTCTGTAGTTATCTTCTCAGTCCTCCTTCTGACCCATGCAACATACCAGTCTTCTATGGAAGGCAGGCTGGTTGAAATTGGTTTTTCTGCAGTCATAACTATCCGTTGGAATCTGAACCTGTCCTCTTAGTTGCTGCACCAAACCATACAGATATGGAAGTACAAATGACAAACTCAATAATTCCTCTTTAAAGCTGTATCAGGAGCTCCTGGGGCAGTCTGAACTTCCTGAGTTGATGTAGGAAGAACATTCTTTGTTGTGCTTTTTTTAATGATGGTTCTAATGTTGAATGGTAGTGGTAGAATACAAGGATTCCTCCTAAAATCCACACTCATCTTTATAGTTTTAAGTGTGTTCAGTTCCAGATTGTTCCAGCTGCACCACAGGGCCAGTTGTTCAACCTCCAGTCTATATATGCAGACTCATCACCACCTCAAATGAGACCAATGACTGTTGTATTATCGGCAAACTTCACTACTTCAACACAAGGATCCTTAGAGATGCAGTCATTGGTATAGAGAGACAAGAGCAATGGAGAGAGCACACAGCCCTGAGGAGCACCTGTGCTAATTGTTGGGTGCTCGATGTGATTTTCCCTACTTTCATTTATTGCTTCCTCCCTGTCAAAAAACTAGTAATCCACCTATAAGTATGGACAGGCACAACTAACTGAATCAGTTTAGAGTTTCTGAAATGATGGTATTGAAAGCCAAACTGAAGTCAACAAGTAGAACCCATGCATAGGTCACTGGGGATTAAGATGTTGCAAGATATAGTGCAATACCATATTGACAGCATCATCCACCAATGTATTTGTTCGGTAGGCAAACTGCAAGGGATCTAACAGCGAATCCATGATGATTTTTAAATGGGCCAACATTGGCATCTTAAAGCTCTTCATGCAGTTGCAAGAAAAAGTAAGTGAACCCCTTGGGATTACGTGGAGTTTTGCATGAATAAAGCTCTTCATACAGTTGCAAGAAAAAGTATGTGAACCCCTTGGGATTACATGGAGTTTTGCATGAATTGGTCATTAAATATGCTCTGAACTTCATCTAAGTCACAACAATAGAAAAACACAATCTGCTTAAAATAATACTACACAAACATTAGATGTTGCCATGGCTTAATTGAACATAACATGTAAATATTCACAGTGCAGGGAGGAAAAAGTATGTGAACCTTTGGACTTAATAACTGGTTGACCCTCCTTTGGCAGCAATAACCTCAACCAAATGTTTCCTGTAGTTGCAGATCAGACCTGCACAACCATCTGAAGTAATTCTGGACCTCTCTTCTTCACAAAACTGTTTCAGTGTAGCAATATTCTTGGGATGTCTGGTGTGAATCGGTCTCTCAAGGTCATGCCACAGCATTTCAATCGGGTTGAGGTCAGGACTCTGACTGGGCCACTCCAGAAGGCGTATTCTGTGCTGTTGAAGCCATTTTTTTGTTGAATTACTTGTATGCTTTGGGTCATTGTCCTGTTGCATCACCCATCCTCTGCGGAGCTTCAGTTGGCGGACAGATGATCATACATTTTCCTGCTAAATGTCTTGATAAACTCTGGAATTCATTTTCCCATCAATGACAACAATCCGTCCAGGCCCTGAGGCAGCAAAGTAGCCCCAAACAATGATGCTCCCTCTGCCATGTTTTACAGTGGGGATGAGGTTTTGATGTTGGTGTGCTGTGCCTTTTTTTCTCCACACATAGTGTTGTGTGTTCTTCCCAAACAACTCAATTTTGGTTTCATCTGTCCACAGTATATTTTGCCAGTAGTGCTGTGGAACATCCAGGTGCTCTTTGCAAACTTCAAACGTGCTGCAATATTTTTTTTGGACAGCAATGGCTTCCTCCGTGGTGTCCTCCCATGTACTCCCTTCTTGTTTAATGTTTTCCTTATTGTAGATGTGTCAACAAAAATGTTAGCATGTGCCAGAGATTTCTGTAGGTCTTTAGCTGACACTCTAGGATTCTTCTTTACCTCATGAAGCATTCTGCGCTGTGCTTTTGCAGTCATTTTTACAGGAAGATCACGCCTAGGGAGAATAGCGACAGTGCTAAACTTTCTCCATTTGTAGACAGTCTGTCTTACCGTGGACACATGAACATCAAAGCTTTTGGAGATACTTTTGTAACCCTTTCCAGCTTCATGCAAGTCAACAATTCTTGATCGTAGGTCTTCTGAGAGCTCTTTTCTGCGAGGCATGGTTCACATCAGACAGTGCTTCTTGAAACCAGTAAACCCAAAACAGGTGTGTGTTTTTAAAGGGCAGGACAGCCGTCAGCAACACATCCAATATCATCACACTGATTGGAGTCAAGGTTGGCTCACTCCTGGCTCCAATTAGCTCTTGGAGAAGTCATTAGGCTAGGGGCTCACATACTTTTTCCTCCCTGCACTGTGAATGTTTACATGTTATGTTCAATTAAACCATGGCAACATCTAATGTTTGTGTAGTATTATTTTAAGCAGACTGTGTTTTTCTGTTGTTGTGACTTAGATGAAGTTCAGAGCACATTTTATGACCAATTCATGCAAAACTCCACGTAATCCCAAGGGGTTCACATACTTTTTCTTGCAACTGTAACTACAGATGTCAGAGTGACTGGTCTGAAGTCCTTCAGTTCCCTGATGGTTTCTTGGGGACTGGGATAATATTAAAGCATTTTGCCACTTCAGTCCAAGATTTCACTATTTTGACCACAGGTTTTGCAGTTTCAAGTTTCTATCTATAGGTGGGGATGAGATGAATCATACAATGATCAGAGAGACCCACAGAGACCCATAGCTGCTCTTGAGAGAGAGTGGGAGAGGGAGAGTGATAGGCACCTTTTAATGTACTTTAATATTTAATATATTTAACCTTTTAATATGGTGTCACAAATCCACCACAAACCTATCCCAGTGGATTTATTGTTACAGTGACTTGCTAGTCAAGCAAAGTATACTAACACTTGCAGTCCTCCAAGACTATCCATTGCCTGTCTAAATAAAGTGAGCCATGCTGCAGTTTCAGCCCACATCTGTAAAGCTATGCCTGCCTGCATCAAATGTGTATAAAATACTAATTTGGAGAAAGCCAAACATTAAACCTAACTATTAAAACTAAAAGCTAACACATGAAAAGAGACAGACAGATTGTGAACATATTGCCAATCAAATATGAACAAATAAAAAAGGAGACTAAACTAACCCATGGGGTAAAATGCTGTTTTATCTGCTGGCATACATCAGGATAGTAGAGGATATTTTCATTTTATGTCCCATAAGCCATTAACCCCAAAAGCCATCTTTATAACTAAATAAGAACAGCAATAATCACTAACAGCAATGAAAAGAAAGTAATACCCATTTTAAGGTACAGGGTATCTCTAGTATTAAGAGTACATGCTTTCATACATGAGGTCCAGAGGTGGGTTTCAGCAGGTTCTGATCAATTCTGGAGAACTAGTAGTGGAAATTTTGAGTAGTTCGGAGAACCAGTAGTAAAAATTCTGGCTGACCCTGCCCCCATCTATTCTCTGCCTCCCAAGTCCCAGCTGATTGGGAGGAAATGGGGATTTTGCAGTAACCTTCCCCAGAGTGGGGTGGGAATGGAGATTTTATAGTATCCTTCCCCTGCCACGCCCACAAAGCCATGCCATGCCCACAAAGCCACACCCACAGAACCAGTAGTAAAAAATTTGAAACCCACCACTGATGAGGTCCAATATTCAATCATCTCATCTTTACTACTAGAGGGCCATTTGTAGCAGGTGATGCCCAAACAGATTGGGGGGGGGGGGACTATTCAGGATCAGCCGCTGTTAGTACTAAAATTGGGGGGGGGGGGAATCTGAAAGTTTATAAGCTAAATCTGATAGACTGCCACTAGGAGAAATCCTAGTAGCATAGGCTAAGCAGGGTTGAATGTACTTTGTATTTGGATGGGAGACCATTAGAAATTTTAAGGGCTGTGGACTAACCATTGCATATTGTTACAAAGAAAGCTACATGAATGTAGCAAGGATTTCCAATTCTCAATTGTGTTATTTATTCCCACTCCCAGTTCTCAATTAAAGGAAACTGGTATTTCAGTGGAAGGACTGTGAGCATCTTCACTTTTGATACTTCAACAAATTTCCTGGGGTCAGAATTCTTTCACTGTACAAGAATATCTTTTCCATTACATTTAACTAATGACACCTGGAATATGAAAATTTGTCTGTGCCTGTGTAAGCCACTACTGCCTCTAGAAAGTTGCTGCCGATGAGAGTAAACTATACTGAGGTAAAATGGACCAACTGTTTGGCTTGGTATAAGACAATCTCCTATATTCTACTACAACATCCTGAAGTGCTAAGAACCAAACAATGATCCTCCCTCAAGCCAAAAAAAGCACTGGTGTAATGTTTAGTTACACAGCTAAATTGTGATAGGCTAATGGAAACTTCTTCTTTACCTGAGGAAGAAACATTTTGCCAGCTCCAAAAAGATCACCAACTATTTTCATGCCATTCATCAGGGGCCCCTCAATTATATTCAGGGGTCTGGGATACCTCTCTTTGTTTTGTCTAGCTTCTTCTGTATCCTCAATCACATATTTCTCAATGCCCTGGGGAAAAAAACAACCATCCGTACATTAAACTGGTATATATCTTCCCACAACAAGCATCATTTATCTATTGCATTTTACAAAATCAGGGCCCTCAAGAACAACCTCCAAAAAAGAAACTGTAGTAATTTAAGGGTGTTAAAATAGGCTAATTATACCAAGAACCGGATTAAAAAATAAACCCACAGAATAATTAAAGTAAAAAAAAAAAACAAGAGAAATAAAACATACTAATAATATCGATTAATGTTGAAAGCATAAGAGGCAATGTTTTCAACATCTTTCAAAAATAATCCTGAAGGAGCCTGGCAAAGGGACAGAAGAAAAGCATTCACCAGCAGGAGCCCTCCTCATTATCTCACTTCCCAAAATTGTGTGTGGGTATTCTGAAAAGGATCTCTGAGTTAAGTTTTAAAATAGACAGGCTGTTCTTGAAGTATTCAAAATTACACTTCCTTTTTCATATTGGCAGCTTCTGATCTGCTAAGTGCAATTAACAGCAACTAGTTTCAAGCCAGCTGCTGCAAGAAGTTGTTACAGCCTTGCCTCAGGTGAACCTCCATTTTTCATTACAAGGTGTTGATGCTTTGAAGGAGGTTCTGAATTGAAGCCTGTGAAGAAAGTTCACAATGTTTTTCAAGTCTGGCACCTTTAAGATGTGTGGATTTCCATTCCCAGAATTACCCAGCCAGGCAACATGTTCAGAATTCTGGGAGTGGAGGTCCACCCATCTTAAGTTGCCAAACTTGAAGAACACTGTTCTAGATCTAAATTTGTAAGATGTGAATGGGCATTTATTTTTGTTCAAGAAAAGTTCTGCCAATTGAGATCCCAAATGGACCATTGGAAGCGCACCGTATTTCTCAATTCATCAGGAACAAATCCTGGAAAGCTGAACCCTGACAGCATAACAGATATGGACAGAGTTGTCCAGCAACTTTTCTCTTTAGGATTAAACCTAGTCAAAGAGGCAATGGAACAAATTCTAGCTCATCAAACAGGTAAATTCACCTTAACAAGGCCATACTCCAGTCTTTCTTCTACAGATCCATTTCTCCATCCATCAGTTTGTATCACTTTTTTTCCTCCTTGAGCATGGGTCTGGAATGAGATTAAGAGAAGTTAAAATTAAAATATTTGCCCCACCACCGATAAATACAGTGGGCAAAGAAGTATTTAGTCAGCCACCAATTGTGCAAGTTCTCCCACTTAAAAAGATGAGAGAGGCCTGTAATTGTCATCATAGGTAGACCTCAACTATGAGAGACAAAATGAGAAAACAAATCCAGACAATCACATTGTCTGATTTGGAAAGAATTTATTTGCAAATTATGGTGGAAAATAAGTATTTGGTCTCCTACAAACAAGCAAGATTTCTGGCTCTCACAGACCTGTAACTTCTTCTTTAAGAGGCTCCTCTGTCCTCCACTCATTACCTGTATTAATGGCACCTGTTTGAACTTGTTATCAGTATAAAAGACACCTGTCCACAACCTCAAACAGTCACACTCCAAACTCCACTATGATGAAGACCAAAGAGCTGTCGAAGGACACCAGAAACAAAATTGTAGACCTGCACCAGGCTGGGAAGACTGAATCTGCAATAGGCAAGCAGCTTGGTGTGAAGAAATCAACTGTGGGAGCAATAATTAGAAAATGGAAGACATACAAGACCACTGATAATCTCCCTCGATCTGGGGCTCCACGCAAGATCTCACCCCGTGGGGTCAAAATGATCACAAGAATGGTGAGCAAAAATCCCAGAACCACACGGGGGTACCTAGTGAATGACCTGTAGAGAGCTGGGACCAACATAACAAAGGCTATCATCAGTAACACACTATGCCGCCAGGGACTCAGATCCTGCAGTGCCAGACGTGTCCCTCTGCTTAAGCCAGTACATATCCGGGCCCATCTGAAGTTTGCTAGAGAGCATTTGGATGATCCAGAAGAGGATTGTCATATGGTCAGATGAAACCAAAGTAGAACTGTTTGGTAGAAATACAACTCGTTGTGTTTGGAGGAGAGAGAATGCTGAGTTGCATCCAAAGAACACCATACCTATTGTGAAGCATGGGGGTGGCAACATCATGCTTTGGGGCTGTTTCTCTGCAAAGGGACCAGGACGACTGATCTGTGTACAGGAAAGAATGAATGGGGCCATGTATCGTGAGATTTTGAGTGCAAACCTCCTTCCATCAGCAAGGGCATTGAAGATGAAACGTGGCTGGGTCTTTCAGCAAGACAATGATCCCAAACACACCGCCCAGGCAACGAAGGAGTGGCTTCGTAAGAAGCATTTCAAGGTCCTGGAGTAGCCTAGCCAGTCTCCAGATCTCAACCCCATAGAAAACCTTTGGAGGGAGTTGAAAGTCCATGTTGCCCAGAGACAGCCCCAAAACATCACTGCTCTAGAGGAGATCTGCATGGAGGAATGGGCCAACATACCAGCAACAGTGTGTGCCAACCTTGTGAAGACTTACAGAAAACGTTTGACCTCTGTCATTGCCAACAAAGGGCATATAACAAAGTATTGAGATGAACTTTTGATATTGACCAAATACTTATTTTCCACCATAATTTGCAAATCAGACAATGTGATTGTCTGGATTTGTTTTTTCATTTTGTCTCTCATGGTTGAGGTCTACCTATGATGACAATTACAGGCCTCTCTTATCTTTTTAAGTGGGAGAACTTGCACAATTGGTGGCTGACTAAATACTTTTTTGCCCCACTGTATATTGAAACTATCTTCCTATAAGTGGAAATTCTAACCTATTACTCCATGTGTAAGAGGTTTCTTTCCCAATCAGATAAAACAGCCTTTTGTCTCAGAGCTTGAAAGGTCCTTCGGCCAGTGGTTCTCAAACGTGTTGGTCTTAGGACCCCTTCACATTCTTAAAAATGACTGAGGTTCCCAAAGAGCTTTGGTCTATGTGAGTTATATCTATTGATCTTTATTGCATGAGAAATTTTAAAATATTTGACTTCAGGGACCCCACGGAAGGATATTGGGGACCCCCAGAAGTTCCAGACCACACTTTGAGAATTGCTGTTTTAGGCCATTGAGGAGACGTAATTTTAATGGAATCCTGGGTCAAAGAGGGATGGCCTTCTTCAGATTCTTTGTTGATTCCAAATTTCAGATTCTGTCTACATTTCTATTAAACTGAAGTGTAGAGTCGGAGAAATAGGCAAGAGCTACTATGAAAGCAAAGAGGGCTGAAACATTCCTCAACTCCTGGGAAACAAGATAGCATTCAGAAGTTACTATGTCACTATAGAGGCTCAATAATTGTTCTAGCGTTCCTATTGAGTTAGGTTTCCTGTTCTAGACACAAGAAGAGTTTTTTCCCGAATGCCATCACTCTACTAAACAAATAATTTCCTCAACACTGTCAAACTATTTACTAAGTCTGCACTACTATTAATCTTCTCATCATTCCCACCACCCATCTCCTTCCACTTATGACTGTATGACCGTAATTTTGTTGCTTGTATCCTTACGATTTATATTTATATTGTTTCCTGATTGCTTATTTGTACCCTATGACTATCATTAAGTGTTGTACCTTATGATTCTTGATGAACGTATCTTTTATGTACACTGAGAGCATATGCACCAAGACAAATTCCTTGTGTGTCCAATCACACTTGGCCAATAAAAAATTCTATTCTATTCTATTCTATTTAGTCTAGTCTAGTTTAGGGCTACCCTTGAAAAGTGTTCGGAGACTACAGTTGGTCCAGAATGCAGCCGAGCGAGCTATTGTGGGTGCACCTAGATACACCCACATTACACCAATTCTCTGTGAGCTGCACTGGCTCCCTATCGGTCTCCAGATGCAATTCAAGGTGTTGGTTATTATCTTTAAAGCCCTACATGGCTCAAGGCCAGGCTATCTTCGAGACCTTCTACCGCATAGCTCCCATCGACCGGTAAGATCCCATAGAGTTGGTCTCCTCCGGGTCCCGTCAGCTAAACAATGTCGGTTGGCGGGCCTGCAGGGGAGGGCTTTCTCTGTGGCTGCCCCGGCTCTCTGGAACCAATTACCTCCTGAGGTCCGGACCGCCCCCACTCTATTGGCCTTCCGGAAAGCGGTGAAGACCTGGCTTTTCCGGCAGGCCTGGGGCCGTTGATCTCGCTACGGCGATCTTGCGAGACCTGGCCATGGAATGGAGTGTGTGGGTTATTAATCTTCTTTTTAAAAATTTTACGGGATATTGTTCGCATTGGGGGTTTTTTGCTGTAAGCCGCCCAGAGTCCCTAAGGAGTTGGGCAGCATAGAAATGCGACTAATAAATAAAATAAATAAATAAATAGTCTACTTTGTATAGTTGACATGAAGACCCAAACTGTATGTTTTATTTGCCAGAATTATATTCTGCTACTTGGGTAAATACATACTGTTTTTGTATAAACCATGTTCAATGTATCACCTCAGCTACAAAAAGATTTTTGACTGAATGTACAATATATTTAGCCACTTCCTGTATTTTATGTGTTTATTATGACATTCGAGCCTCAGAAATACTGGGGTGGGGGTGGGGGGGAAGAGAGAATAAGAAAAGGCAGGGTGGAAAGATTATTTTACCTGAGCTTTATATGATTAAGATCCCTAAAAAAAATCAAGGGAATGTTGAAGCATCTTCTTATATTTATCTGTATAGAAGAAGCTTCTTTGCAGATCAGTGCAGAGTTGCACTGGATCATTAGCATGGGTGTCTGATGATATGGCACAATATGCTCATACCTCACACTTGAACACAGATAAACAGTTACTTGCACAGGTAAGTTTACCCAGCAATGGGTAAAATGTATATTTTGAAGTGTTCTGGACTACAAGCAATCACACCATTATCAAATTCATGTCTAATGAAAATCTGACCTAACCTGTTTCATGTGCTCTCTGGTCTTACATAATCAGGGCATATGCGTAAGATACTCTACACATCCGAACACTTAACGGCTGCTGATTGATTCCAGAAAGCTTTTGCTTCTAAACGAGGTAAGACAGGAAAACGTAAATATTCCATCAATAGCAATGAGAATGCCAAAAAAAAAAAAAAATGAGCTTTGGATTTTTATTTCTGGTAATATAATTTAAATGTATCCCCAGCCAGTCTAGCAGCAATTTATTTTAAAAATCTAATAACTTAACTTGGCTTTAGTACAGTCCCTCTTGGTGATCGTTTATGTTGTATCACGTAATGCATCACTAATGAATCAAACACTGTTCTGAACTGGAACGTGCTCATCAGTTTAATAGAACAACCCACCCCTTTCTACTCTGCTCTGCAATACTATCTGAGTCTCCTTCCACTGAAAATACTTTATTATTTACATTATATAAATTTACTGTGGTTTATGGAGCATGTCAAGCAACAAATTCTATTTTAAACAGTAGCACTGGCAAAGTTGCTCCTTCCCTTAGTATTTTCCTTGTAGAAATAGAATTCTTTATTGGCCAAGTGTGATTAGACACACAAGGTATTTGTCTCCAGTACATAAGCTCTCAGTGTACATACAACAATAGTGATAGATGATTATCATAGTCATTGTAAAAAATGCATTTATCATAAAACATTAGATACAACACTTAGTGACAGTCATGGATAATAAATAAGCAATCAACATAAATCATACTAGGATATTAAGTAAACAATATAAATCGTAAGATACAAGCAACAAAGTTATAGTCACAAGATGGTAAGGAGATAAGTAATAGGGAAGATGAGAATAATGATGGTAATAGTGTCTTTCTAGATAGTGTTATGGAAATTAGTTGTTAGCAGAGTGATGGCAAGGGGAGGGGAACTGTTCTTGCGTCTCGTTGTTCTGACGTGCAGTGCCCTATAGTAGGGGTGGGCAAATGTGGCCCTTTTACAACCTGTGGACTTCAACTCCCAGAATTCCTGAGACAGCTTGGCGTCTTGGGAGTTGAAGTCCATAGGTTGTTAAAGGGCCACATTTGCCCACCCCTGCCCTATAGTGTTGTTTTGAGGGTAGAAGTTGAAATAATTCATGTCCAGGATGTGACATTCTGGCTCCTGCAGTATACAGGTCCTCAATGGAAGGCAGATTGGTAGCGATTGCTTTTTCTGCACTCCTAGTTATCCGTTGAAGTCTCTGTTTGTCTTGATTGGTTGCAGTGCCAAACCAGACACTTATGGAGGTGCAGACGACAGACTCAGTAATTCCTCTGTAGAACTGAATGAGAGCAAAAACTATAACTTACAATCTGTCGCTTAGTGACTGCTTGAAGTTATGACGAACACCCTCCCCCCCCCCCAAAAAAAACAGGACTTACAACATCAAGGGTCCCTGACTATAGTCACATGACCCTATTTTGGGGTCTCAGCAACCAGCTCACACTTACAGCCATTAGCAGCATCTCATGTTCACGTGACCATGATTTACATCATTTTCTTCAGAAACTGGTGTTTACTTATACTTTCCAGAAAGAAAATGGGCATTGGTCTTACCTTAAATGCCAGATTTCTTGAGTGGGGTGACATTGTCCAGATGAGGGTTGTATCAGTCGGATCTGATGCTGGCTGAGTCATAATTTTTGACCACTCCCCTTGCTCCGCCCCTTTCATGCTCAGTTTTGACGAAGGAAGGCCACCAGAAGTATCTCCAACAGGAACCACCGTTATCAGGAGGAAGTAAATCGGTCCAACGGGACAACTGGAAAAAAAACTACTGAACAAGAACAATAAACTGTACAGGCACTGAGACAGAGGGAGGGGCTGGACAATGTCACCCCACTCAAGAAATCTGGCATTTAAGGTAAGACCAATGCCCAATTTCCTTGATGAGGGTGTGACATTGTCCAGATGAGGGACATACCAAAGATTTGGCTGTCTCAAGGGCGGGATGTCGAAGGGCCTGGAGAGACCCTCGCACGATGCACCTGCTGCAAAACCCTCCTGCCAAATGACGCTTCAGCAGAAGCAAAGGTATCTATCTTGTAATGACGAATAAATGGCGAGGGGGTAGACCAGGTGGCTGCCCTACATACCTCCTCAAGGGAGGCCTGAGTCGCCCAAGCTGCTGAGGTAGCAGCACTCCTAGTGGAGTGGGCAGTAATGCTATTGGGAACAGGAATCGCCTGGGCCTGATATGCCGAGGCGATGCAAGCCCTGATCCATCTACCAATTGTGGCAGAAGAGACTTTGAGCCCTAGGGAGCCTGGCAAAAAGGAAACAAACAAAGCCTCTGACTTCCTGAAGGGAGCAGTCCTTTTGATATAAATCTTTAGGGCCCTCCGTACATCTAAGGTATGCCACCTTCGTTCCAAGGCATGAGAGGGCCGGGGACAGAAATTGGGCAAAATAACCTCTTGGGCCCTGTGAAAGGGGGAATTAACCTTGGGAATAAAGGAAGGGTCCAATCTCAAAATAACTGTGTCTGGCTGGAAAACACAGAGATCCTCCCTAACTGAGAGGGCTGCCAGCTCCGAAATGCGACGGGCTGAAGTTATGGCTATAAGGAAAACCACCTTAAGGGTGAGAAAGCGAAGGTGAACCGTGCGGAGGGGTTCAAAGGGAGTCTCAGTTAAAGCGTTAAGGACCTTGGGCAAATCCCAAGTAGGGTATCTATGAATCGAGGAGGGCCGCAAGAGCCTGGCTCCTCGCAGGAACTTTTTTATCACAGGGTGCTGAGTGAGTGGTCGGCCGGATGGACTGGACAAGGCCGTAGACAGAGCCGCCACATGTCTCCGAAGGGTACTATGGGCCAGACCACGGTCAAACCCATCTCTGAGGAACTCCAAGATCTGGGCAGGTGAGGCTGAAACAGGATCTATCTGCCGGGAACGGCACCACCTATAAAAGGCGAGCCAGGAGATATTGTAGAGTCTGACTGTGGATTTACGTCTGCAGGCCTGAACAATGTGAATCACCCTATCTGAATAATTGTCCTGCCTTAGACGGGCCCCTTCAAGCGCCATGCAGTCAGTTGGAGCCACTGAGGGTCCGGATGAAGAAGGTTCCCCTGACGCAGTACAATCTCGTCTGGTGGAATCCTCCAAGGGTGAAATGTGGAGAGACTGACCAGGTCTGCGAACCACGGACGGCGTGGCCAGTGGGGAGCCACGAGGATAATTTCTGCTCTGTCGGCGATGACCTTCCGAATCAGGGCCGGAATCAGAGGCAGCGGTGGAAAGGCGTAGTGAAGACCCGGCGGCCAGGTGAGACGGAGAGCGTTGACCCCTTCCGCCCCTGGCGTCGGGAACCTCGAGAAGAAGCGAGGAAGCTGATTGTTCAGGTGTGTGGCGAAGAGATCTATGGCTGGGATGCCGAACCTGTTGCAAATCTGATGAAATATGTCGGGATGAATCTGCCACTCGCTGTTGTCCACCTCTGTCCTGCTCAGGAAATCCGCCTGTGTGTTTTCCGACCCCGCAATGTGGTCCGCTCTGATGGAGAGGAGGTGTTGTTCTGCCCACTTGCCCAGGCGAAATGATTCCTCCATGAGGCGCTTTGAGTGGGTGCCCCCTTGACGGTTGACATGTGCCTTCGCCGCCATATTGTCTGTCAACACCAGAACATGACGGTGTTGCACAAACCGGTGAAAGTGCGTGAGAGCGAGACGAATGGCCTTCAGCTCCAGCCAGTTGATAGGGTTGGCGAGGTCTGATGCAGACCAACGGCCCTGAGCCACGTGTGATGCAAGATGAGCCCCCCATCCGTGAAGGCTGGCATCTGTAGTGAGTACAAGTCGGTCGTGATTCATGAAGAGACACCCCTTGTCGAGAGAAGGCGATGTCCACCAACCTAGCGATCGCCTGACTGAGAGTGGAACTTTGACTAATGACATGGTGTGAGCTTGGCGTTTCTTTTGAAAAGGAAGCAGGAACCACTGCAAGTGGCGAGCGTGAAGGTGTGCCCATGGGACGATCTGGACGCAGGAGACCATCTTGCCTAAGAGCTTGGATAGAGTGGCCAATGGAACTGATGGAGTTCTGCGAATGAGAGCTACTAGGTCCCTGATGTCTGACCGTCGTTCCAAGGTTAGGTAGACGGTCCCCTGGGCTGCGTCTATGATGGCGCCAAGATGGGTGATCCTGGTGACTGGCACTAACTGACTTTTTTTGTAGTTGACCAAGAACCCATGGTCGTTCAGGGTTTGAATCGTGAGGTGTAGGTCGTGTAAGGCTTGCTCTTGAGAGTGAGCCTGAATCAGAATATCGTCCAGGTAAGCCTGGATCCTTACCGGTTGTTGTCTCAGGTGAGCCGCCACCACCGCCAGGACCTTTGTGAAGACCCTTGGTACAGATGCCAGTCCGAAGGGAAGAGCCCGGTATTGAAAATGCTTTCCTGCATAGCTGAATCGGAGATACTGTCGATGCTTTGGCAGGATGGGAATGTGAAGATAAGCCTCCATGAGGTCTATGGAAACTAGAAAATCGTTGGGACGAATCCCTTGAAGAATAGAGGTTAGTGAACACATTTTGAATCTGCGATACACTATGTATGAGTTGAGATTTTTTAAGTCCAGAATGGCTCTCCACCCCCCTGACCGCTTTGGAACTACGAACAGGATGGAATAATACCCCTGTTTCCATTGATCGTGGGGGACCTCCTCTATGGCGTGAATCTGTAGTAGGTGCTGAACTGCTTGGTTCATTAATTGACGTCTGGATTCGCTTTTGGAAGTTGGACATTGAAGAAAGCGGGTTGGAGGCCTGGAGAGAAATTCCAGGGGGAGGCCGAATTTCACAACTGAAAGAACCCAAAGGTCTGAAGATGACCTTTCCCACCTGTCCGCAAAGAGGGACAGGCGACCCCCTACTGGAGGATTTGGTAGTGAGTCACTTACGACTGCGGGACTGGCGGAAACCAGAACCCCGAAAGGACCGTTTGGGCTGGAATTGTCTGCTCCTGTCCCGAAAATATTGACGGTCCGAGGATCGATAGGATCCCTGAAGATATTCCTGCCTGGAGGGGCCTCCCTGGGGGTAGGAACGAAAGGAAGGCCTTCTGTAATATGGAGAGGGTCTTCCTTTAGCCCGTTTGTATGTTGAGGGCAAAATTTTTCGCTTATCCCGTGTCTCTACAAGAAGAGAGTCAAGTGATTCCCCAAATAGTTTGTTTGCAGAATATGGAGCTGCAGCCAAGCGCCATTTGGCCTTAAGGTCAGCAGGCCATTGGCGAAGCCAGAGCATCCTGCGGGCTGAAACTGTAGAGGCTAAGGCTCTGGATGCAAATTTGGCTGAATTCAAGGTTGCATCAGCCGAAAATTGAGTGGCAGCAATGATTTTATTAATATCCTGATGAAGGCGAACCTCACTGGGGGGTACCCTTGCCTGTAACTGTTGAAGCCAAAGGATGGTAGTTCTATTAAAAAATGAGGCTGATGAAGCTGATTGAATTGCCCATGCCGAGGCCTGATGGTTCTTTTTAAACAGAAATTCTAACTTTTTGTCTTCTGGCCTTAGACCTTCAGAAGTATCCCCAGTTACATATGAGGAAGAAGAGGAAAGGGCCGCTACAGGGCTGTCTACAGGTGGAACTTGCAAGAGTTGAGCAAACTTTGGAGCAACAGCATAATATTTCTTATCTGAACCATGTGCAGATGCCATGGTTGCAGGCCCAGCCCACTGTTTCTTTACCACGTCTATGAACAGTTGTGGAGTTGGTACATAACAAAGTTCAGAGGGGGGCTCAGAAAAAGGTCCCTGTAGTCCACCCTTTTGAGCCTCCTGCATCTCTTGAAAGTATTCCTTAAAGGAAGATGCTTTAAGGCGGCTGTTAAGCGAGCCTTATGCAATAAAGACTTGAATTTATTGGGAGGAAATAATCCTGTAAAGGCAGGTTGATCTTGGATTATCCCCTCATCATCTGATAGGTCAGAATGTCTCTCTTCCTCAAACACAAAGGCTTCACTAACTCTGGAGGCTGCAGGAGAATGAGAGCCAGTAAGACTGACTGCAGGAGAAATTCTAATACGGGCAGATCGCTCTGAAATAGCAGAGCCAGAGTGGTGACCATGAATATTGGCTGCCATTCTAGAAGCAATGGCCTGTTCAATCAGAATTCTCAATCCTTCTGGCACATTTTTTAAAGGATCTTCGGGGGTTAGCACAGGCATAGAGGATTCACCTGTTGAAGTAGCTGCAGCTGCATGCCCACCAAATACAGGAGTTGCAGGGGTCATTAATTGACTTGCAAAAGGGTTTTGCAAATTGCTTTGGTCTTGTTGAAGAACATTACCCTCTCCCTCCGAAGACCAGGCCTGGCTAACAGTTGAAATGGGAGGAGGGGGGGTAGATGGGGGGGGTCCCCTTACCAGGCTCAGTTGCAGGCACTTCACTAGCTTGCTTTTCTAGAGATTTATGCCTCTTTGTTAAATCCTTCTCCTCAGGCTTAGAAAGGTGCTTACGTTTGGAAGTTGATTTCTTCCCAGTGTACATAGTATTTTCCTCCCCATGGGAAGAGCGATCTGCCATCTTTAGTATACTCACTGCAACCACGATGTCGACTGGAGAAATAGCTTTTGGTTTCAGTTTCGCCACATGGTTGAAATTTGAGATGGCAACGACTCTGGCGTTAAGCACGATGGCTGCCAGGTCATACTTGAGCAGGAGGAAACTCTGCTCCGGAGGTATCTGTCTAGGCAAGCCTAGAAACGGACCTCCTCAGCGCCCCCACAGCCACGAAGAGAAAAAAATAAAAAATACTGGCTGGAAATGCCACAGGGGGAGGCAAGAAGAAGCTTGCTGCCCCCCCCCCAAACTTGCAGACTCGTTGGTGGCAAAGCGGCAAAAAATTCCTTTTAAAATTGCCGCGGCGCTTCAATTAACCGCTCTACAGCTGATCAGCGGTTTTGGGATCGCTGTAGCGTGGGGGGCGGCCGGATTTGGCGATTTCCCTTAAAATTAGGGAATCGCTATTATTGTTGGTGGTATTGTGGTCTAGGGCCCCTTAAACAATCGTTGGTGGGATAGATCAAAAAAATCCCCCCCAAAAAAGACAGGAAAAAGAAAAAGGAAAAAAGTTCCCTTTTAAAATGGGGCTTTCAAAATGGCCGCCGCCAGGAGCGAAGCAAAGCCTGGCAGCTTAGGACGCTCTAGCAAGGCAAAACCGGCAGGCTACAATAGAAGGGGAAAATATGTGTGTGTATATATATATATATAGCCTGGTAGACCGGTACCTTAGGAAAATTTAAAGGGGAAGTAACAATTTTAAACTAGAGAAATAAAAAGGTGGTCAAAAAGACTTACAATTCTGTGATATTGAACAGACCTGGGCTGTATAGCCAGATCTGTAGGAGATGTTTCTCTCAGGCCGACTGAGTCTAAACTGGGCATGAAAGGGGCGGAGCAAGGGGAGTGGTCAAAAATTATGACTCAGCCAGCATCAGATCCGACTGATACAACCCTCATCTGGACAATGTCACACCCTCATCAAGGAAATCACCTCAAAGGAAACAATGGGTTTGCTTAATGACTGCTGCATTAACTTAGTAACCACCATGTCACTTAACAACTACTGCAAAAAAGATAAATTCAGGTGCGGTTACAGTGATGACCCGCTTTAAGACTATCATGATTTAGGGCTGAAATTGCAGGCTCAATTACAGTTGTAGGTCAAGGGCTAACTATACTATCTGCTTCAGTCATCATCATCATCATCATCATCATCATCATCATCATCATCATCATCATCCTTTTAGCCATTGTCTATCCACTGCAGGATGAAGGCCTCTTCCACATGTTTCCAACCAATATGGTCCTGAGCTTTCTTTTGCCAATTGGGCCCAGAGTACTTCCTGATGTTGTCGATCCGTCTTATTTTAGGTCTCTTTTGTGGATGCTGTTTATCAAGTAGAATCCATTCTATGACTGCCTTAGTCCTGCCAATCAGTTCTTCTTGCTATGTGACCAGCCCATTTCCATTTCCATTCTTTTATTCTCTTGATGATATTGTATACTTTTGTTTGTTCTCTAATCCTTGTGCAGGTCTTTCTATCTTGTCTTGAAATGCCGAGCGTGTATCTTTTCACAGCCCTTTGGTATCAATTGTGAGGTTAGTGTACTGTTTCACCAGCATATGTTAGAGCAGGTAGTACACACTGATCAAAAATGTTTCTCTTCAGGCATAGAGGGGAGGTTATTCTTGAAACAACCTCCCCCTATGCCTGAATCTGCTTGAATGTAAGGATAAAAAAACCAGATTTTGTACAACTGTAAGATGGGCCATAAATGAATATTCTTCCCCAAAAAGACAGTACTGCTCCACATTCCAACCCTCTCAGTCCTTCCCCTTCACTCACATCTTTGTGACTTACTGCTCTTTATTAAAAATTCCAACATTTTAAGGTTCCCAAATGCAAAGAACATGATTAGGATCTTCCTACAGATGTTTATCTCAAGTATGTACAGCTGGGGATTCAGAAGGCTATGGCTTTTGAAGATGTTGGCATGGAGAAATATTACTGGACCATTGTTGTTACAGTTGGACATGAATTTGTGCTTTCTCAACTCTGGGACATAACAAATTAGTAAGCATCTTACTAAGAAAGAACTCACTTGTTCGCACATTTATAGCAAATACAGTATTTTGTATTACTGTAATGTAATTGTCCTGGTTTTTTGGTTGTGTTTTATATTTCCTCTTATTTTTCCTTTGTTGTTTTAATAATTAAATAAAAGAAAACCCAGTATATTCTAATTCATACTCTTGAAGCAAATATGTGTTTCTTGTGATGCTTATCTATATATTTTCCTAAACTACAATTCTACTTTGTTTTTCTTTGGGAAAGTCAGAAAAGGCCAATATTTTTTTCCAAAATCATCCGAAACCCAGCATGATTTGATACAAAGTGCTTTGAGGGAGGAGGGGAAGTAAGAGGACATTTGGGGTTACATCTGTGTAAACAAACCAAGTCACTTAAGAATAATTCACAATTTTTCAGGCTCTCAGCATCCATATTTAAAAATTAACTAGTGCATATTAAAAAATATTTTAGGCAAAATGTAACCTGAGCATAAAGCAAAAGTTTTTCCGTTGCATCTGGATCTTTATTCCATATCAAATCTTCACACAACTGTAAAAGTTCTTTTTGGATATCATCATACACTGGTAGATTTCCTGCATTCACAATCCCCATGTCCATTCCATGCTGAGAATAAACACAGGGGTGGGGGAGAACCAATAGATATTACAACTTCTTCTACAACAGTATTTTTCAATCAGAAACTATTTTGCCAAAACCATCACATTACCTTAATTGCATGGAAAAGAAAAACTCCATGCATTGCTTCTCGAATAGCATCCATTCCTCGGAAGGAGAAAGACAAATTGGAAAGGCCTCCACTTATTCTGGCTCCAGGCAAATTTTCCTAACAACAGAAATTCCAGCAAGGTAATGAAATGTTACAAAGAAAGAATAGGTACCAAGTGTGGTTAGCATTGTCTGGTCGCTGGAGAAACAGCACAAAAAAGCAATACACAGAAGGTTGTCTGACTGCCACTTACGTTATTGTCAGGGGAAAAAAACATGACAAATAACAAACAAATCTCTGACCAGAAAAATGTTCATCAAAAATGTTCACACAGTCTATCCTATATTTAAAGAGGTTTGTCTTATATATCTTTCTATGACCATAAAAAATAAAAATTCACAGGAATTTTGTTTTTTCTTCCTTTTCTTTTTGAATATTTTCATTCTGTTGTGAAAAAGTCTATATACTCTTCAGAACTAGAGCTGAGGAATCTTACAGATTACTCCATTAATTTCATATTTGGTTTCTTTAGGAAGCAAATAATTTCTTACCCCAAAACTAACTTACTGGTGCCAGGTGTTTCTGTTTGAAACTGAGCAGCCCAAAGAAATCAATATTACAATTGGACAGAGAACTGTGGTTGAATCCCATCCCAAGGAAAGTTGTATTTTAACCATTGCATAACTTCAATAGAGAAGATTAATTCATTGGTTGCTATCAATCTGCCTAAAACATGATAGAAGACAATGGGAAGCATATACATTATGTATACTAAGAAGTTATGCAACACAGATTTTTTTTTTCACACAAGGAGATTCATTGTATTATATCTACATATGGGCAATATGTTAATTCATTTCTAACATTTTCAAATCTTCTGAACCATAATCCTGGAGAAAGTCATATCTCATTTCTACAATATTGACTTATCTGGTTTGAAGAGGAATATATAAATGTAGAGATACAGAGATATATTAATATTACTTTTACCCTTTCATTAACCATTAGAAAAAGATTGAGCTGTAAACTCAAATAATACAGACATAAATAGAAAATGTTTTTATCATATATATGTGGTAATTTATCACATACATACGTAAAAATAAAATCTCAAAAATACCCCATTTACCATACAAACTCAAAATAGAATCACAGACAGTAATGGAACTTATATTAATTGAATGAAGTAACTTTCATGACGTTGTCAAAGGTCTTTTGGCCAAATGGTCAATTTTTGGCAGATATTGCTCCATTTAATTACTCTAAGTATATATATACAATTCAGTTAATGGCCCGAGTTATTTTTAAGCAACTATATAATTTATAATGCTGCTGTGCTGCTACTGGAAATAAAGTTGATGAAATTGTACAACATAAAAAGTTGTACAGTTCCATTTAAGCCTGTTTTTACCTCACCCAACTACTTATAAAGGCCAGAAGACAAATGCTTAAAATAAAATGAGGTATTTTTTTTAAAGAACCCAAATCCCACTCTCTTTAACTTCCTAGACTCACTTTTATTGTTTTAGTTGCATTGATATAGTTAACTGCATACAAATTATGTTCCTCCATTCCAGTACCTATAGTCAAAATGTTGGGATCAAAAATTATATCACATGGATTAAAGCCAATTTTGTTCACAAGAAGGTTATAGGCTCTGGTGCAGATTGAGATTTTGTCTTTTGTTTCTGTGGCCTGAAAAGAAAAAACAGTAGTTAGGTTTTTTTCCTGTGATATCATATTTCTGTTTATCTAGGTTTCTAATGTGGCTTTTCTTAGTCTGTTACAATAAACCTATGTTTCAGCAAAGCTCTTCAATTCATGATTCAAAGTTAGCAGCTCTTAATAATAGTTCTATTCATTTGTTTATTAAGAAACACTTGTAAATCATGAGATTGCAGATTACTGCAGAATTTATATTTGCTTATCAATCCAATCTAAACCCAAGTTTGCTGCTCCAGTAAGAGCCAACCACTCTCATTCCCAACTGAATTTCCCCTTTTCCGTGTTACCTAAGAAGCAAGACCAATAAAAAGCTTTAAAACAAATTAAGTACGAAGAACTTTTAATACACGCAACATAAAACATAACCAAAGCAGCCAAAGTTCAGTATCAGAAAAGCTGTATCATCTAGATCAGGAGTCAGCAACCCGTGGCTCTAGAGCCGCATGTGGCTCTTTCATCCCTCTGTCACCCAAAATATGCATTACAACTGCCAATGTGTGATACCTGCCAGCATGTGATTTATTGAGCTTTTCAACCCCTGGTAGGCCAACCATGGATAAATCCAAGAAAAAAAGTTTCAGAAGAAAACAGAATGTTTAATTCAACTACACATGCTAGTTTTGTGGCCTCTCAGGAAATAGTCAGACATGGGAAAGGTTTTGTGGCTCCCGGTGTTTTCTTTTCTGTGGGAAATGGGTCCAAATGGCTCTTTGAGTGTTTAAGGTTGCCAACCCCTGATCTAGATTCTATGAAGTGAGGATAAAACTGAAGGATGATAAGAACGCACTGAGTTTCAGATCCAGAACAAAAAAGATGCTTCCATGCAGGTGTGAATTTATTGACACCTCCCTAAAGAAACAGAATTTTTTCCTCCCTTGGCTTGCACAAAAGCTGCGGGGACACAGGAAAATGTGTTTGAGTGAAGGAGGGATGCAACAATGTGCTTTGGAATGCATGTGGGCGCGTTGTCGGTGCCTCCTTAACTGAAACATACATTTTTTCTGAAGCCCAGAAAAGATGCAGCTCCTTTAAGGAGCATCATCAGGTGAAGTGTGTGCATCAACCCTTATTCTGAAACACTTTTTCATCTTTGGATTTTCATCTTTGGCATAGCCGGTTGAGGAAAATGATAGAACTCGCTGAGATGGCCAAATTGACTTGTCTGATCATAGGAAAGACAACATTTATGTTTATTGCTGACTGGAAACGCCTTATGGATTTTTGCAGAAAAAAAAAATGAAAATATGATTTATGGAATTGATGAATGAGATAGATTATAGAAAGAAAAGAGACATGTTGTAACTTTACAGAGGCAAATGTATAATTGTACTTATAAATTCTGTAAAGAAAATCAGAAGCCACTTCTTTATATCTTTTTTTCTTTTCTATTTTTCTTTTACTTTTTTCCCTTCGTTGCACTTTTAATTTTCTTTTTCTTTTCACTTTACTTTTTATTAGTTAGCATTAATTTTTATCTTCTTTTTAAAAACTTTTTATAAAATTATAAAAACAAACAAAAATATAGCATATTTCATGTTAATGTTTATGCTGATCTCAAGCCTTAGAGGAAAAGCAGAATAAAAATCCAATAAATGAAACTGGCATGAACGGCTCTCTGTGATCTTGCACGCAACACACTCCGCAACCAACTGGAATTCGAATTTGCTAACTTTCACGCAGGGAAGTCCTCAAGTATTTCAACATGTATTAATTTTAGTAAAAAAAAACAAACTTCCTGTCCAATGTTAGCCATAGAGAAATTAAGCTAGGAGACAGATATGCTATTAACAGTTAATTGAATATGTTATTGGAAAATCCTCTACCATTTATTGTTACAGTTACTGTTGCATATTATTAATGTGATTTATACTCTGCTTTTTTGCTCAAAGGAAAGGAGTTTGCTGAAGGAATGCATATAAGTGAACAGATCATGACCACATAGGAAAATGGCTGGGAATGCCATATTCGCAAATCTGAGCCACATAAATCAAGATAAAGATATAAGAGTAACAACTAAATAATGCTTTGTGATGAGAAACAATAGATGGAAACTAGCCAAGGAGAGAAGCAACTTAGAAATAAGTTGAAATTTCCTAAAGGTGAGAATGGAACCACTTGCCTTCAGAAGTTGTGGGTGCTCCATCACTAGAGGCTTTCAAAAAGAGACTGGACGACCATTTATCTGAAATGGTATAGGATCTCCTGCTTCAGCAGGAGGTTAGACTAGAAGCTCTCCAAGGTCCCTTCCAACACTATTATACTCTATAGAATTCTATGTTCTATATTCTTTGGTGCTGCTATATTTTTTCTTGTTATCAGTTTTGTGATGATACTTTGTAAATTCATGTTTTATTTTATTTGTAATAGGTTCAGACACTAACTAGTTCAGTGGATATTTCAGCATTGCAATTTAACTGCCCAAACTCATATATTGACCTACAGGTAGTCCTCAAGTTATGACCACAATTGGGACCAGAATTTCAGTCACAAGTCACTGTGGCCTTAAGTCAAGTCACCACGTGACCAGACCCAAGTTTATAACCCATTTTGCAGTGGTCGTTAAGTAAATAACATGGTTAAGCAAATCATCTGGGCATTAAGGGATTCCGGCTTTCTCAATGGAATTTCTTGCCCCAAACTGGCAAAACTGTTGCAAATCACAATCACATGATTGCCAGATGCTTTAGCCAGCTGTAAATGTGAGCCAGTTGCCAAATGTACAAATTGCAATCACATGACCGTGGTGGTGGAAGAGTGACAGTCATAAATGTGAATATGAATACCCTTTTTTCCAAAGCTGTCATAGCTTTGAACCATCATTAAGCAAATGGTTATAAGTCAAGGGCTAACTGTACTTAGTTTCCTATTCCTTTTACTGGAACACAGATAAGACAAAAGTTCCTATGACCTTTTGGGCAATTTCTAGCGGGTGAGGAAAGTATCACCAACCTGCCCCATTTCATCAAATGCCATAATCACTACTGCTGCTCCAAATCTCCTAATTTTTCTTGCTTTTCTTAGGAAATCCTCTTCGCCTTCCTTCAGACTGATGCTGTTTACTATGCATTTGCCTTGCGAACACTTCAACCCAGCTTCTATTACAGAAAAGTTTGAGGAATCAATGCAAAGGGGCACCTGAGGATAAAAAAAGGACAACATTAAAAAAAAAATAATGATCTTCAAAGCCAATAAATAGCTAAGTCTGAATTGTGTGGATGCACATCCAAGGCAGAGAGAAAAGGTCTTGCAAGGTTTTTTTTTTTAAAAAAGCAAATCATCTATGCAATTACATTTACCACAAAGGCTAGACTAATTTCTCTTTTTCAAGAGCTTTCTTCAGATTATGACATCCTTTGGAAAAAATTCTATGACCTAACAGCAATATTTGCCCAAGGCTGACATTCAGATTGATGCACAAAAATTACAGCTGAACAAAACATTCTAAGCAGAGGGGTTTCCTGCCAAGTTCCAAAGGCTGAGTGACTTCACTGCAGAATAAAGATCAGAAGAAAAACCCTTTTCAGCGATAGTTTCCCTTCTGGCTTCTCCTCACAATCTGTGCTCTCAGAAGTAACAGTGAGAACACTAGGACACAAGGCTGCCTGAAAAATAAGGCAGCCAATTTTTGTCATTTGGGGGAATCTGAAAGCTGAAGTTGGTACTCTTAAAATTTGCAGAGACCAAATTTCATGAAATTTCAGAATTGGTCTTACTCCTTTTATAGCATTTGGCTGTACACGATTCAACCAAATGCTTCTTGGTTAAATCAAGATACTTCTTCTGGATAAAAACATTAAAGCTGTATTACATGAAGTCAGGCACTGCTATTGAAATGCATGTAGACTGGTGCCAAATGTCTGCTCTGAAGGTGAGCAACATTATATAGACAGTGCTCATCTGATATCTGTGATATTTAGTATTATTTATGAATTTGGAAATCCAAGAATCAACAATTGACTTCAAAAGTCAGGGACATTCTTATGAGCAAAAGACTCAAGGCCAGCACTTTCTTCTGAAATGAAAACTCAACACTATTTGAGAAGGACACCACAAAGGCTTTAACCATACCATAACTTTCTAGATAGGCAAGGAGACAATAAATTAGTACCCCAAATACCTGGCGCTTATGTAAGCTTCCAACACTATAGCAGTCCAGTCCAGGTCAGACGTGTGATGTCTAAATACCACAAAAATTATAATAAACTTTCTAATGTATTTCTTCTGATTTTTCATTTCCTGTTACCATTTTTTTCAATCAGACGACCTGCTGAGGTATTGAGATATTGTGTATTCCCAAGACATGTAGAGAACACCAGACTCGGAAAATTAAAAGACTATCCAGTTAAATATATAACCTTGGCAATGTCAGGCTCTGAAGCAATATAGTTGCAGAATCTGGTCATAGCACTTGGACCATCTAACATTCCATCATCCATGTTGATATCCAGGATCTGAGCTCCCATCTCGACTTGGGCCTTGGCTACACTCAAGGCGTCCTATGTTAAAGGAATAAAGACATCAGTTTTAACAGAAATGCATCTAATTCTGTTCAATCCCCCTTTTTTTTCTTGTATTTACTTTGATGGCATTTGTTTCTGCATTTTTTAGCAAGCTGCTTTTATTATATCTGTCTTCCCATAACACTGTTTCTACTTTTTTAGTCTATAAAATGTGTCAGAGTTTATTTACATTTATTTTGTAAAACACTTTAGAGGCTGCCATCATCACAATATTCAGAACTGCTTGAACCTTTTACAAAAGAAATGCTCAAGATTGTACTTCACATTGTACTAAAACAAAAAAACAAACAAAAACCATATTTATATAATGTACCTAGTAGAAACCATGCATTCAAATCCTTAAACAGTATACTTATACAAAATTTTAATTCAAGTCCTGAAGCTTAAAAAAGTTGGACCTACTTCATATTTGCCTGCCATTATAAGTTTGGCAAATTTCCTTGATCCTGCAACATTGCAACGTTCACCAATGTTGACAAAGTTGGTGTATTTTCCAATCCTGAAGGGTTCCAGACCTGGAAAATAAATTTTATGTATACATACAAGGGGGAAAAGAATACTCTGAAAAACCAGAATATACCATTTTATGAAAAGATGCCCTTATTTAAATATGTGTGTTTAACATAATTTTCTTACTGATCCATGTGGTCTGGCTAGAGAAAAGGACCTTTAACTCTCCTTGCAACTATATAATGCGGTGATACAGCAAAGAAGTAGAAAAAAATTCAAATAAGCAGCAACAACATACCTGATTTAGATGGAATATTTTTGCAGCACATTATGTCTGTAGCAGATTCACAACAAATGGATGAGTGAACAAGGAAATGACAAAAAAGAATGAGATCTTATCTCTTCAGACTCATCATTACACAAGTGGGTTGTTGTTATTTGGGTGCCTTTGAATCAGTGTTGACTCTTGAGGGTAGGGTAGGATAAGATAGAATTCTTTATTGGCCAAGTGTGATCAGACATACAAGGCATTTGTCTCCAGTGCACAAGCTCACGGTGTACATATAATAGTAAGTAATAAGTAATAAATCATGGGTCATAATTATAGTTACAATCATTAATCATAAGTTACAAACAATTGATAAATCATAAGAAATAGGAGAAAATAGTAGGAAAAATGAGAAGATGAGAAAAGATGACAAATGAGACAATTTTATGGGAATTAAGTATTCAGCAGAGTGATGGCATGGGGTGGGGGGACTATATGTCTGATTATTTTGGCATGCAATACTCTACTTGGACTGGTTCCTGCAATTGCCTCAGCAAGGTTTTGCAGAAGTGATTTTACCATTGCATCCTTCCTATGGCTGAGAGTATGTGACGGGCCCAAGGCGACTCAATTTGCCTTGGGCAAGACTAGAACTCAGTCTCCTGGTTTCTAGTCGGTGCCTTAACTATTACATCAAACTGGCTCTTTACACAAGCATGTAGAAAATAATTATTTTTACCCTAAACGTATCCATTTTTTATTGGGCAGCCAAAGATTCATCCCAATCACGTAAATAGAAAGAATCTCCATTAGGCCAGGAGCTGATCAAGGCTCAAGAATAGCAGCACAGATCAGGCCCAATGGCAGAAAATACATGGCAGACATCTCTCTGTCACTAGAGAAAACTGCACTGCAGCAGAAAACTTGGTCTGCTTCACAACTGATGTTTGAAAACTACAGAAAAATGCTCAATGCAGGAATCTCAAATGAGGTGAGGAAACAAGCATCTGCAAATAAATATCACATCAAGAGGGAAAAAGGAGTAGGGCTGAGTGTGTGTTTGTGTATGCACACACGCGCAATACTGCAACACCAGAGCTACAATTACCGTGTTTCCCCAAAAATAAGACCCTGTCGTATATTTTTTTGAACCCTGAAATAAGCGCTTGGCCTTATTGCCATGTGCTCAAAAGCCCAATTGAGCTTATTATCAGGGGATATCTTATTTTAGGGGAAACAGGGTTTTAGTACTGTACCCTTCCACAAATAAATTCAGTATACTATGGAGCAGGGGTGTCAAACTCACGGTGTCACGACGTGACGTATCAGGACTTTTCCCCCTTCACTAAACTGGGCATAGACGTGGCCAGCGTGTGATGCATCTGGCCCGTGGGCCAGGAGTTTGACACCCCTGCTATAAAGGGACACTACTTCAATCTTAAAGTTAGCAAGGGCATTTTGTGAATAAATTCAATACTTGTCCACTACCATACATTTAATTATGCTTTTTCCCACAGATCCTGAGAACACAGAAAAACTGAGAAATAGTTCAAAATTAGCATTAAGTGGAATTTAAGCCAATATGGCATTTCCCATTGACTCTAAAACAGCAAAGTTCAGATAGGTCCACTTGAAAAGGAAACCAAGGAAAATTAACATGTCAACAGCCATCACTGTGAGCAAATGTAAAATTAGGGACTGATAAAAGGATCAGCTAAGCATTTGACTTCCTTTGCCTGTAGAAGATCTTAAGTACAGCCCTTAGTAGTTCTGTCTAACAAGGATCCCAAATCCCAGGGTGCAGAAAGAGGCCTTTTTCTTTTGGAGTCATGACAGAACACACTTCTTCCAGTTTGTGTAAGCAACACTGGAGTCAAGAGATCAATGTCTGATTCAATATAAGGCATGTGTTCAAGTGGCAAAAAAAAAGATATTGTGATGTATTACCTCAGTCATAACAATTATACATGTTTTGTAATAGCATCAGTTCTATCTAGAAAAACACAGGCCACGTTGTTTATGGGAATCTTATTACCAGGCATTCAGACATGCAAAAGGCAAGGATATGTTCCCACTGAAGGAGATGCAACCAGAGGTGGGCAAGAGCTTTAGCACTTTAGCAGAGTGGCAAATCCCTTGTGACAGGGAGGTGAGGAGGTTCTGTGAGTAACAGAAAGCAAACAGTAGACCTGCTGATAGAAAACCTGGTGAAATTATTCTTTATTCTTCTCTGTCTCTTGAGCACTCAGGGACAGGAGTTGCCAAGAAAAACAGATTTTGCAATCCAAACAAAAAAAATTAAAATAGCTCTCAAAGTAAAATATCTAAACAAGGGAGCAAATGGGTGTGGCTGAAGTAGTTGTTGTCTTGTACATACACGTGCATCTCTTCTAGCCTCAGCTGTCAGCATACTGGCAACTCCTCACTTCAGTACACATGGTCGACTTACAACCACAACTGAGCTCAACATTTCTGTTGCTAAGCAGGACAGTTTTTAAGTGAGCTTTGTCCCATTTTACCACCTTTCCTGCTTCAGTTGTTAAGTGAATCACTGCAGTCATAAAATTCGTAACATGGTTAGGTAAATCTGACTTCCCCGTTGACTTTGCTTATCAGAAGGTAGTAAAATGTGATCACACGACCCCGGGACAATGCAACCATCATAAATACTGTACATGCCAAGTTGCCAAGCATCTGAATTTTGATCATATTACCACAGGGATGCTGCAATGGCCTAAGTGTGAAAAACGGTCATAGGTCACTTTTTCAATTCACTGTAACTCTGAATGGTCACTAAACAAATGGTTGTAAGTCGAAGACTATCTGTAGTCTCTGGCCCCTTCCTTTCCTCTGAGTAAGGCTTTGCTGCATGAGGAACCAACTCTCTTTTCTACTTAGGCAATGAGCGGAGTCCTGGCCAGGCAACCCAGAAGGGCGTGGTGTTTGTTCATACAGGCCTGATAAAGAGTATTCCAGAAGGTGATTTCTCCGTAAGCTTCTCTTTGTGTCCTCCGGCCCCCATTTTTTCACAGGAGTCTTTATGCTTAGCAAGCACTGAAGTCTGCAGGCACTCATTGTCTGATGCTGTGGCTTACTCACAGGGAGCTGGTGATTCCCCTTCACCACCACCAGCCATTCTATAATGCTATTATAAACTAGGTCAACCATCTAAGCTCTGTCATCCTTGTGTCCAATAAGTACAGCAAAATGAAGATTCCCCCTAAGAGCTTTCCGAAGTAGATTCAAAGGCTGTAAAATAAAAATCCTCTTCACCTAATAGCTTAACCTAACACAAGTATTATACAAGAGTTTCCAGTGGCTTGTAGGTGTCTTGAGGAAAAAGTACAGCAACCACAAAGAATCCTAAGATATAATTAAGCGAACGTAGTTAAGGAATTCTGGATATGTTATTATCTCACCTGACAGCAGCATGTAGCCTTCAGAGACAGAGGCAGGGGGGATACGAGGTTTGCATGCCTTTACTTCTTCAGCTATCTTCCTGCATTACAAAACAGTAAGTTAAGAACCCAGGGGCTTTGCAAGAAGGAATGAAATTCTCCAGAAGACACTAGAAGCAAATGGGCATTTATCTGTGTTTAATATTCTTTTCCAGTCCTCCCTTTGAAGTGCCATACTGTTAATCATATGAACAGTGATAGATTACAATCATATGTACAGCATCTAATGTATTAGTACTGTACGGAAAGCAGGACTCGGCCAGGCTGAACAAAGATGAATAAAAAACCAAAGCAAATTATTTAGTCATTTTTGTATTCATAAATGGAGCACTGCTTGGGATAGTTTCAGAGAAAAAAATGATCACATGAGACAGAAGCTCAAAGCCAATGCCCTGTTCAAAACATTCTTTTTCTCTAATCTATTTTCAGTCTTTACTGTTTTTTGAGGTAAGCTACTGAAACAAATTAACTTTATAAAATTCATGGAAGGGAAAATGTCCTCATTCCTCTCTCTCATCGGAATCCACCTAAAACTGTTGAAAAGATGAGGAAAAAGAGATCCCTTGGGAGGTTACTCCTGGGAAAACAGATCACTTGATACATTGATTTAATGAAATTAAATTATTTGAACATCAATCCTGTATCAGATCCCACTTTTGGAAGGGGATTCATTCTGCAAGGGGTGGCAAAGGTAGCTGAAGCAATGGGCACATTCCTTCTATTATGTTACCTTGGACTCCAAAATACTGACAACTTATTTATATTCAGGTATAAAAGAAGCAACTGTGGTTTCTTAGTAACCAATTACTAAGTAATTGGAGTATTTTTTTCATTTAACATTTTGTTAGTTCATCATTAAGAAAGACATACAGAATTTTCAACAAACTGTTGCAACATATTCGCCTCTCTTTTCCTAATTAAAAGGAATGCAGAAGGATACAATTCTGGTCAGTCCCCTCTTTCTGCAGCAAACTATAAGCTGTTGCGGTCATGAGAAATGAGTCCGACCTGGGTTTTGAGTGTGGCATCAGATGTAATCCCATAGCAGGGGGGAGTGAATGGCCCTGGTCATCCCAGAAATTATTATAGCTTTCAGGGATATTGCTCTGCAGAAAACCAGACATGAGATACTGTTCATGAGATTGGGCCTCAGGGATCAGATGGAACAGTTACTACTGTACCACTCTACTAGGTAGCTGCTTCCCTATCTGAGCTGCTGGATGTTGTGGGTGCGCTGGCAGTGGAATTTCCCAGGGTTATGTTCTTGCGAGTCTTCAATCTGCCTTTTTTAGGTATGAAATTGGAAGCAACATGGAAGTTCATGGGTGCCATAGGCCTGGCCAGGTAATTGTGGGCCAGGCAGACATGAAGTGTCATATATTAGACCATGTGTGTGTGTAGATATGTGTATATCTATTTCTATATGTATGTATGTATATTTCATATACACAGCCTCAGGTCTATGGTAATAGAGCTGGTTTGTAACTTGGAAATCCTGGACTTATGATTCCAACACAGTAAGCTAGTGGCAACTATAGCAATAGCACTTAGACTTATATACTGCTCCATAATGCTTTACAGCACTCTCTGAGTGGTTTACAATGTCAGCATTTCCCTCCCAACAATCTGGGTCCTTCTTTTACCAACCTTGGAAGGATGGAAGGCTGAATCAACCTCGAGCCCTGTCAGGATCTAACTTCAGCCTGTGGGCAGAGAATGCAATACTGCATTCTAACCACTGTGTCACCATGGCTCTATAGCTATCCTCAGAATGGTCTTTGCACAACTTTATGATGTGCATCAATTACATCATATTTCTGGACTGGGTGGCCCTTCTCACAATCATTCATATCTTAAGTCAAATCTCTTTCTATAATATACTGTACATAGGCTACCTGGAAGAGCATCTAAAACCTGTAGTTTAGTTTAGTTTAGTTTAGTTTAGTTTAGTTTAGTTTAGTTTAGTTTAGTTTAGTTTAGTTTAGTTTAGTGTCATTGCCCCTCGTACAATGAAATTAAATGCCATCTTCAGTGTACATTATAACTATAAAAATATAACACAAACACACATCCTTCACATTCTATACAACTGAATTGAAAACCCTTTGCAGATTGAAACAATATTGCAATAATATTGCACTATACAGTAGAATTCAATATAGTTACTCCCCTGGGATGGAAGCTGTTTTTCAGCCTATTTGTCCTTGTTTTTATTATCCTGTACTGTCTGCCAGGTGGTAATAGTTCAAAAAAAGGGTGCCTAGGATGAGATGGATCTTTAAGAATGTTTTGAACTTTCTTAAGGCAGCGGGAGCTATAAAGCTCTTCCAAAGAGGGCAGAGGGCAACTAATGATCTTCTGGGCAATGACGTTAACCCTCTGGAGTGCTGTCCTGTCTGTCACTGTGCAATTGACAAACCATACATAAGTGCAGTAAGTTAAAATACTCTCTATGGTGCAGCAGTAGAAGGCCATCAGCAGTTTCTCATTCAGTTGTTGTTTCCTAAGAAGTCTCAGGTAGTATAATCTCTGCTGGGCTCTTTTGACCAGTGCTGCAATGTGAGTGTCCCAGGCCAGGTCCTCTTTTATGATAACATCCAGAAACTTAAAAATGGCCACTTGCTCCACTTGGTCTCCATTGATAAGCAAGGGCTGGATGTCTGATCTATTCCTTCTATAGTCCACTATAAGGTCCTTGGTCTTATTGGTGTTAAAGACCAAGTTATTGTCTTCACACCATGAAAGCAACCGATCCACCTCATCTCAATAGGCAGACACATCCCGCCCAGAGATGAGTCCCAACACTGCTGTATCATCTGCAAATTTAGTAATAGTATTACTAGCATGAGTGGGAATGTAGTCATGCACATAAAGACTATAGAGTAAGGGACTCAACATGCAACCCTGTGGTGTACCAGTGTTAAGGGCTGAAGAGATATGATTATCTAATCTGACCCACTGAGAACGGCCAGACAGGAAATCCATAATCCAAAATGGTTTGGAATATGGTGGCACTAGTAGCAACATGCTCTTTGGAATTCTCCCCCACCAAAGTTGGAAATAGCCCCATCTCCATTACTCTTTTGCAGAACCAAAATACCTAGCTTTTCTTCCATGAACTGATCCAGGATGGTGAATGAGCCTGTTTTGTGATGTATGATATTTTCATAAATTGTGTGTTGCTTATTTATTAGACTTTTTTTAATCCCACCTTTACTACTTTATAAGTAACTAAGGTGATGAATATACATAATACTCCTTCCTCCTCCTATTTTCCCCACAACCACCCTGCGAGGTGAATTAGGCTGGAGAGAATGAGTGGTCCAAAGTCAGATTTCTGGTTTTGCAATTTGTCTTTGTAATATGCTTATTTTCTTTCCATTTTTCTTTTGTATGCTACCTAGGGCCACAAATCATGGGGAAGGCCAGTCTTAAAAATCTTTGAAACAAATAAATAAATAAATGTATTTTTCTGTTTTCCCTCTCCAAATTACACTCATTTTAGACCTTCTAAACAAGTTCAGTCCTCATTGATCTACTCCTTTTTTAAAAAAAGTTGAAGTCTTACACTTTTGTTCATGCTGAAATTGCATTGAACATCCTACTACACTTTTCCAGAGATGTCATTAGTTCAATTTCTGTCAAGATGGAGGCACCAAAAGATTCATTGAAATAAACAGATATCAAATTCTTTATATCGGATTACCTATTCACTGGAAACTCTACACATTCAGAAACTCAGAATATATAAAAGCATAATTATTCTTAGTTGCAAACCATCCATTTTTCTTCTCTATCCCAGATGGTTATCTATATTTAATGTGATATTTCTATTCTGTCGCAAGGCTTTTAAAATTCAGCTCCATCCCATTTTATTGCAAAGAGAAGATGACTAAGCTCTTGCTATTACAAATGGAAAAGAGCAGGTCTCCAATTAATTTTATACTAGGTGTACAGAAAAGGTTTCACTAAAGTCGGTATAGTTAAACAAATATTTAATTAACTTAATCAGCAGTGCTTTTATGCATTGAGAAACCAGCAGATTCCACAATTGACATACATACATTCTTTGAAACTTGTAAAAAATATCTAACGCACAACATGCTTTTGGTGCGTGCTGCACATGCACACACACAGTGATTTTGGCAAGTACTGCACATGTGTGCAAAGCATGCTTTTGGCGCGTGCTGTGCATGCAGGCAGTGAACTGGTGGCGATCCGCGGAGGATTTCATCACTGCCAGGGATCACAGGAAGGCAACCTAACACTCATGGGAATGAAAATACTCATCAATATTTTTCTTAGCAGTCACAAAACTGATTAGATCTAAAGATATTTTATGTTTTAAAAATCATGGGAAACATCGGTCTACAGAATTGTTTTCATTTACAAGAATGCTTCTGTTCCATAAATCCCTTGAGACATAATTAGAAATGGAGGGATGACTAGTGGCATGCAAAACACTTTCAAAATAAATTGAAATCAAAATGCCCAACTTGGAACTCAAAAGAGTTGTTTCACATTTGGAACACGCTATTTCAGTCATTTTGGGAATGTTTCAAGATCAAAAGAGAAATGTTTCCACAATAATCTCAAGGCTGTCTTTTAAATATAGCTTTTTCAAAACAATACATTTCAAATGTGGAATGTACTATGCACCCTAATAGCTTCAGTTCAGTTCTTGCTTGAAGGTTTACCTATCTGCAAGACAGACAAAGATAATGGCAGACAACAATCTCACCAAATTGCTCTCTAGTAACTGGGTGTTTTGAATCTTGCTATACCCACTATAGTAGCCATTTTGTGAACAGCCATGGATATTAGAAAATGGATAAGAAAAGCCCTAAAACATCTTCTAAGATTTCTAAATATGCTCACTTGCTAAATCCCCCAAATGTCCTCCAGACGGCATGAAGAAACTTCAATGCCTCATTCCATCCATAACAAGTCAACATTAGTTGTATAAACACCAAGGACAGATAAACTGATACCTCTATGCATTTTCATCTACAACTCTTGTAAGTAATGGCTTATAGAAATTATAAACAACACCGGTGTCCCAATCTTGAGGTACAAGTCAATAACAAACATGCTAGCCAAAGGAATGTATCAATTCCATCACCCACCCACCAGCACATTCTTCTTTTAGATGTCTCATGATTACAACTTGCAGATGTACACAATGGATGTTGTCATGAAAAATGTGACATGAGTTTTGGCCACAGCAACCAGAAGGCCTTCTTCAAGCCATTTCCAGAGAGGAAAAGGAAAAATTAAGCTACCACTCCCATAAACAGTTCACCAGGGATATGCAAATATCGTTGCAATGTAACAACTACAAAACTGTGTGTTTGTCATTTTTCCACAAGTTAAAATGTGTCTATTGATATTAGGGACCCTAAACTGAACCATCATTCATGGCATTATCCTCAAACATAGATGATGTTGCTAGTAATATATACATGAAATTACCGGATATGTGCTGGAGTGGTACCACAGCAGCCACCAACTATGTTGACCAAACCATCTAAGGCAAGATCCTGGAGAAGAGAAAAAGCATTTTTCAGACACAAATACGTTAAGAGCAGAGTCACATCTGAAGCATGCACAAAGTTTTGCTAGAACTTTTACTTACACATATCCTTGCTAATTACCAACAACGCAACAGGAGGCCAATAAGTACAGTACCATTTCTTTCAAAGCCCCACTGAAGGCTTAAATTCCATCTTGAATGAAGATACTTGCATGTAAAACTATTCCTTATTTTAAATGCCCTACATGTTTGCCTCCAGATGATATTTAGAAACAGCCCACAATATACCACTGAAAGTACATTGACTGGGTCACATGAAACTCCTAGGGCACTGGTCACTTTCTGAATCATATGTCACCTAATGATACAACTTACACATAATTTCTTTCTGGTCAACACCAGAGTATTTTAGAATTGCAGAACATCTAGAAATAGGAAAGCACATTTGCGGATTTATATTTACTTACTTGAGAATAACCCCCACTATTGTCAGGGATATCTGTTGGGGCAGACAGAGGAAAGTATCAAAAAGCCAAGATGGTAGCTATTACAGCAGTGCAAGGTATATAACGGGCAGGGCTTCAATTACATGATTTGTATCCATCATCTCCATTTTTTGATACCATCCCATTCCCACATATTTATGATTTGTATGATTACTTGTTAAAGGTCTTACACAATAGTCCTAGGCATGTCTACCAGCTCATAATTAACTATTATACTGTTGGGCAGTGTTGAGCTTCAGGGTTTCATAACCATAAGCTAGGCAGATTTATTGACGTTTTGCCAGCAACTGAGTCTGGCATCTTCATTTTTTAATAGTAATTTTACTATGTGTTACAATTAAAAAGATGAAAGCTAATACAAACTAAGAACAAGAAAGGAAAAAATTGCAAAAGGAAGGAAAAAAGAAGAAAAAATAGTAAATATAGAAAGAAATCATTTCCCATTCATCACAACAAATAAATGTTAATAACATCACCTTCTCTCAAATTGCCACAAATGATCTCTTCTCATATCCAATCTCTTATCTCTTAAAAAATATTCAGACTTTTGCTGGCTAACCCATTAAGGGTTACCAGAGATACCAAAAGACCTATTTTAACCTTGATCAAATAAATCAACTTTACATTCTTTTATATTTTAATAATCTTGATTAGTTCCTTTGATTAATGTACTAGATAGAACTTGATTTCATTTTTTTCTTTGTCCCTTCTCAGAAAATTCTTCAAAGTTTTAACAGTCTCTTTTGTAAATTCAATGTTGGAAGGTTATTAGACCGTTCTTTTGGGTTTGTCACTTGTATATCCCTTTTAATTATTAAGTCATCAGCCAGTTTCGATATAGCATCTTTTTTCTATATCATTCTTGTAGCCTGTCTTTTTCAAATCCACTCTCAGATCAATCTCAAACATTTTAAATCCACTGTCAGATTAGTCTCAGTGTCCAACGTTCAAAGTCCATCTTATTCATTTTTTCTTTTAAGAATTCAAAACAATCACATTTTCCCATGATAACGATTCTTATAATTACAAAATCTTATTTCAAATCTATTTGGACCTTACTTTGTTTATAACTTTCCAAAATCAATATTCTGATCCCCTTTTTCCTATTTACTTCCCCATTTTTAAAGATATTTAATGTGTATTCAAAACTTCTTTCACTAAAGATTAAGACAAACTCACCCAGTGTATAACATTAGTTGTTCTGAAGGTATCTAAAATTTAAAAAGCAGTTAACAAGCAATTTCCAAAAGGGATCTGAAAATGAAGCATGTGAATTCAGTATCATTTGGAAAGATGCCAAACTCTAGTTTGGGCAGTCATTTCCTAATCTCCCAATATTCTAAAACTGCCAGAAGCCAGGTTTGTGATCTCCTCACAAGGAGTAACTATCTGGAGCATTTGTAGGCAATCCCAAACCCTCTCCTTGTCTAAAGAGGAACAATGAAGAATCAGTCTATTTACTGGCTATTTATTCCATCAAAGTCATTGTCTCCACTCTCAACAGAGCTATCTTCAGTTTGGCATTTCTTCCCCAGAAAAAATTGGCATCTTCAGAGGCAAAGACTGACTTACTTTTGTCTTTACAGCTAGATTGATTCTTCCTTAATTGAAACCATAAGAAACTCACTGTTTTCCAAAGCTTGGTTATCTGCCCTGGGCCACAACAAGATCACAGGGTCCACAACCAACAAATCAGAGAAACTCTGCCCACAGCTTCAATCGTGGAAATGACCAGTAGAAGCCTGTGCAAAAGCAGAACCAACCAAAAATCAATTCCCAAAAAAATGGGCAAATCAGAAAGCTGCCTAGATGTACACCCAATTAGGATCAGCCACTAGAGTAAACAATCAGAACTCAGCATGAACTAGGAACCAATCAGGAATCAGAAAACGAACAAGCAGAAGCTAGAATGAAAAAAGAGCCAATCAGGAACCATTATCACCAAAATAATCAATGAGGACCAGGCACAAACCACAAATCAGACATCAGCCCTCACCAATCTGTATCAATTGGAAACTAGCTTGGCTATAGACCAATCACTTCCTGCTCATCTGTCTGTGATCTGCTATGCAGACCATATTGCAATTGAAAATGCCAGCCTCAGTTGCCAGTGAAGCTTCAGGAAATCTAGTGTCTAGAACACAATCACTAAACCCTGAAACCCAACACTGCCCAACAGATGCTCACTGTGAAAGCTTTTACCATTAAACTATTATACTATTGAACTCTGTAAGCACATAGCTTACATAAGGTGGTTTTTTTTAAAGAAACCTTACCGTCTAACATACAAATCATTTTTCTCTATAACAAAAAAAAAATCTCACAAGAAAATACTCTTACTTTAATGTGCTTGCCAGTCACTTGAGGTGTTTCATCATAACCACCAAAGGTGTTAGGAAGACCTGAAAAATATATTCAATTCTATAAATCTTTTACATTTATAAATGGAAAGAAAAATGACTTGACTGCAGTCAACAACACTATAACATTTTGAACAAAAAGCCTGTAAACATTTGGATTATCTGAAGGCAATTCTCTTACTGAAGTTTTTGCTTCACATTAATGTAAGAGCAAACAAGTTGGCAAAGCAAAAACCATTTTTTGTAAAGGAAACAATTCAATTTTGTCAACAGTTTATTCACAATTTTATCTCAAAGAAAAACATTTGACCACAAATCTAAAACTGGAAATATCTGCATACCACATATAAGATTTGAAGCATCTAACACTCTGATTTCATTTAAGTATGCCCATTTTGCCATAAAGTCACTTAATTTTAATGATCACTGCTCATGTCACATGGTATGACACCAAACAATAAAACATTTGTTTGAAAAAACAAGCACCTAACAAAGAAAGTACATTCACCCCAAATTTTATAAATGGTTCACGTCTGACAGGTTGACAAGCTATTCAGCATAGTAATTCATTTTAATGCTGATAATGGCACCTGTACAAGATATATATATATCATGCTTTCATTACACCTATTGTTTCAACTCCTGTGAAAGGACTGAATTCATACAGATCTATGCATACCTGCATTGGGATAACAAATGATGTAAGTAGTTGTACACTTTCCTATTGCTTCAATGAAAGGTCTCATTTCAACTGCCCCCAAAGCACAGTTTAATCCAATGCTGCAAATACAAAAGAGAATCCAACAAAACCAAGTTTGTTTTAATCACAAAATCATACATTTGGAAGTAATCATTTAGGAAAATGTGACCAACTCCTTGCCTATGCAGAAATCCAGTTTAAAGCATTCCTAATAGGTGATTGTTTTGAACTCATCCAGCAAAAGGGCACTTACTCATTACCCATTTAAATATCTCATGATCAAATTGCTCTTCAGGCATAAATGTGGTAAACCATCAATTTTCTACTAGAATGGGATCTAGATGTAGGAGTAGAAATACATAGTATGGTATGTAAAAAGCATTGTGGTGGACTAAAACCAGTGACATCTAATTCAAGAATCCAGATGAGATTTACACAAATGGAATATTTTGGGACCAGATGGAATTTTGGAGTATCCAAATATTTTTATTGCAACCTCATTGCTTTATTATTTGCTTTATGGGAATCTGTTTAATTATTATTTCTACAAACCAGTTTGATAGCCTTTCAGAAAAGGAATGATATAAAAATCACATACAGTGGGAGATAATATAAATGCCACTACTTCTGCAGATAGTAGATTAAGTTCTTTTAGCAAAAAGATCAATTTTAAATAAGGGACATTCCGAAAATAACAGATCTTCAAGTAGTGTAAACTCTACCATTTATTTATTTACACAAAAGCTAAAGCATATAAAGTTAAAAACAAACATTAAAACCAAAGGCACATGGGGAGGGCAGGAACGGAGACTGAAATATAAACTTCCCAATTCAACTGTATTTTGCAATTTCAACCTTCAAAACTAGAAAAAGTTGCTTAAATGGGCAGCCATATAAATCTTTTAAATAAGTAATTAGAGTAAGAAAGTTTAACATCATCAGTGATTAGCTTCCTAGGCAGCAGCTGCTTGCTGAGGTTGCCAAAGATTCTTTATACATAAAGCTAATTTAGTAACTAGTCAGGGATAAAGGTGAGAATATCATTGAACTAATAACAAAAACAAGTCTGTAGAAGATAAGTCTCCACCAAGTTCTGGATTCACATATATCAGCAGCAAAGAAGCCACGTGAAAACTCCCTATAGTTGTTTCAATGGCCTCCTGAGGTTTTCTGGGCATGGTTATACATGCCCAGAGATCACTTCCACCAAAGAAAACTGAACAGCTACAATTCCTCTGCAGCTTCAAGGAGCGGATCAGGAGAAACATGCCCCTCACAAGAAAATACCTTGCCCACCTGTCTCTAACACAACGGTCTCTAGCTACAAGTCCTCCAGAGGTGGGGTGTCAACTCCCATAATTCCCTACTCAGCATAAGCACTGCTCAGAATTCTTGGAATGGAAGTTTCGGTTGGAGGAAGAGCTTCCCTAAATTATCAAATACAATTTGTTCCAACAGGAAACTAATCTTGACTACCTGAGAAGTTACATATTTATTTATTTATTTTAGAAAATGTATATTGCTGCCTACTCATGGCGACTCGAGGTGTCTTACAAGGATATAAAAACACCATATAAAAGAAATAAAAATAAAAATAATAAAATATAGATGTAATATAGAAAATAGGCATCTCCTTCACTTTACCAAAGAGCAGGATTTTTTAAAATGCTATAAAAACAGGAGGAAAACAATAATCCTCCCTGAGTCTACAGCTGTTAATGATAAAAGCACAAGCAGGGTCAGAGATTTGAGGATGACTGAAGTAAAGATGAGAGTGAAGCTTTTCCTCATGTGAAAATAAGTAAAATTGAATTTACGGCTTCAGTTCTTATGAGGCGGTGATTTCCTGCACCTCCAGTTCAGATTAAGCTTTAACAATCTCTCAGCAAGCTGCTATTGCGAGAACATATTTACTGAAGACAGATTACAGTTAACATTGCTAGTGGAGTTTTTCATTTGAAAAAAAGGCCTTTGGCCCTATTGATACATAATAGTGCTTTGCTCACTGCAATGCAAAAGGTATGAGATGTATTTCATTGTAATACTGCATCTTCTAAAAAATATTGTAGTAGCTGTTAACTTCTGAAAAAATGTTCTTTTTAAATTGACAGTCCTATCAATGGACACACTTGTAATATTGTGTAAACTAAGCCATCTCATTGACTTCTTGCGGGTTTTTTTAATCCATGGGGAGGTTTATGCAATCTTTGATTCAATTTTAGGCAGAGATTCTTCTGCTAAGAAGCAGCAATCTTTTGATTCAGTCAGCAATGAAGGTTGTATGAGCTCTGCTAAACAATAACTCACAGCTCACTGCAAATAGCCTAGAGAGGTTTAGCTTTAGAGTAATTATCCACAGTATAGTACCACCTATACAGCTAATCATCCCTGAACTGTCCTGTGTTGCAACCTTTGAAAGTTACCATGGTGCCAAACAAGTAACTTTACAACCCGTTGTTGTACATATGACCGTCGTAGCACCCTATGGTCAGGTGATCAAGATTCAGGCAATTTGCAGCTGATGGGTGTTTATGACAATTGCAGTGTCTTGTGGTCATGTGATTTCTATTTGTGCCCTTCACTCCCTGCTTCCAACGATGGAGAAGCTGGCAGTAAAATCTCACATCATGGTTATGTGATGTTTCACTTAACGATCATGTTGCTTAGCAATGAAATTGATAGTCCCGGGTGTTGTTAAGCAAGGACCACCTGACCAATAATCTACCTAGGACAATACAAGTCAATAATTAAGCACAAGGAACATTCTATTATGCACTGGATATCTGTGTCAGCCAAAGAGTATCATAAGAATAACAGAAGAACTCAATATATCCTAGAAATTATTATTCCACAGTCAGCGAAGACACCGAAGCTGAAAAGAGATCAGATTCTAGCAAGACAACAATCTGATACATACTTTCAATCAACCATGAACTATAAGAAACAGAAAAGGTAATGGTTTTTCAACAGTGTTCATTGACCCCAGACTTGAACAGTACTGAGAAATCTCAAAGACAAAATTGTACCCAGGGGGATATAAGAGTGTTTCTGAGCTAGAAGAGTTTTGCAAGTAAAAATGAGGGAACACATTCAAAAGCAAGACTGCAAGACTCTTAACTGGCTAGAGGAAATATTGCGAAGTTGTTTCTTCTTGCAAAGGATGCCACCCAGCCTATTACAAAGTAATAGTTAGAAAGCTGTCCAAACCTCTTCACTTGTTGTATTTACTCTTTCTCATTCAGAATCTATAAACTACTGTATTCAAATCTGGAGAAAAATTGGACGGATAGCTTTGTACCATGCAAAGGTTGCGCAATCTTCTGCTGCTCACTTGAGCATTTTTTGAAACATACTATCTGCCCAGAAATACCTCCATTTTTGTATGCAGCTGTATATGTATCCTTCAATATATGCATAGATTCCACATTTACTTTTTTCTACATTGATTGATTGATTGATTGATTGATTGATTGATTGATTGATTCGATTTAGATGCCAGCCTTCTCTGGAGACTCAGGGCGGCTTACAATGCGTTAAGCAATAGCCTTCATACTTTTGTATGTACCTGCTTAGTAGGGCTTTCGGCCCCCCAAGTGGTGTTCTTTTTATACAAAGTCAGCTTATTGCCCCCACAATCCGGGTCCTCATTTTACCTACCTCGGAAGGATGGAAGGCTGAGTCAACCTTGAGCCTGGTTAGATTTGAACTTGCAGTAATTGCAGGCAGCTGGCAGCTAAGTGCTACTTAACAGCACTTGAATCCGCTGCGCCACCAAGGCTCCTCTACATGATCCATATCGCTAACATTTTTAAAACAACCTGGAGTAATTATAAAATTGGCCAACATCAATTAATTGTATAAAAGATCAATGATCTCTGCACTGCTGCACAAAGGCATGTAATAATAGAATCGAAAATAGCAACGGTATACAGCTGCAAGTCATTCAAATAGTATAAAGTTAGATATGTATCTTACCCATTATTCAACAAGACCTGCAGCCAGGATAAGTAGGGCCAAAGATGCCTTCCTTATCAATCCATAAATAAATTATTTCCATTTAATTCTGTTATGTCATGTCTGATTTATAAGCTTTTTACACTTTTTAACTCGCCAATCAGAGCTCCCTTTTCACTTTAAGGTTCTTTGCCCCATTACAGCATTCCATCTATCTTCCTACCAGCCTCATTTGTTGACCTCCCTTTACAGATGTGCTATTCCTTCTTGGTTTCTCCTTTGTGATCCGTCTATTTCCCCAAGACACAAAAATAGAGAGAAAGAACAGACTTCAGCCTGTAACTGCTGCACTGCATCTGTGTAATGAGATGAATTAACTGCAGTCCAGCTTCACGTCAAGCATTTCCAAACTTTACCAGATGCGACAAATTTTGTCAACCAGGGACAAACAAAGCAGCTGTTCTAATTTCTTCAGCTGATAAACCTAAAGTACTCATCTGCTTGGCAGTATTTATTAACTGTTTTCAAGCTGTAGGCACAGACTGAGGGAGGAAAACTGCAGGTCTGTTTGGAATCATATCCAATGCACAAACTGTAGGGGACAAAGAAGAAAATCACCAAGCAAATCAAGATTACACAAGTGGTTAGAAAGTTGGTACATTGACCTTGAGCACTTATAAGACAATTTGGGGAGTATGTGTATGTGTGCCAATCCCTTTTCAGCAGTCAAGAAACCATACTAAAAGAGAGGCCCGGCAAGATATGATTTCTCCAGAGACCTGCATTTTCCTATGGAGAAATGCATCCTTTGAAATTAACGATTTCTCTGAAAACAGCCAGTGATATTAGACTGTGGGTAATCTGAGCAACAGCAGCAACTAACAACTCTGCAAACTCCTTCTTGTGGAATCTCTTTTAACAAAATGGTTACAGAATCTATTGCAGCTGCAATGCTTTATTGTAAAGGATATCCAGGGTGTCTGTTTTCTCACCAAAGTGGCTGGCTGTGAGATATGCTGATGACAAACGCTTCCCCAGTCTGCCCAGAGAGAGTGCGGCCACTTTTATCGACAATGGTTCCTGATACCTATAGACCACAAGGAGAAGAGTAGGGGGAAAGGAAAGAACAACATTAAAAACAATGCAATAATAGACGCTAAACTGAAATTAACTTTAATGCTTCTGTGGAAAACATCTGACTTGCCACACAATTGGAAGTGAGTAGCTTTTTTTTCCCCCTATCCCATCTTTCTTCAAATCCGTTCTTTATGCATTTGGGGACCACAATATCCAGATCCCTTCTGTGCATTGGGGGACTACAATACCCACAAACCCCAGCCACCCCTGGGCTGAAGTTTCAGTTCACCTTAAAGGGAACTGCCTGGAGGGGAGGGCCACTCTATCCAGAAAGCACATCAGGATAATTTTTTTTATCTGTATTCAGTACTCAAAACTCAGTCGAATTTTAATGATTTTGCTCAAATAGGATTTTTTTTTTTAAAAAAAAAAACCATTTTCTATAGCAGTATGAGAATATGTCCTTCTCCTCATCTATCTTTTATTCTGCCTTATGAAGCTTGACATTTCTTCCGAACATTGCAAGCCTTTTATAATTAGGGTTATATTTCTAATATACTTATGTGAATATATATATATATATATATATTCACATTACCAAAAAAAAACCATGAAAACTACTTAAGGTCTCTATGGAAACAATAACATATAGCAGAACCAAAAATAGCAGCAATATCAATTCAACAGACTATCCTCTGAATTATTGTACATATCAAGTTCTTCTCCATTAAGCCTACCCGTTGTGCCCTAAAAATACCACAAACTTATAAAAGCAAAATGATTGGGTTTTTCCTTACTATCCTTGTGCAACAAATGCCCTCATGTCAGCAAAATATGGGGATCAACTGCCAAGAGCCTGTGGAGAATATGTGTGTTAAATACATATCCCTCCTTTAATCAATGACAGATGTTCCCTAGTGGAATTATCATCTCCCAGCTTCAGGTCACAAGCTGCAGAGGAAAACCCTCTCCAACAGCATATTGGTCAATCAAGCACAGATGGGATGTAACTATCTCATCAAAACATCCAACTACCCACTCTTGTACCAGGCAGACTGGCTGCTCTAGGCAGGAAGAGGAGGTATTGCCTGCTATCTGTATGGAGCAGTGGGGAACACAAAGCTATCAATAAGATTTAGGAAGCTTTAAGCTGCTATTGAAGTTCCCAGTTGGACCTCAGCACATTTAAAATAGCAAACATAAAGGCAGCAGCTGGGGAGAAGAGGGGCATTCCAAGACTCAGCAGCAGCTACCCTCTGAGTTAAGAGCATAGAACTGCACACTGAGCAATATTATTATTTATTTGTATTTTTAGTATGCAGAGACTCTGGACAGGAATTAAAATATTTTTGAACATGTAAAACAGACAAAATATGCCACATATTGCTGAGCCCACAATTCAGGTTTATCGGCTAATGAAGCCATAACTTAGTGTGAAAATTACTCGGATTCAAGGCTGGCATCTTCCAAGGGAAGATAATTAGGAGGCCAGGCAAGATTCTTATAATTTGTCACACTGGTAATATTATTGAGGGGACATTTTCAGATTGCTGTGTATAGCAGGTCATTCATTTGTTATCATTTAATATGAGTATAAAGCACATATTGGAAAGAGCAAACTAACACACAATATGTGAGGTTTCCAAAACACAGTGTTCTTGATTATATTAACTCCTGTAGAAAAAAGGGAATTTACTCTTTTTCAGAAGAACTGGATAATGTTAAGTTTAATTAGAATATACTCACAAACAAGGGTCTTGGTTCATATTCTTCTTCAAATAACTTTAGGAGAGCAAAGAGAGCTGCCTGTCCAATGAAAATATCACAGTAAATTAATTTCCTTTACTCTAGGAAATTCTCATTTCATAGATATGGAAGAAAAAAGGGGACAAATTACCACTAATGAAAGTGTACAGCTCAACCCTGCTCCAAAACATGGATACGGACAGTCAAGAAAAGTATGAAACCACAGTGGAGTCTGTTGGACATTTGTAACCACAAGAAACACGCTGACCTATGTCTTCTATTGCAGGATTTATTACAAAATAGACCCTGAGAGTCCATACAGAAACTGAATCAGGTCAGATGCCTTACTAAGACCTCAACTCAACTGAGCACAGTGCAGAGAACACATTGGTATACATAAAAAAATTGTAATATATCTCAAACTTTATTTTAATCCTAAATTAAAGCTTCAGTCAGGCTGGAATATGAACTCCACAGAGATCTTCAAGGCTCAGAGAGAGAAGTCAAGGATGTTACAAACATGTTACATGTTACAAACTTTATCTCTTATGCAAACTAGGCTAAAAATTCAGGTTTGGCTCTATTTGCTTCACTATACTGTCTTGACTTTGTACAAGAATTCCAGAAAACAGATAAAGATAATTGTGTCCCTTTTTCTCGTTTCATTTCTAAGACTTCTCGCTAATTAAGGGAAAAGTACATTTTTCAAAATCTCATGACACAGATTTCCAAATCTGAATTGCCAACACCATAAACCTTGATGGCGGGTGGCACGCAGAGCTTTCTCTGCTAGCACACGTGCTGTCACCTCAGGTCAGATCTCTGTGGCGTTTCTTTCATGAGCTTCTGTTTTCCTGCGAACGATGAAACAGAAGCTCACAAAAGAAAAAGATCTTACCTCTTGCCATGCTGCCGGTGTTGGGATGCCCCGCCTCCCACTGGTCTTCGGGTCTCTGCTGCACATGTGCATGTGCACACCTTTCATTTTGGGCACTCAGTGTCTAAAAGGTTCACCATCACTGCCATAAACCATAGGACAGCAGTACTCAAACCTTCAGCTGCCCTTAAAGGGAAGCCAACCTCTCATTTTACAATAAATAAAAGGATATCTGCCAGCACAGCCTGATTAGTATATGCAATGACTTCCTTTTCACATATTATTGGGAATGGGCATTATCATTATGAGCTTCCAAGATTCTACTTAAAACCTCACCTTGGCATTGGCTGTATCAAATATGGTTTCCACCAGCATGATATCTGCTCCACCATCTAAAAGACCTTTGGCTTGTTCGGTGTAGGCATCTACCAATTCATCAAAAGCTAAAACACAAATAAGCAACAAATAGTTACAACAAAGAAAAACGTACCGTATTTTTCGGAGTATAAAACACATTGGAGTATAAGACGCACCTTAGTTTTTGGGGAGGAAAATAAGAAAAAAGCTGATTGGTGGGTGGATCAGCCTCCCGGAATACCCCCAATCAGCTGTTCCCAGAGATGAATTTTAGCAACAGGTTCATTGGATGTGAGCTCTGTGCCTTGCTTTTTTTTCTGCCTCTGGAACTTCTGAAACAGAGCTTCAGAAAAAAAAGGCTTTTTTTCTGAAGCTTCTTTCAGAGGCTTTTATTCTGAAGGACTATCTGTACTCTGTTCAATGTCCTTTCTTTGGTATTGGTATGTAGATTAACCTCTTCTGATCTGTTGCTTATTGTGTCATTCTCCAGATTTGTTAACATAGTTTGGTTAGAACCCTTACTGATTCTTCTTTTGTTGCTTGCCATATTATTTTAGGTAAAAGCCTTCCAGGGGCTTTTTTTCTGAAGCTTCGTTTCTGAGGCTTTTTTTTCTGAAGCTTCTTTCAGAGGCTTCTTTCAGCCTCTGAAATCTCCGTTTGCGAGGCTGGGCGGGGCTACATTCGGAGTATAAGACACACCGAGATTTTCACCCTCTTTTTTGGGGCGGGGAAAGGTGCGTCTTATACTCTGCAAAATACGGTACTTTCCAGTTTCAGCTTCAAATTAAACCTGCATTGTAATTTCTTATTTTTTGAGGTAATACATGAGATTGCTAGCATCAGATGAGCTATCAGACATTACTAAGTGTTTGCTTGATTACTTAAAAAATACCTGAGGCTCTTTTAATGTGTCATTAATTATGAACTTATTAACTGTAGCCAAACATGAAATAAAATTCAAAGTAAGAGAATCTTTAGAACTGTTGAGTGTTTTGAGTCAATATGGCAGAACTGCAATTAGAACTAAACTGACAGAAGCAGGTAAAGCCAAATTAATAATCATTTTCAGTTTTAAGATTATCAATGGAAATACTTACTAACATTCCGATAATCAGGGTTTTCCACTGATGGGGAAACAGAAAGGGTCTTGTTTGTGGGGCCCATCGCCCCAGCAACATATCTTTTACTTCCTTAACAAAGAAAAGCACAAGGATAATATTTAAATGACAAGCTTTGGATTGTAAGACAAAGAAATGCAAAATAATAGACTTTATTTGATCTTATGGTCTTCATTTTTATGTAATAATGAAAAACCATGACTGCCTTCCAATGATTAGATGATCCCTTCTGCCAAAAAATGTCTTGCTAGAGAGATCGCTTTTGAGTACAAAGGTCTGCTTCTACTGATCTTCATACACTAATTGGTAAGAATGACCATTGTTTTAGATTATAAATGAACAAAATGCTGAAGTGAACACCAAAGATAGGTATAGGCAAACTGTGACCCCAGAATTAAAATGGCCACTGAATTTTCTTTCAGCTCTAAAAATGGTACTGCCAAATTTTTGCAATAGGAAGCCTATGAAAAGAATAAAGTAAAGGTAAAGGTTCCCCTCACACATATGTGCTAGTCATTCCCGACTCTAGGAGGCGGTGCTCATCTCCGTTTCAAAGTCAAAGAGCCAGCACTGTCCGAAGACATCTCCATGGTCATGTGGCCAGCATGACTAAATGCCAAAGGCACACAGAACATTGTTACCTTCCCACCAAAGTTGGTCCCTATTTTTTCTACTTGCATTTTTTACGTGCTTTCGAACTGCTAGGTTGGCAGAAGCTGGGACGAGTAACGGGAGCTCACCCTGTTACGCACTAGGAATTCAAACCGCTGAACTGCCGACCTTTCGATCGACAAGCTCAACATCTTAGCCCCTGAGCCACCACGCCCCTTATGAAAAGAATAGCATAATCCTGAAACAAATTTAGCACCATTTTAAGAAAAAAAAAGCCCAAATGTCACTATTTTTAGAAGAAAAGTCCAAAGGAAGGAAAAACATAAAAGAAAATGTTGAGGTCACACTTAAACATGGAGATCTTACTTACTTTGTGTTAAGACTTGACTTATTCTGATATTGTTCCCATTCCAAATTACTAAGGGTGATTTTGGCCAAAGTCAATATTTCTGGTATGGCTTTCTCCCATAGCAGCAATGTTTCTCTATGCTCTACACCATGGATCCCCAACATCAAGGCCATGGCCCACAGCCTGTTTGGAATTGGACCATGCAAGCAACGGATGAGTACATGTGCAATTTCATTTACGTGAGCAATGGGCACTTGGGCTCAGGCGCGAAGCTCCATTTACACAAGCGGGTGCTCGCCCTCACACAAAACCATCCCCTCTCCCCCCACACTGGGCTGCCAAAAGGGAAAGGTTGGGGACTGCTGCTCTACACTCATAGCAAGTATGTGTGGATCTAAATGGGGAAGAATAGACTTCAGGTTAATCTAGCAAGAGAGAGTGGCTTTAGATTTTATAGCCTCTTGGATCTCATGATTTTCCATCTTTAGCACTAGGTAGGGTTGCATAGAATCAATAAACAATTGGGAAGTTCTCCTAGGTCACGGCTCCTGTTTGAAGAGCAGATAGCACCATGACTTTTGCACAGCTTTGTGCTGTTCAGAATTACAGACCTTCCTTGATGCTTTGGTCATCTTCTGAGTAGATTACTGCAATGCTCTCTACATAAAGCTGGCCTTAAAGAGCTTCAATTGGTCCAGAATATAGCAGCCTTCTTATGATCGTATTATATCTTTGCTCCACAAACTGCATTTATTATTTCACACAATACTAAAAGCCATCAGAACTTGGACATTATAAAATTCAGCTTGGCATAAAAATAATAAGGGCAGATTCAAAATATCAAGAACTACTTAAAATGGTTATTGGTAAAAACCCAAAAATCAAAAAGTGCTGCTAAAATTAAGGCAATTATATCTCAAAATTCCAGGTGGACAGCAAATTAGGTAACACTGCTCCAATGACTCTTATGCACTTTTCACAATTCATTGGAGGAAAATTGTAACATGGTGATTTAAACCACAGCCAAAACCACATTTGCAAGCCTAGATAACTCATGATAGAAATGCATATCAGTGTGTCAAGTTACTCACCCGTCTCTGCAGTAACATCATCAGCTGCTTTTCGCGCTAACTGGGCTGATGTTTTATTTAACCGATAAGCCTAATAATAGATTGGGAGGTAAATGGTAGATACAAAAAAAAAGAAGCAATAATCTTCATTTGCATTGCATTGAACTCTCCATTATACTTCTGCAGTCAGAAGATCTTATATAGAGGCTCCTAATGCTATCACCAATCTTTAACAGTCTTCAGATTGTCTAGAACCATGATGGTGAACCTATAGCACACGTGCCACAGCTGTCATGCAGAGCTTCTCTGCTGGCATGCGAGCCGTTACCCAGCTCAGCTCCACCACGTATGGGCGCCTCGCACTGGCCAGCTGATTTTTGGGATGCACAGGGGATGGGGCACACGCATGCGGGGGGGAGCACAGGGGTGTAGCGCACCCTCTCCTCACGGCCTGTTTTTGGGCCCAGGAGGCTGCAAGGGGGCCTGCTAGGAAAAAAACGGGGGTGTGGGGGGAATGGTGCGCATTGCATTATGGGTGCTGGCACACACATGTGCTGTTGCACAAGCGCTTTTGGCACACGATGGAACAAAAGTTAGCCATCACTGGTCTAGAAGGACCAACTGGCAAAAACTAATCTTAGGACCCAAAATGCACCAAAGTCACAATGAAATGGAACAGAGATTATGCCAGTAAACAGATTTTTTTTTACACATTTAGGAATTTCTACTTCTGAAATGAATCAAGGTGGGTGAGGACAGGACATGGGCAAAGAAGGATTTACATACGGTGTTAAACCAAAATGAGATTTGCATATTTCTGACATAGTGGGATAAGTGAGCCAGATCAAAGAGCAAGGCAAATACTTGAAAATAAAAGGAAAAAAAGCTGCTTCTTGGCCGCATTAGAAGAAGCAGAGAATTTGCAAACCCATGGATTATTCATTTAACACTATAATTCAGGGCTCCCCAACCCCCAGTTGTGGACCGGCACCAGGCCGTGGCATGCCAGAAACCGGGCCGCGCAAATAAGCGAAACCCCATCTGTGGGACACAGGCAACAGGTGAAATTACGTCCCCTCCAGTCCATGGCAAAACCTCTCTCCACGGAACCACTGCTATAATTCACAATCACCTCCAAAACAGCACTGTTACAAATGAATTTATCTCAAGGATCTGGAAAATGATGTCAGCTAAAAACACAAGACAGGATTAAAAACAGCCTTCTGGAGATGATTCATTAAAAAAACACTCATGTCTTGGCTGCTATTCAGATCAGACAACAGGATATGAAAGGTGGCAGAGTCTTGCAAAGATGCAAACATCTATCATTGCTGATATGGCATCTGTTTGCTTTTTTTTCAAGGCGAAGAAAAATGATTTAACGAAAAAAGATCTTCACCATTCAAACCGAATGTCTTAAAAGTCCTCCCCCAGATAGCAGCATTTTAAAGATTGATTTAGATTAACTTACTACAAAGCAACATTGCACAAGCATCAACAGTAGTGGGAAAGAACAAATATCCACAGAAACGAAGTTGGAAATACAGGTAGTCCTTGACTTACAACAGTTCATTCAATGATTGTTCAACGTTACAACAGCACTGAAAAAAATGACTTATGACCGTTTTTCAGAGTTACGACCTTTGCAGCATCCCCATGATCATGTGATCAAAATTCAGATGCTTGGCAACTGGTTCATATTTATGACCGTTGCTGTGTCCCAAGGTCATCTTTTGTTACCTTCTGACAAGCAAAGTCAATGGGGAATCCCGATTCACTTAACAGTCAGGTTACTAACTTACCAAATGCAGTGTTTCACTTAACAACTGAGGCAAGCAAGTTCATAAAATGGGGAAAATTCACTTCACAAATGTCTCACTTAATAACAGAAATTTTGGGCTCAATTGTGGTCAAAAGTCAAGGGCTACCTGTAACCAAGCAAAGCACTGCTATTTTTGCAATTAAGCTCTTTTGGCAAATGATCAAGTGAGACACAAGTGACAAATGAATGGTGAATTACTGCCACAGAGTTAATCTTATGGGTTATTTTCTGTTTATCCAATCCTAATTTCCAAGACTAAATCATATTTTATCAAAAATAAACCATCAAAACTACGCTATGGACTTCTTACACAAAATTTATATTTTTCCCATAAATATTTATGTTGCTTTATAACATCCCTCCCTTACCAATCTAGTACAATCTAGACATATTGGTCTCAGTTTCCATGATTCCCAGCCAGCCAGCCTGGTCAAAGCTGGTCAAAGGAAAACCCAAATTTGACAAGCAAGAAAACCAAAACTCTCACCAGATGTTCAAGGCTGTAGTCAGCTTGTGCTATTTTAGTGCTGCTGAAAGTATTTGTTTCAATGATATCAGCACCAGAAAGCAAGTATTCCTGTAAGCAGAACAGAACAATTAAACAGCAGTAGCAATAGCACTTAGATTTACAGTATATACCACACATAGTGCTTTACAGCACTCTCTGAGTAGTTTACAAAGTCAGCCTATTGTCCCCAACAATCTGGGTCCTTGTTTTATCAAACTCGGAAGGATGGAAGGCTGAGTCAACCTTGAGCCAGTCAGGATTGAACTCGAGACTGTGGGAAGAGTTAGCCTGCAATACTGCATTCTGACCACTGCGTCACCAGGACTCATACTCCATTAGCTCATGCTTCCAACTGAAGCTTGGAAATCCATATAACTGAGAATGGGAAATGTGGCACAACCAGATATGGGCAGGGTTTACTGAAAAATAAGGACATATAATCTAACCTTCCCTATTATGGATTTTAATTCAATAGGGTCTATACCAGGGATGAAATGCTCCCAGTTCGGACCGGATCGCCCGATTGGGTAGCAATGGTGGAGGGTGGTTCGGAGAACCGGTAGCAAAAATCCCTGCACCCCTCCCCCCATGCCCAGCACAGATGCCCTACGCACAGTTACTCATGCACTAGTCATCTCCCGTATTGACTACTGCAATGCTCTCTACTTGGGGCTGCCCTGGAAGACCACTCAGAGGCTTCAGTTGGTACAGAATGCGGCCGCGCAGGTTGTAATGGGAGGGTCCCGATACTCCCATGTTACACCTCTCCTGCGCGACTTGCATTGGTTACCAGTTGCCCTCTGGGTGAGATTCAAGGTGCTGGTGATGACCTATAAAGCCCGACATGGCTTAGGCCCAGGATATTTGTCGGACCATCTGCAACCAGCAACAGCTTCCCATCACCTGGTGCGTTCTCACAGGGAGGGCCTACTCAGGGTGCTGTCGGCTAGACAGTGTCGGCTGGTGGCCCCCAGAGTTAGAGCTTTCTCTGTGGGCGCGCCCACCCTTTGGAATCAACTCCCCCTGGGGCTCCGGTTGGTCCCTGACCAACCTGACTTTCCGCCGCAAACTAAAAACATGGCTGTTTAAATCACCCAGCCTGGACTGATGGGGTTTGATTATTTTAATGAGCTTTAACATACGTTTAATTTGTATTTAATGTGTTTTTATCTGGTTTGATTTTAATTGTTGTGAGCTGCCCTGAGTCCTATGGAGATAGGGTGGCATACAAATCAAATTAAATTAAAAAATTAAATTAAAATGTTTCCCCAATTTTTGCTCCAAAAGATGCATTAGGGCTTATTTTTCACTTAGGGCTTATTTTCAGGGAAATACAGTAGTAAATGCATCCGTCTCGCTGACGATCTTAACTGGGGCTTATTTTTGGGGTAGAGCTTATATTATGAGTGTCCGGAAAAATTATGCTAGGGCTTATTTTTCAGTTGTGTCTTATTTTTGAGGAAACACGGTAGATGCTGCTTGAAATCTGTAGACACACCTATACACTCAAATTTAGTAAGCTGAAGAGCAATGCAAAACAAAGTTCATCTGTAATTAAATTATTCAACAGTCAGAAAACAGAACTTGTAGTCAATGGCTACTGAATAGATGGTTGCTCTGATGAAGCCCAAAGATGAGCAATGAGCAAAACATTTTCTACTAGTTTCTTGAATAGTTTACATATAGTTAACAGTTTATCTACCATTACTGGTAAAGTATCTAGGTGTAAAATGGGACATTTTCCCTGATCACTTTTAGTTCTGTTATTAATCTTTGAGATTAGAGGAAAAGCTTTAGAAATCCTCTCAACTGCAAACTCAGCTTATGTTTTTTTCATTATTTGAACAGCAGGAGAAGAAACTCTACAATATATTATACAATTAAATTATAACTGAAAGTGGCAAAAGAAGCAATTCCTGTTCCATATTCATGTTGTTATACTGTACAAAGAAATGTAGTTATATTTCAGATTTGAATGCTCCAATATGATTGTCTCAGTTTAAACTCTTGGATTTTTTTCCCCTCAGCAGTAAAGAAAATAAATGAGGACAAAGGTAATTACAAAATGTTGCATGTTAATCAAAACACTACCAGGAAGAATTCCCAATTTAGATTTTCGGTGAAATTGACTGACGGCTAAATATATTTCTCTGTGTACCCAGTATTTTTTAAAATTAAGAAAATAACAATATTTTTAAATGTTATTTCTTTTGAAATAAGTATGTTATGTGGTTTTGTGTATCTGCATATTTATTCATTTATAAAATTTCTAAGATCACCCTTAGCTAATGACAGATGAGCAGCTTACAACGTTAAAATCTAAAGAAAAAAATAAAAATACAACTCTCAATGTATGTGTAGGGGTATAGAAGTAAGGGTTTGACTATAGGAATTAATGAAAGTCAGTGTGGTATAATGGTTAAGATTTATTTATGGGGTCTAAATCTGATCAATTCCAACACCCAACCACCTCAAAATTCCCCTCCAGCTTGTCTTTCTCCATTCTAGATCATCACAGCCAATCTCCTGTCACCAAATCCCCAATTATTTCTTTTCAAGTGGTCCTCTGTGAACCATGACATTACTTCCACCTAATGAGTTATTTTAGTATGTGCACAAAGTAGCAGGGAAACCCTTGAATCTAATCAAAGGAGTAAATATTCTTTAGAACTATTTACTTAGTTCAATAGTGAAGTAAGAATCAGTGTATCTAAAGACCTAACTCTGCAGTAAGTTAAAAACAAGCAGACTTCATTTCTAACAGATGTCCAAGTTTCAAATTGCATACTATTTTGAGGGTCTGAAATGGATGCGTAAAGCCATTGCCGAGACAGAATATAGGATTTTTTTTCTGGTGAACAGTACAAAAAGTATTTTTTCTAATATTTCTTATACTTTTTCTTTTTAACCTGAACCTTGGAGGATCTTCATCTATTCACCAAATAGATGAAGAGCTAAAACCTATATATTCTTAATACTTTTCAGCCATTTATTGACTTCTGAGGGATCGCATACAAATAATAGGACTGGGTCACAAAATAGGGATTCATTCATCGATGTATTTTCAAAAGTAAGAGTAAAAAAATATGAGCATAATCCAGTCCACTCAAATTAGTGAAAATGTTCTATCCGCTACGATTTACTCTTTGTTGCCTTTTTCAATGAACAATACTCAGCAATCTTCTTGTGCCCTTCACCTAAAGACCCATTTCTGAGGAAAGTGCCCATAATTCTGCTCTATCCATACCAGTGTTTCTCAGTTTTAAGTGGTGTGGATTTCAACTCCCAGAATTCCCCAGCCAGAATTCTGGGAGTTAAGTTCACACAATTTAAAGTTGCCAAGGTTGAGAAACACTTGTCTAGACCATATGAATGTAGCTCTCCAGAGTTGTTATACAATGCCAGAAGAATCAATAAACTCTTTCTAGTACAAGACTCATAGAACAAATTGTACTCACCTTATGAATTTTGTAGATGATATCAGGCTGAGTTATGCTCAACAGGTCATTATTTCCCTTGAGTGGTTTCAGGTGATCCTTAAATTCTTGACCTCGAAATTCCTCTTCTCCTAAAGAATATTGCTGGATCATGGTCCCCATGCCTCCATCCAAAACCATAATGCGCTCCCTCAGAATGGATTCTATTTCCTCTTTCAGGGTTTTTTTGGAAACTGCATTATGACAATGTTTGAAAAAAATCTGTATTTAAAGCATTCAGCATCTCTTCTCGCAATGAATCACAGGCTCTAAAGCAGGGGTCTCCAATCTTGGCAACTTTAAGACTTGTGGACTTCAAGTCCCAGAATGGCTGAGGAATTGTGGAGTTGAAGTCCACAAGTCTTAAAGTTGCCAAGACTGGAGACTCCTGCTCTAAAGCATTGAGGATTGTGGACATGCCATCTTGAATTGCTTCAGAAAGACAGATATACATGTTATATAAATAAATAAAATGATCCATATTGTTGCAACTAGAACAAGGACACAAAAGTAGCTTATGGCCTAGCTACACTCTGAAAGGGTGCTAAGATAAAGTTTGAGAGACAGATCTCTAGAAACATAGTATTTCCAGCACAACTAAGGAACTCCAGATTGGAGAAGCTGTCATTTAATGTTATTTCAAGATGAAAAACAATAGCACTTAGCAATAGCACTTAGAGTTATATACTACTTCATAGTGCTTTACAGCCCTCTCTAAGTGGTTTACAGAGTCAGCATACTGCCCCCAACAATCTGGGTTCTCATTTTATTAACCTTGGAAGGTCGGAAGGCTGAGTCAATCTTGAGCTAGTCAGGATCGAACTGCCCAACTACTGGCAGTTGACAGTCTGCAGAATTAGCCTGCAATACTGCCTTCTAACCACCGCACCACTATGGCTACAATAGAACTTTACTAAACAAATGAGCCCTGTTCAGGTATTATAGATTGTCTACCCTACAAGCTTAAAGTACTTTAAAATCATGCACATCTGATGGGTCCTATGAAATTGTATTTGAAGAAATGCAGGTTTTCATATGGGCTCTTATTATACTTGGCCAATATCCTTAGTTTCTCTTATATGCTTGTTGTGTGACTGTGTGTAGATCACAGTCTTCTTACTATTTCCTGCTTCGCATTTTTTCTTTCATTCCTCCCTTGCCAGGAGCAATCTGAAAAATCCACAGACAGTATGTTTTTTCTTTGCTTTGCTACAGCTCCTTGATGCATGCATGGTACAGTACATTTAGCCTAACAGGAGACAGAAAATCTTCTGATCTGGAAAAGTATGGGCAGCTCGGGAGGTTGTGGCTCTCTGTGGTCAACTAAGCTGTAAGGGAAATACAACAGAAAATAGCAACCCAAATCTGTGATTGCCGGTTTTGTATTAAAGTTGAGTTGAATTCAACTTGCTCCCAAATAATAATGCTTTTCTTTCTCTCTCTCCCTTCCTCCCTAATTTATAGAAAACTCTTGACAGCTCACAATAATAAACAAAACATAGTAATATCAAAACCCAAACAACTCTTACAAATGCATTAAAGCTCTTCATGACTTAAGGTCAGCTCACCTGAGGGACTATTTATCTCCAATTACTGTATATCTCTTGACCCAATGAGATTAGGCAGAGGGGCATGCTTTGAGTCCCATAAATTGACAATATCATCTAGGGCAGGGGTGTCAAACTCAAGGCCCTGGGGCTGGATCCAGCTCAGAGGGTGCTTAGATCTAGCCAATGGGCCACCCTGAAAACAGTGAAGGACCAGCCCATGGTGCCTCTGCCAGTGAAAATGGAGCTTGCAAGGGCCATGGGCAGCCCTCCCGAGCTCTGTTTTTGCTAGCAGAGGGTTGCAGGTGGCTGTCCACCTGAAAACTGATCTCATGAGGGCTGTGGGCCCCCAAGGGCCAACAGTACACTTATGCGGCCCTCAATGAAATCGAGTTTGACACCCCTGATCTAGGGGGACCAAGAAATGAGATGGGTGGCTCTCACTCTGATGATGTTCAGTAAACTATTTTGGCTATTCTCCCAGTCCTTGGGATAGATTGATAATTGAGACACAGTTGGATAAGGGTTTTTTGTTGTTGTTGATAATATGATTTTCTTTAGGGTACTTAGGAATTTTTTGTTTTTATTATACTATATTGTTCTAAAAACAATTTTCTTGTTGACTGAATACATATATTCTGGACACTTTTCTCTATGATTTCTTTCTTTCTTTCTTTCTTTCTTTCTTTCTTTCTTTCTTTCTTATTTATTTATTTATTTATTTATTGGTTCGATTTATATGCCGCCCTTTTCAGGGCGGCTCATTCTGGTGATTACTTGCGAACCGATTGTGAACCGATATCATCTGGAAAAAAAGGAATCAAGGATCTATGTTTCTGTCTGACTTGCATGCCTTGACAAACAAAATGAAGCATAACTATCTCAAAAAAGAGATTACAAATTTTTCCTGAAGTATCATGTCAGGTCTTATCACATAACTAACAGAAGGGAATACCCCAGCCCTACAAGAGATATCTTTGGGATATTTGTTAAACCAAAATATTTACTGAACGTTAGGATAGAATAAAGTTCAGGAAGCCAGGGGAAAAAAATCTCAAAACCACCACTTCATTTTTAAAGTAGAAGAGGTGCTGGTATTATAAAAAAGAGACTTTTCTTCCTTCCAACCTATTCAATTTTTACAAATTCGTTTACACTTATCTTTATTATTTTTGGAGGTTTATTTTTGTGCCATTTATAACTAATTCCTTCCCCCCCCCCCCGGGTTAATAATTGGCTAGAGATAAACTGACTTGAGTGATAAGATAGAGAATGTAACAAAACAGCCTGGAGAAGGACAAGATTACGATAAAGAACAAATGCTTCCATCCTACTTTATGTTAGAATATTTTTCCCCATGAATATATAAATAAGCTTTTTTTCAGAGAAGTATGTCTTGGACGAATTGTAATGGCATTAATGTCCTACTCAAGGTATGGCAGGAAGGCTTGTGGAAGAGCATTTGGGAACATCAGTATTTCTTACTTAGCGACCAGGTCAGAAGACTGATGCCAATTCACTGTACAGGGAGTCCTCACTTTATAACCAGCAATTTCCATCACTAATTGACACAGTCATAAAACAAAACAATCACGCGACCATACAACTTACAACAGCAGCTCTGGCAACCCCTATTGCGATTATTAAGCAAATCACACACAATTGTTAAGCATGATGTTACATGATCAAAACTTGCAACTTCCTGTTGGCTTCCCCAAAGGTTTGTCAGAAGCTGGCTGTGAAGGTCACAAATGGCGATCATATGACTGCAGAATGCTGCAACTTTCCCAATTGGTGTCAGTTGCCAAGCGGCCGAATCACAACTGAGGGACCGTGGGGACTCTGTGACAACTTTAAGGATAAGTCATGCCTCCTCATTCAGCATGGTCATAACCGTTAGTTGCTAAATGGGTGATCAGTAAGGCAGGACTAGCTGTACACATCAACAGCTTAATGTATGTATAATTCATCACATGTATAGGGAATGCTCAATATGCATTCTCCTAATATAGCTATAGGGCACTGCACACCAAAACAACTAGACACAAGGACAGTTTTTTCCCAAATGCCATCACTCTGCTTAATTCCCACAACACTGTCAAACAATTTACTAAGACTGTATTACTATTATTCTTCTCTTCCTTACTAGTAACTATCTCTTCCCGCTTATTACTATAACCATGTTGCTTTATCTCTCAATTATATTGTTTTTATTTTGTTTCCTAGTATGATTTGATAGCTTATTAGTAACCTTGGCTATCACTAAGTGTTGTATCTTTTTATTCTTGATTAATGTATTTTATTCCTTGTGTGTCCAATCACACTTGGCCAATAAAGAATTCTATTCTATTCTATTAAAAACATTTTAAAGTCGGAATGAAACCAGGACAAGGAGGATATGCTCTGTCCCATTATTTGTCAGAATTGGAGGACCACTTTGGCCAGGTTATCTGACAATGAACAATCATAATGGAACAGTATCTACTTTTGAAAAAGCATTCCTAATTTTCACTGGGAAAGTTTTTACAGGCTCGCCCATCAACAGCTGGAGGATAAAATAAATGAACCTGAATTAATCTTAGAAGTATCTCGGAGTTTGAACTTCCCCCTCACTGTCTAGAACAGCCATCTTTGCCTGGGACTTTGCATTTTCTCTTTTAAAAACTGTCCTATAAAAATCACCAGTGGTGCGATGGTGAAGCAGTACCATCACTGGAAAGGGCAAACCAAATTAACTGCCCTTATTTAGTGGGGGGAGTATGTATGGTTGGGGATTTTTGCAGAATAGATGCATAAAGCTCGTGAGATATACAGATGTCACGGGCACACCCAGGATGGGTTTCTAAATTTTTTACTACTGGTTCTGTGGGCATGGCTTGGTCGGCATGGCATGGTGGGCATGGCAAGGGAAGGATACTATAAAATCTCCTTTCCCTCCCCAATCCAGGGGAAGGTTACTGCAAAATCCCCATTTCCTCCCGAATGCCTTGGGAGGCAGAGAATAGATGGGGGGCGGGCCAGTCATAATTTTTACTACCGGTTCTCCAAACTACTCAAGATTTCCGCTACCGGTTCTCTAAAACTGGTCAGAACCTGCTGAAACCCATGTCTGAAGCACACCCAGGATTGCAGTCACAGCTCACTGCAGTCAGAAAGATGTATTTAAGGGATTCCTACTGTCCAATCAGTGCATGAAACTACATGAAACAACTACAATAAGGATGGTTTTTTTCTTTTTATATTATTTTTGGGTTCAGAGGGAGAAATCACACATTAAGTGGTAGAATTTTGTGATTGTACCACAAGCATTATTCTGGGCTGCAGGCTCCTGACTTCATACAGCACTGCCTTAAGTGCGACTTTTGATTTCATACAAACAAAAGTTTAGTGGCAAACATAAAGAGCACACCAAAATGTGTACCTATCTTTTGCTTCTATGTGATAAACAGCATAACTTTATTATCATTAATCTGATGGCATGCCCTGAAATTTCTTCTGTGCCTGAAAATCGCCTTAAATTAACTGAGAAAGTCCCTTAAAACTCTCCTTTGCATCGGAGCAAAACATCGATCTGCTCGAATCACATGTTTATAGGGGGAAAAAAGGAAATCAAGTAGAAAAATTACACGTGGTTTACAAAACGAGGTGGACGAGCCTTATCCAAAACACAGTACAGAGGAACCCTGGGAGCTGGTTCACCGCGTGTTTCACTATTAGGTTCTTGCTAGGTCTCCTTTAATTATCAACAAGCTCGGCTTTGCCAGTGTATTATTTAATACTCGGCTTTCGTCACATCTTTTTCTGAGGTCCAATTTAGCCGGTACTGAAAGCGAGAAAGATGCAGATGTTAACCAAAAGTGCCTCGAAAAGCGAATCAGTACTTCTGATTTTTAATTTAATTCGTCCGGGTTTCAAAAGGTTTTAAGCTCACTTTCAGGAGTTCAATGACACCCACCTTATCTACTTTCCTTTTGGCTATTTAGAGGGGGGAACTAAAAACCCCAAATTGTCAACTGTATCTGAACGACTAAAGTTAATTGAGTCTACTTTCTGAGTACAGCACACGTAGTAAACCTCCTGCCGAGTAGGAGAGCGGAGCCCACTCACTCCGCGATTCCCAGACCAACATACAGCAAAAGTTAGAAACTTTGCGCCCTGCCAAGACATCGGAGCTCACAAACGCCTCCTAGAAACACGCACCGTGCGACTCCTGGCTACCCCGCTGCTCAGCCAACTGGGGAATCGTGGGCGACATCGTTTTGAAACAGCCTTGCCAAATCTGAGCGACTGAATTTCGACTCCCGGGTTAGAATGGCCGGAGACTATGGCAAGGAAAGCGCCTGCGTGCGCGTCACCAGCTGCGCAGACGCATAAGATTTTTCTTTAATGTAAACGCAACTGTCAGGGTAGACGAGGGACGTTGATTTGAATGTTGCAACGAGGAAGGCGTGGAAGTGTCGTGTTGGAACTGCGTACCTTGCAACCTCTATGTCTGCATTTAATTTTACTAATTCTTAAACGTGTTCTGTGCTTAGATTGCCGCTGTATTATAACTCCTGTTGTTTATATAGGAACATATTTAACCAAACTTGTCGGGCAATAATGGATTTCCCCCGCGGGCTCCTCTACATTTGTGTGAGTTTGCAAAGCAAAAACACCATTTGGGAAGACGATTAGGATGAGAGCTCAAACTCTGGAAAACTCCTTTTTGCTTTTAATATTTTAGAGTAAGGAAGGAAATTTAAATCCCTCCTGCGGCCTCCGACCGAATAGAAAGAGGGCAGGGCTGCTTACTGCAATTGCTTAATCTTGTTAATCGCTTAATCTTGCAACCACCCTAATAATAGAAGTCTTCGGAGGTCAATCTACAGCAGGGGTGTCTAACTTTAGCAGGTTTTAAACTTGTGATCTTCAACTACCAGGATTCCACAGCCAGGCTGGCCGAGGAATTCTGTGAATTGAAGTCCACAAGTCAAAAATTGCCAAGATTAAGCACCCCTGATCTACAGGTTTCCTGGAATGGTTTTCTCTACAGCCAGATCTACATTTTCTTTGCAAGGTTTTCTCTGCACACCCAAATTTGGTCTCATTCAGTTCAGTTTTGGAGAAGTTCTTCTGTTTGGTCATCCCAAATATTATATTTCAATATTTCCAGCTTTCCTCTCCTTTGGTTAAAAACTAAAAAAGCTTATAAAAGCACTTTTCTTTTAAATTAAAAACTGAGTGTATGGAGCACCTTAGAAAGCTTAAGATGCCAAAATTCTGGAAGTTGAAGTCCATAATATCTGAAAGTTGAGAAATGCCGGATTACAGAAAAGGGTCCCAAGCTGGCTCTGGCTGTTTTTTTGTTTGTTTTGTTTGTTTGTTTTTATGTAACTTGGCTAAATTCTAACCATGCCTTGAGAGAGGAGTCTCAGCCATTGTGTCACTACTGTAGTTGTTATACAAAGAGGAATCAATTAGGTGAATGCTGATTTTAAAAAGGGATTATCTATCCCATGCATTGCAGTAAGTCAAGATTTTGTTAATTGTGTTTTGTTTAATACATGACAATTCCCTGAGTTTGCATTAGGCCACAATACAAGAAATCACATAATTAGTATAATGTCTGAATGCAGTCACTATAGACTTTTCCCATTACCCTGGGTACAAAAAATGTACACAGCGCCTATTATTCATTGACTATTTAAGAAACGTCATTCTCCTTCATTGTAAGCAAAGTGCTGATACGATGCACAGAGAGAGATCTCAGAAAAAGATCTCTGATAGGTCATCCTCAAACATCCAGTGCTGTTAAGAATAAATAGCCAAAGGTTTTATCCTTGAGACTTGCACATTTTGGTTATGTCTTTATACTGCAGTCCAACTAACTTTCTGCTGCATTCACATTTCACTGAAACATAATATGGATAATTTGGTTTGTGGTTATTTGGTCGTATGCGTGTTTGAGTATAGGAATGTATCTGTGGATCCAGTTCCCCCAAATGCCACCTCGTTATCCTGAGAGGTCAAATATAGCATTATATGTTCCTTAAAACCAGGGGTGAAATGCTCCCAGTTCGGACCGGATCGCTCAATCCGGTAGCGATGGCGGTGGGTGGTGGGTGGTTCCGGTAGCAAAAATCCCTGCGCCCTCCCCCCATGCCTGTTTTTTTTACTTTTAAAAGCATTTTTTTCTACAACCTCTTCGGCCAAAATAATGCTTTTAAAAGTTAAAAAAAAGCCTCTGATGATCGTGCGGCTCAGCTGGGATCGTCAGAGGCTTTTCAAAGCATTTTTTTCTACAACCTCTTCAGCTGAAGAGGTTGTAGGGGAAAAAATGCCTTTAAAAGCCTCTGGCGATTCCAGCTGACTTGCCTAATCATCAGAAAAGCATTTTTTTTCCTGCAACCTCTTAAGGTTGTAGAAAAATGCTTTTAAAAGTTAAAAAAAAAAGTTGGCCATGCCCACCATCACATTACACTCCCCCCACCAAGCCACGCCCACAGAACTGGTAGTAACAAATTTTAGATTTCACCTCTGCTTAAAACATTTGTAACTGTACTAAATAGAACAATAGACATACCTAAACTTTGTGCATCACGGAAGGTGGTATCATGTATCATGTTTCCTTGAAAATAAGACCTTGTCTTATATTTTTTTGAACCCTGAAATAAGCACTTGGCCTTATTGCCATGCGCTCAAAAGCCTGATTGGGCTTATTATCAGAGGATGTCTTATTTTGGGGGAAACAGGGTAGCCAATCTTGGAAAAAGCTAAGCAGGATCAGATCTAGTTAGTCATTGGATGGGACTATCCCAAACTGTAAACTGTAAGCATTGGATGGGATTATTCCAATGTAAGATGAACCAAACAATCCCAAACTAAGTTGAACTAGGAAATAAAAATCTTTAGGAGCAATGATAGACTACTTCTATGCTGATGCTATCAGGCACTAAGCTAGTAAATTCAATTCAGCATAAACTTTTATGCAAGTTCTAAAGTTCTTATCAAGAGAGGATAACTACAGGATTTTCTGTTTTATGTAGAAGTCTTATATTGTTGGGTCTCCGGCTGTGAGTCATGACCCCCTCAAGGGGCCCCAAACAATTTAAAGAGGGGTTGCGAAGGGTTTTTTTGCAAAGCCTGAAGCAAGGTTTGCCAATGCTCAATTATTTTACTTTAATATGCGGAGACAGTAACATAAATTCGTTTATCATTTTAGGAGATTACAATATTGCAAACTTAGAAAATCTTTGCCTTGCAATAAAACGAGACTGAATCGGCATGAAGTTAAGCCCATCCCTACATTATATATACACCTGTTAGTTGATGGAAGGTAAGCAACAGCATATTGGCTTGGAAAGTAATCTCTAGATTAGATATCCTAATTTGCATGAAATAGTGGAATATGCTCCATCTGATGATGATTTATAAGCACTAAGGTAGATTATTCCCTTCTATCTTGCCTTTATTTTCTTTCACTCTCTCTTCTTTTTCTGAAGTGCATAGTGCTACTTACTCCGAAGCAAACTGTGATTTATTATAAATCCTACTGAAACCTATAACCCAGTATATTCCAATAATATATTTTTGTTTATTACAATTCTGTTCTTTCAGGTAGTTGCCCCTGGGCCCAACTTTCTGACAAATCAGCTGGATCAATGCCTTTGAGAGGAAGAAGAGCAGCAGCAAAAAGAATAATCTGCACCGGTGGTGGGTTGCCCCCAGTTCGGGCCAGTTCGCAGGAACCAGTAGTAAAACCGGCGGGAGGCTCCGCCCACCGACCCTGATGTTAGGAAGCTTCTGTGCATGCAGCCCCATTGCGAACCGGTAGTAAAAGTAAGTAGAACCCACCCCTGATCTGTACTCTAATTGGGAAAAAAACATAAATAAAAAAGATAGATGCCTTACTACATATAAAGCAAATAGAGAAAAGTTTTTTAAAAATGAGGTGAGAACCCTGTTGTCCAGAAGACATGCCCTAATATGCTGTTTCCCCTAAAATAAGATATCCCCTGATAATAAACCCAATCGGGCTTTTGATCGCATGCGCTAAAATAAGCCCCCCTGAAAATAAGCCCTCCCCAAAAATATTTAAATGCATGCATAGCCGATCCCCACCATTTTCTTTGATTAGGTTTAGGGAGACAGAGCTGGAAATCAGGTAAAATGGCAAGAGGAGCCTCGTCTTTCTCCATGTGCCGCAAAATAATAAGACATCCCCAAAAATAAGGCAAGCACTTATTTCGGGGTTCAAAAAAATATAACACAGGGTCTTATTTTCGGGGAAACACAGGTATTTAAAGATGTATCAGTTTAATCTCAGAAACTGAATCAGTATTAAGGCTTGAAAAGCAGACTTTATTTTAAAGGCACGTTTTAATAGTAGCAGATGGTACAGTTTTCTTTGCTTCTTGTATGAACATTTACTTTTTTGCATTTATTTCATGGGATTGTTAGACTTCAGATAAAATAGATTTTCTACAAATTGTTGAAAAGAATATAAAGGTCAGGAAGCTACTGCACAAAGTAATTTAGACTATTTGTAATAAAATGCCAATATTGTTAGCATTAACCAAGAACAATTGCAACAGAACAATGAATATAGCAGAGAGCAGACACAATCTATTAACAACCATCCTAAAATATGGAACTCCCTCATAATATCCAGGCTACTAACACTGTGCCCTTTCAAACTGGGCATTGATTTTAAGCTGAATGCTATTACCACCATTAAGATGATGCCCTTATCATCAACCTCTTTGAATAAACTCCAGAGGATTTGTGATTTTATACCACTAGAAACTCAGACTAGAATTCCTGTGCATGTTTCACATTAGAAACAACGAAACAATCTCATGTGATTATTTGGTATGACCTGGGTTTTTTATTTTCTCTTGTATATGGTTCCATTTGCACAAGCAGACCTAAACCCCAGTACCCATAGATCAGAGATCTTCAAACTTGGCAGCTTTAAGACTTGTGGACTTCGACTCCCAGAATGCTCCAGCCAGCATAGCTCCCAGAATTCTCCCAGAGAATTCTGGGAGTTGAAGTCCACAAGTCTTAAAGCTGCCAGGTTTGAAGACCTCTGCCATAGATGAAAGCATTACCATGGTATGAAAGCAAAAAAGAGGAGGTGCACAGAGGGAGGTTGTGGAAGACTTGCATAAAATGTTCAGAATTCTTGAAAACATTTCATGTTTTGAAAATCAAAGATATGCTAGATTTGTTTTTTGTTTTTTTCAAAGGCATGTTTTCTTTTGTTTTTCCTGAGGCTTTCTAACTTGGCACTTTGGGATTATCCATTTTTAATTTAAAAAGAACAACAACAATCTGATAAGGCAGGGGGCCAGTGCAGTCTGTCACTGTATAAGCTTGATCAAGTACATATAAACAACGTAAAAACTCATCATGCTGCACACTACGTGGGCATTGCTCCTTACTGAATGTTCCTGCTAAACTTGAGAAATTGTAGTGAGGTCAGCTTACTTATTCTTTTTTTTTTCAAGGAGCAAACTGGAATATATCTAGTTTCACTTGCCCACAGAGTCAGTCCCCAGTTACAGATCGCTTTCCCCATACAATGCTGATGAAAATGAGGTATAGTCCAGAGCTCCAGGAACAGCTCCTGGTCCCTTGTACGCTGGCATACGCTTGATGCAGTACTGAGCTTGTTCAGATGGCAGTTCTCGATTCAACTCTTCAGCAAGAATATATGGCTAAAAGGATTGAAAAGGAGGAATATGATGAGCTTTTTCTGAAATTTCAGAATCAAAACAAGCGGTGAACTCTCTTTGTTCCTTGAAAACAAGGATGAGATTGGGCAGACACTTCAGTCATACAGATTAGTTTTCTCCAATCTGGTATCCTCACTGTTTGCAAAATCCAGAATACTTCAAAGGCACCAGCCTGGACAAAACTAGCACTGATCCATAATACCTTATTATGGAAGTCATTCATTAATTCATTAATTCATTCAATTCATATGGCAACCCAACCTCAAACAAAATAATTCTGGGTGGTATACAGAAAGAAACATTACAACAAATACAACCTGAAGAAAAACAATACATTAAAGACCAACTAAAGCAGTAAACAATGAATGGCTATCAGACTAAAATATGCTACAACTAAACCAATTGGAACTTAATTCAACTGAGCTCCAAGCCTGGAGAAAGAATTGGCCTTCATAAAAGGTCTGTAAGGTCGGGGCCAAATGTATATATTTATACTAGATATGTTAAAGTATTTTCATATATAATATTAAGGCAGCTCTTTCCCACAGCCTATATCTACATTGTACAACCTCTGTAGATTAGTCTTTTCTGGATATTTCAAAGCCTTTATGCAGTTGCCCAGTGAATATGCATTATATGACACTTTAAAAAACCTCAAGTTGAAATATTTTGTGCAGATATGCTTTAAAATTATTTCAGCTTTATTAAAACAAACTCCTGCAGGTGCAAAAGTACAGCAAATATGTTTTGGGGTAAAAGACAGAAAACTGGAGACTGTCTTTGAATATCAATAACAAGTAGAAAATCTGTAGCCAACAAAAGTCCCAGTACTTGCATCTTTATATTTAATTTCCCTAAGATGCTCCAACTGTCTTATTACATGCCCTTAGCAAAACAGGATCCCAAAAACTCTTATCTTACCCCAGTCTAAAAGTTTTGATACAAATCTGTATAGTATTTCAAAAAATTAGCATGCAAAGTTTAGGAGCTTTCATTAGTTGGTGAAAACAATCTTGCTTCTAACTATATTTTAAGTTTCTATTTTAAGTTACAGCTCAGCTTACTTTGCATTTGGATACCCCCTTCTCTTGCAAGGGTAGAATTTGTCGAAACAATCACAGCAAATGGAAATCCTTTCACTAACCTTATCTGAGGCTAGGATTCTGAAAGAAGCAATAACTTGTTCAGCAGTGTCAGTATCAGCAGTCTCTCTGGTCATGAAATCAATAAATGATTGAAAGGAAACCGTTCCCTGACCATTGGGATCAACTAAGGACATGATTCGGGCAAACTCGGCTTCACCCTGAAATACAATTAAAAGTTAGTTATGAAAATTATAATGCAAAGAAAAATTTAAAAAATTAATAATGTATTCAGCATCATGCCAAATATCAGATTTTGCATGTTTTTAAGTATGCAGAAACGTATTAACTGTACTGCAAGAACATGAAACGTTCTTAAATCCACTGGAAGCTTATGTTAGGCTGAATGTTCACTATGGATTTCACACAAATTGTACAAGAAAAATATATAAAAAATAGGAAGGAATCCACTAGGATTTACTGCATTTGGTTGCAACCTGGATAGCCAGATGATCAAGAGCTTGAACCAAATTGCTTCCATGCAGCCTCTCTGTAGAAATCCTGCAGTTTGTTTGTTTGTTTGCTTTTTAGAAGCTCCAGCAGATAAAGCATCATAAAAGATGCTTAAAGCACTATTAAATGAAGACAAACAGAAATTGGACCAGATATGAGTAAGAGCCTATATTCATGCCTACATTGTGGCAGCAAATATCATTATGAAGGGTCCTTGGTGCTCTCTGAGTTTGGTTGTTTTCTTGCAGATGTTTCATTAGCCTAACTACGTAACATCATCAATGCTAGTAAGGAATGGAGTCTGCTGTCAATTTATATTCTAGTGTCTTGCCCTGTCAGTGTTGGTGGGACTGGTCTTGGAAGGTCTTTGGTTGGACTGTTTACCATTAGCTTGTTTGGCAATCTCAACCTTGGGCTGCAGAGGTGAAACTGTCAATGTATTGCCTCCAACTCCTGGAGGCTATATACATCTAGATAGGAAAGAACAATTTCAAGCTCTACCTTGACAAGGCTGAGTGACTGTGTATATTTGGGGTCCCTAGGTCTAAGTCAGTCTTACACTCTGGGATTTCATCTTTGGTCTTGAATGGGACTGCACTTCCCCATTCAAGACTAGTGTGCAATTTGGAGGCCTTCCTAGACTCATAGCTACTATTCAACAAACAGGCAGAAGCTATGGTCACAAGGGCCTTTGTATAGGTTCGCCTTGTGTGTCAGTTGCATCTTTTTCTCAACAAGAAGGTTCTTTAGATGGTCACTCACACTGGTCATCTCAAGGCTAGCCTAGGGTATTACAAGGGAAGTTGCTCTTGAAAACAATCTAGAAATTACAACTGTAATATGGACATATGAGTAGTAAGGGGTGTTTCTCATTGCACCCACATGTCATCAATGCTTTATGAGCTTCAATGGTTACCAGTTGACTTCCAGATGCACTTCAAGATTTACCTGGAAGATAGGGCTAGGTTAATTGAAAGAGTACCTATGCAATACAATTGGGCCTAACAATTGGGTATGATTTGAGTTCCTTTAGTTAAATGTTTTACTTTGTAGGACCAAGAAGGAAGACCTTTGGTGTTGTGGCACCTGTCCTTTGGAATAATAGCTCCCCAGAGATATATGCAGCTCCAACCCTTCAAATGTTTTATCAATCCCTTAAAACTTCACTCTGTTCCCAGGCCTAGATTTAAGTTATTTGTAGAAAGTCTAACAATTTTTGATTATTATTTATGTCTGGACAATCTTTTTTTATATATACTATGTTTGAAAATTGCAAGTTACCCAGAATATTTTGGGAGTCAAATGCCCTCAATATCTGACAGATGAACAGACAGACAGAATGAAAAATATTCAAAATTGAAATGCAATAGAATCTATATATGAATGCCATGGTAAATGGGCACAATGTTTTAGTATGAATACATATAAACAGCTGTCTGCATAGGGTTCTAGCAATTAATAAGTCTAATTCTAAACACACCTAAGAATAA